GTAGGCCTGGAAATCACTGTATAAACTAGCCTGGCCTCAAAGTTGTAGCAATCTTTCCAATTCTTCTGCTTCCTAAATTCTGAGATTGCAGGTGTGTGCCAACAAACCAGATTGGAATGACCCTGGAGGACAGCTGTTGGAAATAGGTGAGCCACATCTCTAGGGGGAATGACGGTGGCTTATTGGTAGAGACTGGAGACTGGAAGGAAAGGGAATGGGCTGGAGGAAGATTGGGGGTGGGGTGAGGGCATGAAGGGTTAGGGGTGAGAGTATGGAAGTGGAAGGAATCTGAGATGTCAGTAGCCACAGTCCCAGGCCCCAGGCTCAGTCCTTAGCAATCTCATGTGCTTTCTGTCCCCCTCCCATAGCCACAACATAGGGCAATTTACCCTTAACATGGGCGGGGTGCGGAGGGGAGAATAACAGTATCTATCTCTTGCAGGGTATTTGGGAACAGTGAATGAACTGGTATTGGGATAAGTCAGGAGTGCCTGGAATGTAGAGCATGGCTGCCAGGCCAGATACCTCCTAGTGAGGATGGCAGGAAACTGGCCCACTCCATTCTAGATACACTATCCCTTACCCAACAATCCCCAGGCAAAACTATTAGGCCTCTAATCCTTTAATCCTAACTGGGTCTCTTGTAGATCATGTGACTGGAGGACAGGACAAAGGCCATGTAGCCTTAGAAGCCCCCTCTCCCCCCCCCCGACTGCCTGCCTGCCAAAAACCCAACCCCACCTCTTTGCCTGCGAGACTTTCCTATATAAACCTCTGCTTCCACCATAATAAACGAGCTGTCCACTGACACAGTCTCCCGGGGTGTTTTCTTCCTGTCGTAATCAGCACTGCTCTCTCTCCTCATCAATCTCTCTCCTCGCCCCAACCTTCTGCGATGGGGACCAGTGCACAACGGTCTCCCGGTGGCAGTGGAGTTTGGGCCAAGGGGAGGCCAACAAATTGGGACATAAGAGAAGCACACCAGGCACTACTCACTGTTAGTGCCCCTCCCCTTTCTGCACTCTGCCACCACCATAACCATATTAGCACATTTCTAGTGCTTTCCATGATCTTGGTTTGTCACTAGCCATCTCTCTTGTTGTTTTTAGGCAGGGTCTCCTAGTTCTCCTGGTGTTCCCCAGGCTGCCCTGGAACTCCCCAGTTCATTGGATCTTCCTGCCTCAGCCTCTCCAGTAGTGGGGCTACTGCAGACCCGTTCCACTTCACCCAGCTCTCAACAGCCCAGTCTGGAACACTTCAGCATTTTGTCCCCCAAAGGCTAAGGGTCTTCAGACACCTTGTCCTGGTCAGCTTTAAAGCTGTCAGCTTGACACGGCCTGCAGTCACCTGAGAAGGGAGCATTGATTGAAGGACTTCCTAGATCAGATTGACCTGTGGGCACATCTGTAGGAAATTGTCTTGATTATTTATTGATGTAGGAGTGCTTAGCCTACTGTGGGCAGTACCATTCCCTGAAGTGTTCCTGGGCTGTATAAGAAAGCTAACTAGGGGCTGGAAAGATGGCTCAGGGGTTAAGAACACTGGCTGTTCTTGCAGAAGACCTGGGTTGGAATCCCAGCACCCACATGACAGCTAACAACTGTCCGTAACTCCAGTTCCAGGGGATCTGACGGCCTCTTCTGTCCTCTGTGGGCATTTCACAACATGGGTGCACTTACCTACATTCAGGCAATACACTCACACACATAAAATAAAAATAGTAAATAAAATATTAAAAAAGTTTAAAAAAAAAAAAGAAAGCTAACTAAGGGGTTGGAGAGATGGCTCAGTGGTTAAGAGCACTGGCTGCTCTTACAGAGGACCTGTGTTCAAAACCCAGTACCCACATGGTGGCTAACAACCATCCACAACTCCAGTTCCAGGGGAATTTGACTCTCGCTTTTGACCTGTGTGGGCATTGGGTTAGTGAGCAAGTCAGCAAGCAGTGTTCCTCCATGATTTCTGCAAGTTCCTACTTGGAGTTTATGTCCTTACCTCCTTCAGGGAGAGACTATAACCTGTAAACTAAAATAAATGCTTTCATCTAAGGTGATTGGTCATAGCAACAGTATGTGATGAGACCACACCTGTTACCAGCTGATCCTGGATGACTCTTCCATCCTCCTCTTCCTGTCTTCACCTGCTCAATCACCACTCTTTTTTACTAGCCACATCCTTCAGGGACCTTCTCCTGACCCTAATGGAGATGAGCTCCACCTTTCCCAATTTCTCCAACTCCTTAGGTACTTCTTATTTTATTATTTTTATTTTAAAAAATTTATGTGTATGAGTGTTTTGTCTACGTCTAAGTGCACCTGTGTCATGCAATGTCCGTGAAGGCCACAAGAGGTTTGAAACTGAAGTTATAGACGGTTGTTAGCCACTATCTGGGTGTTAGAAACTGAACCTGGGTTCTCTGCAAGAGTAACCGGTGCTCTTGATGGCGGAGCCACCTCTCGAGCTACTCCTCAGGCCCTTCTTGAGCCTCCATCCACTCCCTGGGATTCCTTGCTTTCACTGGTTTGTCTTACTCCCCTTTCCATAGCATCAGCAGAACACAGTGGAGCACCCAAATTTCATCACAATGTTGTCCTAGCTTTTGGCATTGTGCCCAACCCACCACAGGTTCTGTTTGTGCTGGTACAGCGAATAAACAGACCCTCAAATGTACAACAGCATGTTGACCCATCTAATCTTCCACAAAGGCAGAAACAGGTCAGAAGGTCACTCTGGCCTAAGGACAATACCCCCTTCCCAGAAGCAGCTCTGGGAGACAAAGTCCAGGATAAACAAACAGAGATATGTGAGGCCCCCTTGTCTCACCAGGGTTATGGCCCACCCCAGGTCACAGAGTGGCCTAACCAAAAGACCACGTCTGTCCATTGTGCTGTGGCTTGTTGGGGACAGGTAGGGTTCGAGCATAAAAATCAAGCAATCTGATAGATGAGAGGGGTCTCTCTGGCCTCTTCCCTCTGGGTCCAACAACTCTGCCTCTCCATCTTCCTCACATCTCAGAGGGCATTTCTATCACCACATGAAGGACTTTGGAGTCTCAGACCTGGGTTCGAATCTTTATCCTTGTCACTAGCTGTGGAACCACAGAGTCCCAGTATCATGTGGATAGAAGTTAGACAATAAAGGATAACAACATAAGGCCTTGATCATGAAAAGATGATTCTCATCTGTATCTCCCCAGGTGAGAGCACTCTGGCCAAGTGGGAGCACAATAAAGCCAACTCCTGTCCTTCTTTCCAAGTCTGGGAAGAAGGTCCAGAGAAAGGGTGCAACAGGCCTGAAGTTGGGCCACCACTGTGCCTGTCCCAAGCTTCCAGGACAGAAGTATCGCCAGGGTTGGCACCATTAAAACCATAAGTGAGATTAGGCTCCACAGCACTTTCTGTGATACCACATCTGACTCTGTGGCCAAAGCATGACTGAATAGTTTGTTTATGGTTAAAGGATTTTGGAAGAAAAACCAAATGAAGTTTAGAAATTCCACTTTTACCTGTGGCAACTTGCCACATGTCATTGTATGACTGCCTCGTGCCAGAGCCAGGACAAAATGAACCACAGGATTGTCACAATTCTCTGCTCAGTACATATCTATAAATGAGAGCAGTCTGAAATCTGGCTGGGACTCTGCACAGCCCTGAGCTGCCCCTCCACAAGAAGAAAACTCTCATTGCCATTTATTTAATTTGTTGAGAGTCTCACTGTGTATCTCTGACTGGCCTAGAACTGGCTGTGTAGACCTGGCTGACCTTGAACTCATAGAGCTCCTCCTGCTTCTACTTCCCAAGTGCTGGGACTACAATCATGGTCTTTTTGAGACAGGGTCTCCCTGTAGCCCTCGCTGGCCTGAAGCTTGCTATGTAGACCAGACTGGCCTTGAATTCAAAGATCTGCCTGTCTCTGCCTCTCGAGTGCTGTAATCAAAGGCTTCATTGCCAATTTTTAAAGATTTATTTTTATTTTTATTTACATGTATTTGTGTGTCTGTGCTACATGTGTGTGAGTATTCACAGAAGCCAGAAGACGGTGTTTGATTCCCTGGAGCTGGAGTTACAGATAGTTGTGAGTCATCTGACCTGGATGCTGGCAAGCAAAGCAGGGTTCTCTGGGAGAACAGAAAACACTCTTTAACTGCTGAGCTATCTCTCCAGCCTTTTTTTTTTTTTTTTTTTAAAGTTCTCAAGTAGGCTGGCCTCAAAATCCCTATGTAGCTGAAGCTGGCTTTGAACTCCTGATCCTCCCTAGTGCTAGGATTATATGTGGGCACCACCACCCTCAATTTCCATAAAGTTTATACTATATTATATCATATTATGCTATACTATATTATATTATACTATATTACTCATTTATTTGTGTGTTCATGTGTCTGCATGCCACACACATGGTGGTCAAAGGACAACTTGCTAAAGTCAATTTTCTCCTTCCACCATGTGGGTCCCAGGGATCAAACTCAGGTTGTCAGGTTTGGTGGCAACTGACTTTACCTGCTGAGCCATCTCGATGGTCCTGCCATTAAAATATATACATAAATATATGTATATATTTTATTTTATGTATAGGAGTGTTTTGCCTGCATGTATATACCACATGTGTGCAGTGCCTGTGAAGGCCAGAAGAAGGTATTGGATCCCCTGGAACTGGAATTATAGATGGTTGTTAGCCATCATGTGGGTGCTGGGAAAAAAACCTGAGTTCTCTGCAAGAGCAATTAATGCTCTTAACTGCTGGGCTGTCTCTCTGCCATTTAAAAAACAAACAAAAAACCCTTCATTTAACATGTTTCATTCTCTTTGTTTTATTTTTTATTTGTTTTTGTTGCACTAAACCCAGGGCCTTGCACATGCTAAGCAAGCCATCTACCACCAAGCTACAGACCCAGCTCCTTGCCAAGTTTTGGTTCCCTAAAATCATGCTGTTTGACCTCACTGTGTCTAATGTTTAATCTGTGTTTATCCAGCACAGCATTGCTTAATGGTCTGGGGAAACTGGCAGGGTAGCGAGAGCCAGGAGACCATGGACGGTGCCATGGGGCTTCAGGCGCTGCTGTGCATGTACCTGGTATCCCTTCTCACCCTGCAGGCCATGCCCGCTTTGGGCTTGGCCACAGGCAGGCCCAAAGGCAGCGAGGTATGTGACTAAGTCCTTAGGCATAAGAGCCCACCTCAGGGACCTGGGTCATCCCCACCCACCCAGTCTCCTCTGCCTGGTGGAGTAACTTCCCAGCAGCAGGAGGTGAGGTTGTGGGGCAGAGAACACAGGCCCTACTCCCACCCCTTAACTGGTGGGCCACCACCCCTGAGAATTCCCGCTCACACTTGGCCTGGGTTTTGTTTTGCAGAAGCGACAGGCTGTGGACACAGTGAGTGAGATTCTTGGCAAAGGGGGTTCTATGATGGGGTCCCTATTACAGGTTTGCTTTCCCCCACACTCTGGGAGTGTACCTGTCAGTGTAATAGGCAGGGGACTTCCATCTCCTGAAATAAGACATTGTTTGCACCTGACTGCATGTCTTGGGTAGAGAGAAGGCATCTTCCTGAGAGGTCAGGTCTGTTCTGGCATCTGGGCATCTTGCTTTCAGAGGGGGCAGGACCCCTAGGGTGACAAGGAGGTCTTTGCTGGCTCAGAGACCCCTATCCAGGCCACAGCTCCCTTTCTCATCTCTTTTTTTTTTTTTTTTTTTTTTTTTTTTTTTTTTTGGTCTTTTCGAGACAGGGTCTCCCTGTAGCCCCAGCTGACCTGAAACTTGCTATGTAGACCAGGCTGGCCTCGAACTCACAGAGATCTGCCTGCCTCTCCCTCCCAAGTGCTGGGATTAAAGGCATGCGCCATCACGCCCAGCCCTTTCTTATCTTTTACTTCAGACAGTTAATGGCGTGTTCATCCGGAGTTTGAAAGTCAACTGTAAAGTCACTTCTCGCTTTGCCCACTATGTCATCACCAGTCAAGTGGTCAATACTGCTGACAAAGCCAGGGAAGTGGCCTTCGATGTGGAAATTCCCAAGACAGCCTTCATCAGTGACTTCGCCATGTACGTGCCCTGCCTGACTCCCACACTCCATTCCAAATGTGTGCATTTACCTGTCCAGCCTGAGGCTAGAGCAGTCAGACAGTACAGCCCTCACTTCTGAAAGGGCCATGGCCAGTCTCAATTTGGAGGGGTAGGATGAAAGAGGCCCATTAGAGCTCTTCTCAGCTCCTATCTAGACAAACGACTAGGGCTACTGATGGCTTGTTTTCCGCTTAGGGCCCAAGGAATGAAGCTAGCATCTGACCCGACCTATGGCCATGGCTACTTCTTGTGGGCCCCCTAAATAGTAGACAGTAGAGACTCTTCTACAAGGAGACATATGGACAGGGTCTTCTTAGACTCAGCATGACTCCAGTACAAAGGACAGCCAGGGTGATTAAGATGGGGCACTGCCACTGAGGGACTTCTTCCATTCCTGTAGTACGGCTGATGGGAATGCATTCATCGGAGACATAAAGGACAAAGTCAGTGCATGGAAGCAGTACCGGAAAGCAGCCATCTCAGGGGAGAATGCTGGCCTTGTCAGGTAAGTTCCAGACCCTGCCTGTCAAGCCTTCAGGACTGTCCTCTCTCCCCAGCCACGACTCAGCCAAGGGCTACAAGGTATTCTTGGGTGGGGAACAGCTCTAAGAGGATGGAGGACTGAGAAAACCACCCACAAGCCCAAATGCCAGCACAGGTACATGGGACAAGGCTGGGGTACACTTGGTCTTTCCAAGATTTGCCTTGTGGAGAAGTGGGGTGTCATCCTTGAGCTCTGACCTTGACCAGCCAATTGAGACAAGGGCCAGTGGCAAGGAAATCTGGCAGTAGTATGAAAATAAAACGGTTCCGAAGGCCATGTGTCAGTGACAAGGATGCGCATCACCCTTCACTTGCCTGTTGATATCTCTGGTGGCCAGAGCCTCAGGCAGAAATATGGAGCAGTTCACCATCCACATCACTGTTGGACCCCGGAGCAAGGCCACATTTCAGCTAACATATGAGGAGGTGCTGAAGCGGAGACTTACACAATATGACATTGTCATCAAAGTCAAGCCCAAGCAACTGGTGCATCATTTTGAGGTAGCTCATAGGTCCCAGGGCATGGGTCTGCCTCCCTCCCTCTCCCTGTAGCTCCAAGAACATGGATCACCACATGTCACCCCAGGCCTGAGAATACAAGGAAGGAGACTGAGTCCTCAGAGCAGGCTCCTGTGAGCTCCTCTTGGGCAGGAAGCTCCCTGAACCTTCCAGCTCCTTTCTCATCCATGAACCCTCAGTTTGCTCATCTGCAAAGTGAGGGGGTTCCTGCATTTCCCAGGACTACCATGAGATTATGAGAGATACTGAAGGTGCAGGTCATGTGTAAACTGCAAAGTACTGGGCAGCTCGAGGGGCTGAGTTGAGGGGTTCAGGCATTCACTTCTTTCAATTAGTATTTCTGGATGGCTTATGATGAGCCAGGTCCTGTGCTAAGGGCTGGGAAGTGATATATACAGTAGGAAAGTAGGTCACACACTGGCCCTTGCCTGAGACTTGGTACTAGCCCAAATGGGCCTGGGCACAGAATTGGCTTCCATGGTGCAGATCGATGTGGACATCTTTGAGCCCCAGGGGATCAGCAAGCTGGATGCCCAGGCCTCCTTCCTCACCAAGGAACTGGCAGCTCAAACCATCAAGAAGTCTTTCTCAGGAAAAAAGGTATGTGTGGTAGCAGGGAGTGAGAATGGACCCTTAGAGACTTCTCAGCTCAGCCCACCCTTTATGCAATATCCAGGCTGAGCCCAGGACCAGTCAGGGTTGCAAGGCTGCTCACAGGGTGAGAACATTAGTCAGATTTTTCATCACTGGGACAAATATCTGACATAAACAGTTTCAGGGAGGAAGGATTTCTTCTGGTTCATGGTTTCAGAGACCTCAGTCCATGGTCAGCCACTTCCATTGTTTCTGGTACATGCTGAGGCAGGACATCATGGAGGAATAGAGCTGCTCACCTCACAGCAACCAGGAGGCAAAGAGATAAACATTGACAGACAAATAGACCGGAAAGGGTCAGGACAAGATACCCTTCAAGTGCACCCCTCTACTGATCTTCTTCCAACCCAGCTTCACATTCCTCAATTCCACCACTTCCCAGAGACTACTCAGTTCAGGGTTTTGTTCTGTTTTATTGAGACAGGGTCTCATCATGTAGCCCAGGCTGTCCTCAGAACACTCTGGCATCAGGGACCAAGCCTTCAATACATGAAGCCTTTCAGGGGGACACTTTATACCCAAACCATAACAGTGAGAGAGGCAGATGCCATCTGGTTAGAGTCCCAAGAGGGCTCCACTCTCCTGCTTCTCAGGACACTTTAGCAAAGCCTGCATCCTGAGGAAGGAGAGGATTAGTCTCACCTCACTGGCTGTGAGGTCCACAGTGACTTGATAGCTTGTCTCAGTTTCCTCTTTGTCTGCATCCCACCCATGGGACATATTCAGGCACATACTCCAACCCCAGATGCTACAAGGCTAGGAATCCCAGCTTTGGTTTTCTTGGAAACACAGTAATTTTAGAAAGGTCTGTGGCCTACCCAAGGACTTGCCACTTGTCACCTAGGAATCCCAGAAGCCCTCTTCTTGACCTGTCTTGGGTCCTGGATGTATGTAAGTGCACCCATGTCATGCAATGCCTGAGGAGGCCAGAAAAGGGTATTGGATCCCCTGGAACTAAAGTTACAGACAGTTGTTAGCCGCCATGTGTGTGCTGGAAATCAAACCCAGGTCCTCTGCATGAGTGGTCAGTGCTCTTAACTGCTGAGCCATCTTTCCAGCCCCCTATTTATTTGGTTTTTGAGACAGGGTCTCACTATGTAGCCCTAGCTAGCCTGGAACTCGCTATGTATGTAGACCAGACTGACCTTGAACTTACAGAGATCTGCCTGCCTCTGCCTCCCGAGTTCTGAGATTAAAGGTGTGTGGCACCACATCTGGCTTTATTTTTATTCTTATTGTTTAAATTTTCATTTTTTATTATTATGTGTGCATATATATGCCACAGCATGCATGTAGGGGTCAGAGTACAACTTTGTGGAGTCAGCTCTCTCAGTTACGTGGGTTCCAGGGATCAAACACAAGTTGTCAAGCTTTTGAAGCAAGTACTTTACCTGCTGAGCCATTATACCAGCCCAGGACACCTCAGAATGTTAGCCAACCCTCTTGTTTCTTGGGGGTGGGCAGGCCCTCTCTCTTCCTTTGAAGAAAATGTAGAAATTCCAGAAATACAGAAAATGGTGAATAAAAGCCATCCATAGCTTCTGTTCCTGCCAACAGCACCCAGACCAGGCCCAGCTTCTTTCTGACTCTTTCTTCTGGTCTCTGCTTTTTCCCAACCCAAGTGAGTAAGGTGGTTTGTTTGTTTGCTTTCTCATGCACAGTATTGTGGGTTTTTATTCTTTTTTAGACAGGATCTCTTACTGTGTCACCATGTAGTGCAGGCTGGTCTTGAGCTGGAAATCCTGTCTCTTCCTCTTGAGGGCTGACATCACAGGCATGTGCCACCATGCCAGCTTGTAGACTTGCCTTTTTACCTCACAGTCCGAGTTGGCTAATATCTTTCCCACTGTTGTACCACTATTATTATTTTTTTTTCTTTTTGAGACAGGGTCTCCTTGTAGCGCCAGCTGTCCTGGAACTCACTATGTGGACCAGGCTGGCCTCAAACTCACAAAGATCCGCCTACCTCTGCCTCCCAAGTGCTGGGATTAAAGGCATGTGTCACCACGCCTGGCCATTTTTGTTGGTTTTTATGCTCTAAATGGTGGTGCTTACTGTAGAAATCCCAGTGATTCAGAAGCAACAGACTAGGTCTTCTATCCTATCACAGATAAGTGTGTACACTCAGAAGCTAGGTGCATGACCCCTGGACTCATGCCTGTATCCAGGCAAACACATTCATGCACACGCACATGTGCATGCACGTGCGCACGCGCGCACACACACACACACACATGCAAACATGTACACCCAAACCGTTTTTTAGACTTATTTTTTTAATTTTTTAATTTAATTTAATTTAATTTTTTTTGGTCTTTTTGAGACAGGGTCTCCCTATAGCACCAGCTGTCCTGGAACTCACTATGTAAACCAGGCTGGCCTTGAACTCACAGATATCTGCCTGCCTCTGCCTCCCGAGTGCTGGGATTAAAGGCATGCGCCACCACGCCCAGCTATTTATTTTTATTTATGTGTGTGTGTGTGTGTGTGTGTGTGTGTGTGCACTTGAGTGCAAGTTCTCACAGAGGTCAGAAGAGGGCGTTGGACTCCCTAGAGCTGGAGTCACGGGCAGTTATAAGGGGCCCAATATGGGTGCTGGGAGCCAAACCTGGCTCCTCTAAAAGAACAGCAAGGGCTTTTAACGTCTGGGCCATCCCTCCAGCCCAAAGACATTGTTTTTTTGGTGTTGGGGATTGAATTTCATACGTGTCAGGCAAGTGCTCTACCACTGTATTGCTTCCCAGCCCCACACAAACCTTTTTAGCACCTTGCAGACATTCTGTGTGCAGCTGCACAGTCCTCTGATGCCTCATACCCTCCTGGTTCCAGGGTCATGTGCTCTTCCGCCCCACCGTGGGCCAGCAGCAGTCCTGCCCCATGTGCTCTACATCCTTGATGAATGGGGACTTCAAGGTGACCTATGATGTCAATCGAGACAAGCTCTGTGACCTCCTGGTAAGCCTATAGCTCAAGGCCCAAGTCTTGGAGGGCGAGGAAAGGATGCTTGGGAGAGATGCCCTTCAGGCTGTCTTCTGTTCCAGGTGGCCAACAATTACTTTGCTCACTTCTTTGCCCCCCAAAACCTGACGAACATGAGCAAGAACCTGGTTTTTGTGATTGACATCAGTGGCTCCATGGAAGGCCAGAAAGTGAAGCAGGTAAACTGCAGCTTTGAGCAGGTCACCTAGCAGAAGCTTCTTCAGCTGCATCACTCCTTCCATGCAGGTTTGGCTGCCAGAGCAGTTTGGGACATGTGCTGCTGGGCAGAGACAGGGAGATAGAACCAGAAGTCCCTGCTCTGGAATCAGCCGGTTTCCTCAAGTGCAACTGTAGGCAAGCGTGGTTTTTTCTCCTCAGTGTTGAAACTGAGGATAACAGTGCCCTTGGGGTCATGGAGTTTCCTGATTGAGACGTGCTCAGGAGAGGAAAGCCTATGTGCTACAGGTGCTGGGAATGATCGTGGTCTATGGGCTTGCACCTTGCAGCAGGGCCCCATAGAAGACATGAAGCCACGGCTGCACAAGCCATGCTGGAGAAAAACAGCTCCCCGGAGATGTCTCTTTATTGATCCTGCTCCACCCAAACCCCTGGTCATTTCTTCTCCCTGTATTGGGTCCTTGTGCCTTCTCTATGCCCCTCATGCACCCCAGGTCCCAGCCCTACTCCCTCGGGGCTACTTGGCTGTCACTCCTGCTTGTTCCGCACTATGGATCTCTGCAGTGGGTATCTGGGTTGATGGAAGGAGCTATTCCTACAACCATCCTCTGATTCCTGTCCTTGCAGACCAAGGAGGCACTCCTTAAGATCCTGGGGGACATGAGGCCTGAGGACTACTTTGACCTGGTTCTCTTTGGGTCCAAAGTGCAATCATGGAAAGGCTCACTGGTACCAGCATCCCAGGCCAATCTGCAAGCGGCCCAAGACTTTGTGCAGCGCTTCTCCCTGGCTGGAGGTAAGGGAAGGGATCTCAGGCCACCTTGGCATCACCTCTGTTTCTTTGGAATATGGGTGTACACGAGTCTGATTTTTCTCCTTTACAGCCACAAACCTGAATGGGGGGTTGCTCCGAGGAATTGAGATCTTGAACAAAGCTCAGGAAAGCCACCCAGAACTCAACACCTTTGCTTCAGTTCTCATCATGTTGACAGATGGCGAGCCCACTGAGGGTGAGCGCCTCAAGGGCTGCCATGGGAGGTGGTGATCTTCTTGCAACCAGAGGTGACTAAACTGGAAACTCATCTGTTGGATAGCCCTCTGGGGCAGAAAGGCTCAGAGTAAAGTAAAAGCAAGTGCTGGGCTAAAAACAGTTTAGTCCATAACGTCTGTGGGAGCTTCAAGGTGTACCTCTGTCTTGTGAGTTAGGAACAGTGGGTGTTTCTGTATGACACTGGGCTGCTCAGGGTCCCAAAGGATGGGCAGGATTTATAGCCTGAGTTTAATAAGCTATTTATTCAGTACCTACTTTGTGGCAAGCCCAGGACAGAGAGCTGAGAATGTGATGTGTCTCTACTTTCAAGCAGACCCAGGAGTAGAATCTCTACCAAGGACCATGAAAGAACAGGGCACCACAGGGTTGTGAAACCCCTGACAAGGGGCACCTGGCCCAGGTGAGGTCTGGGAAGGCCTCCTGGAAGGGAGGAGTCCTGAGTTCAGACTGAAAGGCAGATGAGGCCAGAAGCGATCTTGGCAGGACCCGGGGATGAGGAAATGTACAGAATGGGGCAAAATGAGAGTAGAAAGACCGGCAGGGCCTCCCAGGCATGACAAGGATTTTGAGCAGAATCAGAGCTGCCTGTGATCGGTCCATATGGTTAGGCAGGGCCCTTGAGGAGCTGTTTCCAGCTGTTTCAGTTTCCAGGTGATGCCTCCAGATACCTATGGGAACTGGAGGTGATCTGGGGTGGAAGTCTTGCCTGCCAAGTGTTCCACAAACCCTTGAGCCAGTGTCTTAGCACTGCCTGGATGTGTGGCTGCAGGGGAGACGGACCGTTCCCAGATCCTCAAGAATGTACGCAACGCCATCGGGGGCAAGTTCCCACTCTACAACCTGGGGTTTGGCCATGACCTGGACTTTAACTTCCTGGAGGTTATGTCCATGGAGAACAACGGATGGGCCCAGAGAATTTATGAGGACCATGATGCCACCCAGCAGCTACAGGTCTCCCCCACACCTCCCACATACCATCAACAATGTGCCATGGGGCCTTGTGGCCATTTTCCTATCAGAGAAGATAAAGCTTGGATCTAGGGTTCAAATCGGCTGTATGACCTTGGGCCAGTTAATTAACCTCTCTGTGCCCAGATGCCACCTCTAAGGTGGAATACCAACACCCCACTTTGTGAATAGACTTTGTGTCAGGTGCCGGGGGTGCTCTGCTCTGAGGCCACATCTATCAATCCCTCCAGGGTTTCTACAACCAAGTAGCCAACCCCCTGCTGATGGATGTGGAGCTGCAGTATCCCCAGGATGCCGTCTTGGCCCTAACCCAGCACCGACATAAACAGTACTATGATGGCTCAGAGATTGTGGTGGCTGGACGCATTGCTGACCACAAACTGAGCACCTTCAAGGCTGATGTGCGGGCTCATGGGGTAAGTGGTAGGCTAAGGAGAGGGAAGAAACCAGACAGTACCTAAAGGCTCCAAACCCACTGTTCCCTGCCTTGGCCCACTCCCAAGGACTCTCTTTCCCCATAGTAGCATCCTCCCCACAGCCCTGCCACACATGCCCAGACCTGAGGACTGGTCAGGTTGGAATGGAACCAATGTGACTTTGGTTAGTTGTAATCTCTTAACTCAAACAGACCCCTCAGTACTCCTTCCATCATTGCCCCCAGGCATGAGAGAGCAAGAGGCCAGCTTTTGTCTCACTTGGTCTCATTTCCAAGACACTCCTCTATGTACCATGCCTGGTGCCACAGATCAATGAGTGTGAGTGCGGCACGTGTGTGGAGAGTTCCACGGATGAGAGGGCCTGGCTCACCCTCCAAAGCATGGACTCAACTGGCAGGGGGGAGGACTGGAGGAAGCATATTAATCTGGACCCTAGGCTTGCCCTGTTCAGCTTTCTAGGCCTCAGGTTCCTTTTCTGTGACACTAAGACAGCACTGCCCTTAAGTATATGTGTATGTTTTGGGGAAGGGGCTGTAAATGGAACAATCCATGTAGTACCAGACACAGGGTCTGGTGCAAAGAATACCTTGGGAATGGGCTCCGTTAACATAGTTGGTTTTTTAATCTGGACCCTAGGCTTGCCCTGTTCAGCTTTCTAGGCCTCAGGTTCCTTTTCTGTGACACTAAGACAGCACTGCCCTTAAGTATATGTGTATGTTTTGGGGAAGGGGCTGTAAATGGAACAATCCATGTAGTACCAGACACAGGGTCTGGTGCAAAGAATACCTTGGGAATGGGCTCCGTTAACATAGTTGGTTTTTATTTTTAAAAAATATTTTATTATTTTTTTTTATGTGTATTCATGTATTTACATACCTGCATGTATGTAAATGCACCCATGTTGTGCAATCCCTGCAGAGGACGGAAGAAGGTGTTGGGTCTCCTGGAACTGGAGTTGGGGATAGTTGTTAGTTGTCATGTGGCTGCTGGGATAGGAACCCAGGTCTGCGGCAAGAACAGCCAGTGCTCCTAACTGCTGAACCATCTCTCCAGCCCTGTTTTTGATCTTTTTTGAGACAGGGTCTCCCTGTAGCCCCAGCTGGCCTGAAACTCACTATGTAGGCCAGGCTGGCCAAGATCTGACTGCCTCTGCCTCCCAAGTGCTGGTCTTAAAGGCGTGTGCCACCATGCCCAGCCTGTTATTGTAGTTGAAAACTGAAGGCATACGCTCGTGCTGTAGCAAGTTAAACAGGGAGGCCTAGCTAAAACTCAGTGACCTTTCAGAGAAGGGATCACAGCCCACACAGCAGGTGTTTGTTGGCCCCCACCAGAGAGGATAACTCCATGAGGACAGGCCTGGGCCTCCCGTCCCACTGACCCTGGGCTTAGCCCAAACCTGGCTCACAGAGGGTGGTCAGCCAACATCTGTAGAATGAGCGCATGAATGAAGAGTGTGAGAACAAGCTCCAGGAAGGTGGTGATGCTGAGGCTAAAGCAGCAGGGACCAGATGAGGGGTTTGTCACAGCCTCGGGCACCAGCCAGGGCGTGCACTGTCACAGCACAGACTCTCTCCCCATCTCAACTCTTAGGACAGGCAGGAATTCAAGACAACCTGCCTAGTGAACGAGGAAGAGATGAAAAAACTGCTCCGAGAGCGTGGCCACATGCTGGAGAACCACGTGGAGCGCCTCTGGGCCTACCTCACCATCCAGGAGCTGCTGGCGAAGCGGTAGGAACCCCGCCCCCCCGCAGTTGCACTTGAGTGGACACTGTTCACCTCAAGGTTGCTCCTCATGGTGGACAGAGAGAAGGGTGCTTCTAGGCCTGCAGGTTGCAAGGGGGTCAGATGTGTGTGCTTTGCTCACGGTCCACAGTGTGAGTGTTCTGTGCAGATGGGGTCTCTGTGGACAGTGCAGCCCATTTGCTCCACCGAGCTGCCTCAGAGGAGGCTGCGGCTTGCTGTGGGGCTACTATATCTAGACACATTCAAGTAGTCCTCACCACCTGAGAGGGAGTTCCTTCATCATCCCTACTTAATGGGAGAAAAATCTAAGGCTCAGGGAGTTTCCACCACTTGCCATGATCTCACAGCAGGTAAATTTCCTGTGTATCTCTGAGGCATACCCCTCAGCCCTGCCAAATCTCCAGGTTTTTTCTATGGGATGTCTTGTAACTCTGGAGTCCTTGAAGTCACAGCCATTGAGTAGGGCACTGCAAGTGCTTGAGTGTTTACTGAATGAATGAAAGAGTGAACAACCAGGCGGAAGGCTGAGGGAAGGAACGCAAGCCTGTCATCACTTGTGCGGAGGGCTTGGAGCCAACATGTGTCTTGCACACAGGATGAAGGCGGAAGGCCAAGAGAAGGCCAACTTGTCATCCCAGGTCCTGAAGATGTCACTGGACTATCAGTTCGTGACACCAATGACTTCTATGACCATCAGAGGCCTGACAGATGAGGATGGGTTGGAGCCCATCATTGACAAGTCCCCAGATGGTATGAGAAGTAGGGTTCTGTGGTCAGAGAGGCTGTGTGCTCATATTCTCCTGGGGTTTAATTCTCTTCATTTTCCCTCCCTTCCAGATTCTCAGCCTTTGGGTGAGTCTCCAGTCCTGTTGGTTCCGGCACTAGGCTTCTGATGACTGGACAGGTGGCGCATGCTCTACCCCCAGGCACACAGCTCGCTGTACTTGTGACCCCCCTCCCCGACCCCACTCCCTCCTGGGCTTCTTCCTTCTGTCAATGAGCCCTTTACCCTTCACCACAAGCTTAGGGCTGCATCCTTCATGCTTCACGGGCCTTTGCCAGCCAGAACTGCTCCCAGCTCTCTGGCCCCTCTGCCCAGTGTGTGTCTGTGAGGAACACACTGAAGAGACCCCTCAACCTTAGCAAGGCAAAAGGTGTACTTGTGGACTGACCTGCATGTCCTGGAGGTGAGATGGGGTAGCAGAGTGACACTGTGCCTTCCTTGTCTTCTGCAGAGATGGTGGGACCCAGAAGGAGTAAGTGGCAGCAAGGGGACTCTCATCTCCACCACTCTCTAGACTCCTTACCCTGCTGGTTCTCTGAGCACTCAGTTCTGACCAACACCCTGCACTCCCTCACTAGAAATTCTTAGGACAATGCCCCCCTGCCAATCCAATGTGGCCCTGGCTTCCCTGACCTGGTGGGGAGCACCCTATCTCACAGGGCCAAAATTCTTTCCCCATATCCTGAGAGGCATTAAGGGCATGTGATGCTCTGGTGCCTTCACTCTCTATGACCTTGGGTCAGCCCGCCTGGGTGGGGAGTGCCAACGAGGAGGTCCACAGCTCTAGAGAGGCCTGGCTACCTCTCTCTTCAGTATGAATCACTCCCACCCACAGCGTTCGTGCTGTCGGCCACACAGCCTTCTCCTACAGCCAGCATCTCTGTCATCTCAAAGTTGCCAAACCAAGTGACAGGCGGTGAGTCCTGGGAGAATGTGAGGGATTCCTCTAATTGGCCCATCAGCCCAATTCCCAGTGTAACACATTCTGTACTATGTTCCCAGTGGACACTGACCCCCACTTCATCATCTACATACCCCAGAAAGAGGACAGCCTGTGCTTCAACATCAATGAGGAACCTGGTGTGATCTTGAGCCTGGTGCAGGATCCTGACACAGGTATGGTGAGTAATGTGCCCCTTGCCAGGTGGGGCAGAGTCAGTTTTTCCCCACCCTCCACATTCGGGTAGATACAGTACTAGACATGGCCTCCGCTGCCCACCGCCCTACATACTGTTCACTTGGCAGACTCCTTCTGCCTTCCTCTTACTCCATGTCCTTGACTGGAACTTACCTAAGGCCACCTGCATGAGTGTGTGATCCACACAGCACACAGGACCTATACCTTGAAGGGCCCCATACTTGGTCTGATGCCGTGATCTTGCTCTCTTGACATCCTTAAGCATTTTCAAACAAGGAGCCTCATTTCTGACTCATATAGGGCCCACACATCACATAGGTCCTGCCCCATCTTTCCCACAAACATGGCTGTGCAGAGTCTCCAAGCACCTCTCCGGTAGGCTATGGTAAGAAAGGCTTTCCTGACCCTTTCTTTCTCCCTCCCCATTCAGTCAGCCAACTGCATGTCTGTTGAGCACTGACTAGGGACTGGAATGTGGTGGGCACAGCAACGGTCCTGCTCTCACAGAACTTAGGGAAGGGAGAAAGCAATAGTGATCACTTTCTCAGATGTCAGTTTTGGAGCATGAGACTTGCCATGTTGGGACAGTGAGGGTGTGGAGGGCTATCAGGCCTCGCAAGTGCATTTCTAGCATCTGCTATGAGTCTGCCCCAATGTGAGAAGGAGCAGGCCCACTCCTGACCTCAGGAGGCCAGAGTCCAGAACGGAGTGCTAAGTATAGGACATTCAGTATGGCAGCATGAGCAGGAGGCAGGCAGGAAGGAAACAGGCAGTCTTGAGAGCACGACCAGTCCTGAAAGCAAGACCGTTCATGGCTGGTGGGGCATGCAGGAGGTCTCCTGGGATGAAAAAAGGCTCCATCCTAACCAGATGACCCCTCACTCCATTTGCAGGCTTCTCAGTGAATGGGCAGCTCATTGGCAACAAGGCCAACAGCCCTGGGCAGCATGAGGGCACATACTTCGGGAGACTGGGGATCTCAAATCCTGCATCAGACTTTCAGTTGGAAGTGACTCCTCAGAACATTAAGTTGAACCCCAGCTCAGGGGGGCCTGTGTTCTCCTGGAGGGACCAGGCTGTGCTGCGGCAGGATGGGTAACTAGGCCTGACTTGGGAGGGGAAGAAGGAGGCATGTGGCAGGGGTCAAGGCCCAAAGCTCTAATGCCAGATCTGCTGCCTGGGCCTTCAGAGCCTGTGTTCTTCAAACAGTGTGAGGAAATAATGTCCATGGGGCCTGTGCAGACAGCTAGACTCTGGACCACCCACACTGTCCATTTCCCACGGTTCCTGGGCATGTGCCTTGGGCTTGGAGTCTTGAATCCCACCTCCATCTCCATCAAGCAAAGCCAGTCCCAGGTCTAGCACAAAGGCTACTCCTTCCCTGAAGCCCTCACACTGGCTGGCTATGCTGAGTTCAAGTCTGGGCTTCCCTTTTGGCACCTGTCATGCCCGTTCCTTCCTTTATTCATTTATTCAACCAAATCTGCTGGGGCCTGGAGCTTGATTCTGGGCAGCAGAGCTACAGGAAGAGGTGAACTGAGTCCAGGTGGAAGGTGCAGGTGATGAGTTTGATTCACAGGACACAGACTTAGATATTAGAATGGCTGGAGTCTAAGTCCTGGCTCTGCTGATTACAAGCTATTGGCGCAGGGCCTGGTACATTCTAAAACATACAGCACACTGGTATATGGGAGGAAACAAATAGCACCCAGACCTCTAGGGGAGAAGGCCATGAGGGGATGCTTATCGCAGCTGGGTCCCAAAGGATGAAGGCAGCAGAAGAGAGGAGTGCAGGGAAATGCTTCTGTCCTGATGGCTACCTGGCCCTGCAGGGTGGTGGTGACCATCAACAAGAAGAGGAACCTGGTGGTGTCTGTGGACGGAGCAACTTTTGAGATTGTCCTACATCGAACATGGAAGGGGAGTGCCATCCACCAGGACTTTCTGGGCTTCTACATGCTTGATAGTCACCGGATGTCAACCCGGATGCAGGGGCTGCTGGGTACGGCTGGCCAGGCAGGCAGAGCTGTGGGCTGGGACACTGGTTCCAGTATGCTTTGGGTAACAGGATAAGCCAGCCTCCAACACAGCCTCCATGATGCAGCGATCCAGAGATGGGTTGTCCTAGTGAGGGTCTTGTCCTTCATAAACATTGTGATGAAATGCATAGTCAGACAAAAGCTAAGTGATCCTGGGAGCAAGTGGGAGAGAAGCCCAATTCATAGATAGAGAGGTCCGGAGAGCTCCAAGAGTAGCAGGTATTTGGTCTTCTGGCATCTTTCCTCTTTGGAACTGGCTAAAAAGACAAGAAGCAAGGCAGCCTGGAAATGCATCTGTGGAGACAGAAAAGGAATGAGGGTGACTTCTGATACCAAAACATCAGAAGTAATCAAGCCCTTGTGAAAACATCCAAGCAACTTGCTTGGCCTCCAGTGAACACTGGCCAAGGGCAGCCTCCACCCCCAACAGGGGTAGGTGCAGCCTCCACCCCCAACAGTAACCACTGCTCCCACATTACTCTCCAGGACAATTCTTCCACCCCTTTGATTTTGAAGTGTCTGACCTCCACCCAGGCTCTGACCCCACAAAGACAGATGCCACAATGGTGGTGAAGAACCGGCAGCTGACAGTCACCAGGTGAGTGGCTGCCATCCAGTCCTCCTGCCCTTGGCTGCTTTTTGTCCCCTCTCATTGGTTTGGCTCTTCCTCTATGTGTGGTGGGCAGAGTGAACTTCATGGTAGAGGCAGCCTTGCCATATCCAAAGGGGAACCCCAGCTGTCTTGTTTGTCTCCAGAGGCTTGCAAAAAGACTACAGCAAGGACCCCAGACATGGAGCTGAAGTGTCTTGCTGGTTTGTCCACAACAATGGAGCTGGACTGATTGACGGCATTCACACTGACTATATTGTTCCCAACATCTTCTGAGGCCTCCAGCTAACATGTCAGTCCTCCTCTGGAACCAGAGGAAGAAAAGGACAGCATCAAACTGGCTCTACCTCCCTGAGCATGTCGGGACCATGACCCCTGTGTCAAAACATCCTATGATTTCATTAAAGAAAGGCCATATCCAGTTCGGAGTTGGCTACTTTGTGGGAGAGAGGAAATGGGCATGGCCAAAGATCACAGTGGACCTAGGGATGGGCAAAGGTGGACTGAAAGTCCACCAACTCTACATTGCTCTCTGCATCTTGTTCTCTGAAACTGCCTGGCTCCATGGACTCTGGGTCCCCTGAGTAACCCCTTTATACAGTTGCCCCCATGGGCTCGGGCCCAGAGATGCTTTGGCGGCAAGGACTGTCACAATCGACCCAGAGCTTTCTATAGCCAGGCTGGCTGCAGTTAAAGAAACTGAGGTTAGATAACCTGTCAGAAGTCGCTCAAGTTATGAGTGGCAGAGCTAGTTCTCAAACACGTCCTATGTGACATCACCCATATCCCACATCTGTCCTGTGTGACTCTTCCAGTCAGCTAAGACATGGGTGGCCAAAGCCTGTTGGTTAATTTTGCATGAATACATGAAAGAACTATTTCCAGGTTGATTTGGAGTCTTGATGAAATTGTATAGGCATGAGAGACTCGGGGCCTCTATTTTAGCCTCATCCTTCTGTTGGGGTGGCAGCCTATGACAGCCAGGCTGGTATGTTCTGAAGGCAGAGACAACCTCTGTCCAAAGATGGGATTTCAGGGGTCTCCTCACACTGTTTAGAATTGCTCCGTTAGTGTTCCTTTCCCTGGCTTGGCCTTGGGCCCCAGTTAAAATGCAACATCACAGAACATAGGGCAATGGACCCACACCTTGGAGGAACTACTGACCCTTCACATGAAAGTGGATAGGCCTCTATCCACTCTGGTCCAGAGTTTCTGCCTTTTTCTCCTCTGGCTTCTATCCAGTTCCCACTACAAATAAAACTTGTGAGGATCCTGAAAGAACAAGGCTCAGTTTTGAATAATACTGATTAGTAACCTGTCTCATTACTGTGATAAAATACCTGAGAAAGTCATCTTAAGGAAGGAAGGGCGTGTTCTGGCTTACAGTTCAAGGAGATACAATCCATCATGGCAGGAAGGGCATGGTGGCTGGAGTAGGAGGCAGCTGGTCACACTGCATCCACAGTCAGGAAGCAGGGTGATGAATGCTTGTGCTTGGCTCACTTTTTCCTTTTTCTTTTTTTCTTTTTTTATTTATTATTTTTGTTTTATGTGTATGTATGTATTGCCTGCATGTAGGTAATTGCACCCATGTTGTGCAATGCCCTCAGAGGACAGAAGAGGCTGTTGGATCCCCTGGAACTAGAGTTATGGACAGTTGTTAGCTGCCATGTGAGTGCTGGGATTCGAACCCAGGTCTTCTGCAAGAACAGTCAGTGTTCTTAACTGCAGAGCCATTTCTCCAGTCCCTACTTTTTCCTTTTTATTCAGCCCAGGACTGCAGCCACCCATATCTAGAGTGGGTCTTTTCACTTCAATTACTCTATCTAGATAGTCCCTCACAAACATGTTCAGAGGCTAACATAGTCTAGATAGTACCTCACAGGCATTCCCAGAGGCTTGTCTCTTCAGTGATTCTAGATCCTGTGGGGTTCACAATCAATATTAATCATCACAAGTTGACCCCTTGACAACTTGACACCTAAACATATTACTTTTAAGTCATAACCTTCTACCCCTGGTCCCCAAGGACTCATGGTGATCTCAACACAAAATGCATCAATACAACTTCAAAAGTCCCCATAGTCTTTAACAGTTTCAACACTATACGTTCAAAGTGTTTTCTGAGACTCAAAGCAGTGGCTTAACTGTGAGCCTCCATAAAAAACAAACAAAAAAACAAGGTGCATATGTCCGATATACAATGGCACAGAATAAACATTCTCTTTCCACAAAAGGGAGAATGGGGCATATCAAGGAAAGATCAGGCCAAAGCAAGATTGAGACTAAGCAGGTAAAGCACAAATCCTGCTGCTACATGTCTAGCATCTAGAGTTCATGATGGAATCATCTGGGCTCTAAAAGATCTAGGTAGCCGTGCCTCTCCAGCTCTGTGGCCTGCAGCACACATAGCCTGTCTTGGGCCAGCTTGACTTCATGCATCCAGCTTTCCTTGGTGAATGTTCCCTGATCTGGCATCTCCATAGCAGCTTAGGCTTCACCCTCAGAGCTTTACCCAGTAGTCTCTCTGGGCCTCTTGGCAGGGACTCTGATCTTTCCGCACATTACCAGACTGCAGCAGCTCTCTGGAAGTGTGGTGCAAGACCCCATGATTCCCTCAATCTTAAATCTTTCATGCATGCAAAACAAGTATGTAGCCAACATTGCCAAGTTCTGCTGCCAGCTCAGGGTAGGGCCTGGCCTCCTCGGACTACAGGTGTAGTAGTCTCTGTGTGCTGACCCTGGTAAAATATTTCCCTAGACAGTGGCTGTCTAGAAGCGGGAAACCCCTACTGTGGCATTTATTGGAGCCTTTGATGAGTAGGGTCTTGCTCACCCTCACGGCATCTTTCCTTTTGTCTCGCTGCAGAGAATGAGGCTCCTCTTTAAGGACTGCAGCCCTCTTTTTTTTTTTTTTTTTTTTTTTTGTCGGCTTCAGCAGGTGCCTTGGCTGCAACATTTAACATGCTTGAGCTCTTTGCCTTGACAAATTGCTTTTTTAAAAAATCTTTCTGCCTTATTTGTTGTTCTTTTTAACTGGAGAACTGGATAAGAATGGTGAAAAATAACCACATCACAGCCTAAATGTCCTCCACCAAATTAGTCCATCATACCTGCATTCAGTCTCATTCAAGTCTTCAGGACACAGAGTGCAGCCAGATTCTTTGCTAGAATACAGCCTGAATGACCTGTTGCCCAGTTCCCAGTAGTCCTTGTTCTCCTTGAAACCACGCTTTTCTCAGCTTTGTTATCTTCCATTTCTGTTGCTATGATAAAATTCCTCAACAAAAGCAATTTAAGACAAAAAGGGTTTATTTTGGCTTACAGTTCTAAGAAATACGGTCTATCATGTCAGGGAAGGGGTGACAGGAGGAGCAGGAGGTGGCTGGTCACATTACATTCACAGACAGGAAGCAGAGAGCCATGAATTCTTGTGCTTAGTTCACTTTCCCCTTTATACTCAGTCCAGGACTCCAGCCCATGGAATGGTACCATTCACATTTAGGGTGGGTAGTCCCATTTCACTTATTCTGATCAGATAATCCCTCATGACCATGCCCAGAGGCTTATCTCTTCAGTGATTCTAGATCCAATCAAGTTCACAATTAACACATAGATGCTGAGGTCAAAGGCTCTTCCAGGTCTGGGAACACAGAGCTCCTCAACAGTAAGCTGTGGGGGTCATTAGAGGGCTCAGAGATCAATTTACCTTCAAAGGCTTTCTGAGTTTCTCAAGGGAGAGTGGGACTGTCAACTAGCTGGGTCAGCCTGGTCAATGCCTTGCTCAAGGTTTTGGGGCCTCATCTCCTTCTGAAGAATAGGTGTGGAATAAGCCCAAGTATCTCTCTCTTTTTTTTTTTTTTTTTTTGGTCTTTTTGAGACAGAGTCTCTCTCTAGCCCCGTCCTGGAACTCACTACATAGACCAGGGTGGCCTTGAACTCACAGAGATCCGCCTCCCTCTGCCTCCCAAGTGCTGGGATTAAAGGCCTGCGCCACCATGCCCGGCCCCAAGTATCTCTTTTTTTAATTGAGCTTTTGTAATTTCATTCAACATTTCTTAATCAAATTTAGACCCCCCTCTCATATTCCCCACTGGACCTCATACATTCTGACATACATGTTAAATCCTATTCAGTCAAACATTTGTACCCACATGTCCTTTAGTGCAAATTCATCCATCCAGAGATCATATGTAAGGCATACTGTCCCTCACAGTAGCAATCAGCCTCCAATAGTTCTCAGTCTAGTGCCAGCCCAACACCCATTTCTTTCCTCCCCTCTGGGCCCTTGTTTAATTGAGTTGGCATGGGTCCTGTGCTTGATGCCACCATTGCCACAAGTTCACATGTACAAGCTTCCAGTGGCCTGGAAGCCTCTGCTTCCCTGTGTTCATGAAGCAGCCCTGGCTCTTACAATCTTTTTGCCCCCTCTTCTACAATGGTCCCTGAGCCATGGTTGGGTGAGGTTCCATAAAGGAGTCCCATCCTATACTCCGCAGTCAGCTGTACCCTTCTGTGTGCAAAGCATTCTTGTATAAGGAAGCTTTACTGGTGAGAGTTGGGGCGTGCATTACTTTTCTTTCTACACCTTGTTCTGCTGTGTTCCATGAGCCTTAGTTGTAGGGGTTCAACTAGAGATGTGTCACCTAGTACTGAGCATCTCTCAGACATATGTTCTCTGTGTCTGACCGGGTGTGCAATTCTGCAGTAGCCTTCATCGGTTGCAAAAAGAGGCTTCTTTGATGAGTGGCATACCATATGCTTGTCTGTAAATGTAAGGATCAATATTTAGCATGTAGTAAGAAATTTCATTTGTCAGGAGATATAAAAGAGGGCTTTCTCCAAGGTTTATGTCCTCTCCTGCCATGTGTATTTGGCTGAGTTTACAGTGCCACCCATGAGTTCACTCCCATTGAGAGGGCTTTAAGTCCAATTAGATAGCTGTTGATGACCCCCCAGATAACAGTGCCACTACTGTACCAATAGAGGCAGTTTGCCATGCCAGTTGTTATGGTTATTAGGTTTTGGGGTTGGGCTGGACCATTGATTCTTTTTCTCCCTTGGCAGTTTGCATATCACCTTCTAGCATTATGATAGCCCAGCCAGTTAGAAGGCTTCCAGGTCAGTTCCTGCTCCATTGCTTCAAGTCCTATATTTGAAGTATGCACAGTCAAGTATCTCTCATTTAAGGAAATATTTTATTTATTATTTTTATTTTATGTGTATGAGTGTATTGCCTGCATGTATGTAATGCACTTGTGTCATGCAATGCCCATGGAGGTCAGAAGAGGCCATTTGGTTCCCTTGGAACTGGAGTTACGGACAGTTGTTTGCTGGCATGTGGGTGTTGGGAACCAAACCAGGTCCTCTGGGAGAGCAGCCAGTGTTCTTAACCTCTGAGACATCTCTCTAGCCCCTCCCCCCAGTATCTCTTACCCTTTTTTTTTTGTCTTTTTGAGACAGGGTCTCCCTGTATCCCCAGCTGGCCTGGAACTCACTATGTAGACAAGACTGGCCTTGAACTCAGAAAGATCCACCTGCCTCTGCCTCCCAAGTGCTGGGATTAAAGGCATATGCCACCAAGCCCAACTTATCTCTTACATTTTTTATAATTCTATTTTTGTATGATGAGTTTCCTCCAAATTCTTGGCTATCCCTCTTAAGCAGCCACAAAATCCCTATTTTGAGCTGCTGTTCTCCCCAAACTCCAAGTGGCTGGGGAGGAGGCAGTGGTCCAAATGAAAGAGGAAGGATGAGACTTCACAGGTAGCTGTGGGCCATGAGGAGGAGCCACTGGGAAACAGGACAGCAGTCCTGACCCAACCTCAGCCTCCCAGGGGCTAGCAGGCACAGGTGCTGAAAACAGCCATGTGACTGGGATATCCCCAGAGCCAGGAAAGAGGCCTGGCTGCAGTTCTGAGGGGTCTTCTCTCCAATTCCAGGTGTTGGCAGCTTCTGGGTTTGGTCTCTTGCAGCAACTGTGGCACTTGCTACAATAAGAGCTGCATAGTACTCAAGAGGCCTTAGAGCAGGTACCACCTAGCTGGGTCTCAGCAGTGGCACCTGTCATTCTACCATCTTTGCCAACTTGGCAGCTCTGCCGTTGCTGTGTCTCCTGGTACTTCCAAACAGTAGGGCAAGACTTTCTGTGTTTATCTCACAACTTCTGCTGTCTGCCTTCTCTCTGTAGATGGCTCTCTGAGATCTGGTAGTCAAGCTCAGGGCTTCCAGACAAGGGCAGGACACCATCCATAAGGCAGCAGTTCTGGGCTAGGTGTCCTTGACTACTCTACTCAGCAGTGGACCATGAAGGATGCTCAGAAAACTCATGGCAAGGCAGGCAAGCAGCAGCTGCCCTGAAGAGGCCAGGGACTGGCAGGACTGTGGTGTGGCTCAGGAGGTCTCAGCTCTTGTGCAGAGACTGGTCTTTCTTCTGAAATGCCAAGGCCCTGACAGGAAGCACAGAAGGAGGTATAATATGGCCTGTCTCTCCAGGCGGGGACAGTTGGATCTGATCACATGAGCTCAATGTAAGGCAGTAAGAGGAACACTCAGAGAGCCTGCTGCTGGGGCTGGAGAGATGGCTCAGTGGTTAAGAGCTCATGCTGCTCTTGCAGAGGACCAGAGGGTCCCAGCACGCATGCCAGGCATGGGTACCTATAGCCACACACATGCACATACCCTCACACAGACACGCACACCCCTAATTAAATTAAATACTTTTTTTAAAAAGCCATCATGCTGTGAATGGTGATATGGATAGGACTTGATAGGTCTGAGAGCCATCCAAAGCTGAGGAGGAAGAGGAGGAGGAGAAGGGGGGGGAGAAAGAGAGAGAGAGAGGAGAGAGAGAGAGAGAGAGAGAGAGAGAGAGAGAGAGAGAGAGACTGTTCTAGAGCCAAGGCCTTTGGGCTGATAGAAGGAGGTGATTCTACAGTGAAAAACAGGCATACCAGTGGAGGAGAGTAAGCTCAGAAAAGAAATTTGAGGCCAAATCCCAGAGAGCTAAGTTACAGGACTTGGGATCTGTCCTCTTCATGGGTCCTAGGGAGCCACAGCAGGAGCCACAGCAGGTAACGAGCTCAGCTATGGGTATCCAGCCTGAGGCTGCCTGCCTTTCAAGGGTTAATGCTGGGATCTAGGCCCAGACCAGAAGCCACATGAGTGGTGAAGACAAAAGCCCTGAGCCCTGGATATGGAAATGTCAGCTTCTAAATGCAGCTCACACCATCTCCACACCAGGGAGGCCTGGTGTGTGGGGGGAGGTCACTTTTTTCGCATAGCTTCTGCTTTCCCAGGGACCTCCAGTCCATAGCCTGACAGGATGAAGCCCCAACATTGTTTACTGTACCCATCAGGCCCTTTTCATACGGACACACTAGGTCATTACTTCACTTCCCCTCTTCCCGGAGGAGCTACCCGCCTCGGCTGCTCTGGCCCCATAGTGTAGGTCACTGACCCTGCTTGGAAAACACTGGGCTAGCTCATATAAGGAAAGCAGGTCAGACCTGTGTGCTCAGCAATGGCGTTTGTGTGGTGGCCCTGCCTTGTTTTGACTCTGTTCTTTGGCTTGGAGACCTCTGGCTTTCCGAGAAGTCCCCTTCGACTGCTTGGGGTAAGTCTAGCCCCCTCTTTGACATCAGGGCCTTGGGAGTCAAGCAGACAGAAAGCTTCACACTCAGCAAGTTCTGTGAATGAGGTGAAGTGGAATCTGAGGGCTAGGCATTGTGTTGCTGGGACAGTGCCGGACCCTGGAGAACCTGTTCCAGCTAAGAGCTATAGTAGCCTGCTGTCTAACTCAGAGCAAGGCTCTTCAAACTCCCAGGCCTCAGTTTCCCCACCTGTCAAATGACCTGTCATAGCACTATGACAGCACTATGAACTCTCCTCACTGAGGGTTATGAAGGCCAAAGTCTTCAGCAGATGTAGAAGACACTACAAAATGCTGAGTCCGATGGATGGGTGGGTAGGGTGTTCTGGAAGAATAGAGTGAGAGGCAGAGTGAGTTGGAGCTTATGGAAAGTGAGACAGCTCTGAGTCTAATTCTCCTGGCCTGCTCCATTGATAACCTGCCCCTTTCTGGATGGATCTCAAAATCTCCATCCCAGTTCTTTTTTAACACATGGCCTGAGAAGGTCCTATGTCTAGAGGCCCCTCAACATGTGTGTGTGTGTGTGTGTGTGTGTAGAGAAACCTCTGATTCCTGGCTTTAGCCCAGAACCTGCTCCCAGTCCATGGCCTTGACCTGCTTTTATTTGTTTTTACAGAAACGGAGCCTCCCAGAAGGGGTGAGAACTTCCACTGGGACTGGGGCTGGGTGGGGAAGCACAGAATGGAGCTGGTTGCCCAACCTCTGAAGGTGCGGGATGTTAAGGGCAGCATCTTCACAGCTGGAAAACAGCTCATGGCAATATTCCAGAAGAGCTCTTCATGATAGAAGACCCTTGGGCCACAGTCTTCCAGCTCTGTGGGAGGGCATCTATCAGTCATCCCCTCCTTTCAAGTGCACTTGACCCTGTGTATAGGGTTGGGTGCATACAGTAAAGCAGCCTGTCACCCACCCCACTCTAACACCCGACCACACACACAAAGCATCTTTAGATCCTTATTTAACCCAGCTTCCCTTGGTCTATCACCCTTGTTGGAGAGAGGTTGTTTGGGGACCTGGCACAGGAAAGGAGGTGTCTATTCAGGAAAAGAACCAGATAACACCAAAGGACACAGAAGGTGGGCTGACTTTGTCGGGGAGAGAGAATTCTGGGAGAAAGATATATAGGAAGAGCCAAGGGAAGATGATGGAAGTAGAGCTCTGGGCATGGCTGGAGCTCAGGACAAATGGAGAGCCGGGACTCTCCAAGAGGAGCCTCGTGTCAGGAAACTCTTCAGAGTTCAAAGGGAGGCCTGGAAAGGCTTTACTTGAAAAGGGGCAGGATCAGACCTGAGTCTTTACCAGCTCTCACTGGTTACAGCTGTTAAGATTACGCTGTCAGGAGGTGCAACATGCATCCGCACTGCAGTGGCCAACTGAATGTGGAACCAAGGACACTGGCCAGACTTCCAATGTGGGTGACCAGGGGGACTGCAGGGCTCCAGAACTCACAAAGGGAGCATTTGCAAGGGGAAGCAGCCAGATTGAAGATGGAGTTTTTCAGGGTGAAGTCTGGCTGATTACCTCCTGGTGATCCTCACCCATCTCTCTCTCAGGTGGTCGACGGCATTGAAGTCTACAGTACCAAGATCAGCTGCAAGGTGACCTCCCGCTTTGCTCACAATGTTGTCACTACAAGGGCTGTCAACCGTGCAGACAAAGCCAAGGAGGTTTCCTTTGATGTGCAGCTGCCCAAGACCGCCTTCATCACCAACTTTACCTTGTGGGTGCCACCATAGCTGCTGGCTCTGAGCTCCAGAGGGCTCTCTGGCTCAGTGTGACCCTAAACTCCTAATCTGCAGGACCATCGATGGTGTCATCTACCCTGGGAACATCAAGGAAAAGGAAGTTGCCAAGAAGCAGTATGAAAAGGCTGTGTCACAGGGCAAGACAGCTGGCTTGGTCAAGTAAGTGTGGACCTCTGGCTTTGAGGGAGGCAACACCTATGATTATTGTTATAGCGGACTGTGTGCCCTTTCCCGGCACTACCCCATTTTAAGGCAATCAAAGATCAGAATAAATAGAGAGGTTTCTAATCAAAGAACTGGGACTTGAATCCAGGGCTGAGGAAGGATGGCTCCTGCAGTCTTTGTGCTAGGCTCTGTACTGCATCCCATTTAGGGCCTCTGGGAGGAAGCTGGAGAAATTCACAGTGTCAGTCAATGTGGCCGCAGGCAGTAAGGTCACCTTTGAGCTAACCTACGAGGAGCTGCTCAAGAGGCACAAGGGCAAATATGAGATGTACCTCAAGGTCCAGCCCAAACAACTGGTCAGACACTTTGAGGTAACCAACCATTCCTGCATCCTCTGCTGGCTTTGCAGAGGGTCTGGGGAAGGGAGGTGGAGCTGGGTGTGTGTGTGTGTGTGTGTGTGTATGGCAGAGACAAGGCAAATCTCAGTGAGGAGTCAAAATGTGCCTCCAAGTTCTGGCCCCTCCACTTGGCTATGGAGGGTTGGAGGAAGCACAGTGGCTCTAGCTACAGCAACCGAGAGCCAAGGGGAGGAGGCAGTGGTGCTGTGACCCTTGGGAGCTGTACTACAAAGTGCTTCTGAAATGCTTGCAATTGGTCCATAGGCATTTTACCAACTCCAAGGCTAAAAGCTGAAAGAAACTCTGTAGTTGTGGAACTTGGGAGTAATGGTAGACAGATGATAGAAATGCTTTGGGCCACCATATCCTCTTTTTTTTTTTTTTCTCTTGGTCTTTTTGAGACAGGGTCTCCCAGTAGCCCCACCTAGCCTGAAACTTGCTATGTAGACCAGGCTGGCCTCGAACTCACAGAGATCTGCCTGCCTCTGCCTCCTGAGTGCTGGGATTAAAGGTGTGCGCCACCACCCCTGGCTCACCATATCCTTTTAACAGTCCCTGTGATCACTTTCCCAGGGGACCTCAGTTTGTCCTTGAGTGTCTCCATGTCATCAAAGATCCTTGTCATCCCCTTAGCTGTGTCCCAGAAGCTGACCTCTGAACTGTCCCTGTGTCACATCGCCTTCATTTGGTCATTCCAGATTGATGCACACATCTTCGAGCCCCAGGGCATCAGTATGCTAGATGCTGAGGCCTCGTTCATCACCAATGACCTCCTGGGAAGTGCCCTCACCAAGTCCTTCTCAGGGAAAAAGGTGGTATAGATACCCCTGGGATCTGGGGTGCAGGGGGAGAACACTGACTGCAGTAGGACAGGTCTGAAGCCCCTGGTTTGCTGATACAAGCGTAGAGGAGGTGTCGGTCTATAATACTGCCTTTCTTCTTCTCCAGCTGGGTCACCAAGGAGAATGATGGAGGCAGGGGGCTGCTACTGTGCTACTGACTGGCCATAGGAAGAGAGAGACAGAGACAGAGACAGAGACAGAGAGACAGAGAGAGAGAGAGAGAGAGAGAGAGAGAGAGAGAGAATGAATTACTTTCCCCAAGCAGATCCTGACACCTAGGGATGAGAGGTATTCAGAAAGATGGGGCATGAGAGCAGCTTTGTTCATAGGAACCTGGCATCTCACAGCATACCAGATCTTCACCTCTGCCCACTTGAGAACTCACCCTTGTCTGCCAGTGGACAGCCTCAGCCAAGCTGAGCAAAGCCCTCCCTCCTCTCCTCAGGGCCGTGTGTCTTTCAAGCCCAGCCTAGACCAACAGCGCTCATGCCCAACCTGTACAGACTCCCTCCTCAATGGGGACTTCACCATCACCTATGATGTGAACAGAGAATCTCCAGCCAATGTGCAGGTACCAGCCGATGGCTCCACCGGGTTCACCAATTCTCCATCATGATAGGGAGAGGGCTAGTGTCCAGAGAGGCTGTAGCATCCAATAACATCCCCTCCATCTTCCACTCCAGAGCCTTTCACAGCACCTCTTAGAGGTGGGAAAGGGATACTTTTCCCTTCAGTGGCAAATGTTGACGTCTACCTGCAAGAGGGGCCAATGTGATGTTAAAACAGACAATGGCCTCCATTTCTCTCCCACCTTTCCAGATAGTCAATGGCTACTTCGTGCACTTCTTTGCACCGCAAGGCCTTCCAGTGGTGCCTAAGAACATAGTCTTTGTGATTGATGTCAGCGGCTCCATGTATGGTCGGAAAATGCAGCAGGTTTGCCCCCTCTCCCCAGCTATACAAGGCAGCATTGGGGTGGAGGAGTGTGGGGAGGAAGAGATTCTTTTTTAAAAGTGGCAAATGCTAGTATTTTTAGTGAAAGAGGGGGAAGTAGAATATAAGACTCAAAGCCTTTGCCCACTTTCACAGGGGTTTGGGGCTTGGGCACTGCTTATTTTTAGGGAATGGTAGGGACTCTGCTGCCAGCCTGGGTTGGGAAGAAGCCTGGCCCACTGCTGCTTCAGCTTCTGGTCTGTTCATCTCTTTCCCCGAGACCAGGGACGCTCTTCTCAAAATTCTGGAAGATATGAAAGAGGAGGACTACCTGAATTTCATTCTGTTCAGTGGTGATGTGACCACCTGGAAAGACCACTTAGTTCAAGCCACGCCTGATAATCTCAAGGAGGCCAGGGCATTTGTGAGGAGCATTAAAGATCAAGGAAGTAAGAGCAGGGAGGGGGACAGATGCATACCCTACCAGTTCATCCCTCCACATGGGCTAGCTTGTTGGCTCCTTCCTGCCTCTCCAGGGAGTAGAGGTGGTCCTTAGGCTTGAAGACAGAATATCAGGGTATCTGCTCTTTGGCCTGGGAAACACTTTTTTGTGTTTCTAACCCATGATCCTAGTGCCCCTTAAGTCTCAGCACAATAAAGCCACAGAGACCTTGTTTTCTCTGGAAAATCACAAATGACATCTATACTGCCTCCTTCCACTCCCAGTGATCCCACCTGGCCAAATTGCTACAATCAGTTGCTGGGACCTTCCTGGCACCCCTTTGATGCCCGTGTGAAAGCCTACACTGTTCATTCTTCATGCCGTGTTCACTATGTACATCTATGTACAAGCCCATATGGTCCTTGCACAAGAGCAGAGTCTGGTGCCACAACCTCCTTCACTCCAACAGCCTCGTACCCTGGCACCCTGAGGACACCCTCCCAGTGTTCTGTCTCTCTGTGTCACAGTGACCAACATCAATGATGGACTGCTGAGGGGCATCAGTATGCTGAACAAGGCCCGGGAGGAGAAACTTGTTCCTGAGAGGAGCACCTCTATTGTTATCATGTTGACAGATGGGGATGCCAATACTGGTGAGGGAGAGGGGGGCTCTGATCCAAGGTGAGTGACTCTGTACCTGGCTCACTACAAGACCTTGGACAGCTCATCCTGGGGTCCCCAACCACTTGGAGAGTAGACACATGCCTTCCTTGCCAGGCTCCCTACCAGTTGTGCATGTACAAGAGTCAGATCTCCCCAGACAGAGCCAGTGCAGATGGTTCCCAGCAACGAACACCACTTTTGCAGGTGAGAGCAGACCAGAGAAGATCCGGGAGAATGTCAGGAATGCCATCGGGGACAAGTTCCCTTTGTACAACCTGGGCTTTGGTGACAATCTGAATTATAATTTCCTGGATACTATGGCCCTGGAGAACAATGGGTTTGCCCGGCGCATTTATGAAGACTCGGATGCTGACTTGCAGTTACATGTACGCTCCGCCTTGCACACTTCTGGGAATGAAGCATTTATTTCTCAGGCAGCCACTCCACTGTGTGACAACTTCAGGTGTCAGAAACTATGAATACTTTTTACGCCAAAAAATTACATAGGATATTTCTAGGCCGGTCATAACAGGAGACATTACCACTGACTGGGTAGCTTAAACATCAGAAACACTTGTGTTAGTCTTGGAAGTTACAAGCTGGAGATCAAGGTGTCAGTGTGTTGGTTCCCTTCTGAGGGCAGGGAGGGAAGGGTCTGCTTAGGACTCCCTCTTTATCTTGTCATGGTCGTCTTCTCCTTGGGCCTTCCAGTGTGTTCCCTCATTGTGTGTCTGTATCCAGTTTCCTCTTTTTACAAAACCCAAGTCATATTGGATTAGTGCCCAACTTCATGACATCATTGGATTATTTTTGTAAAGATTCCACCTCCAAATAAGGTTGCACTGTGAGGATTAGGACCACATGTGAGCTTTGAGAATACAGTGCACAGTTCAACCCATAACATTCTTATACTAAAATAATGTTTTTAAAATATCTGCTATTCAAATGTAACTGTGTGTCTCACCTTTTGATCTGCTGGGCTTAGTTGCTTCCCACAGTTGGGTGTCAGCACCTCCATCTCTGCGAGGGGACCCCAGGGCCCTTTTCCCCTTTGTCTGATCCTCATCACTTTCTCTAGAATTTCTTTATTGAGAGTTCTGTGCCAAGAATGTTGTATGTTCCTTCTAGTCTCTCTGATCTCTAAAGGGTTGGGAGACAGCAAGAGCCCTCCTAGACTCCAGGGCATAGTCAGGGTCATTTAGAAGTGAAAATCCGGGACAGGACTAGTCCAGTCCTGGAGGACTAGATGCCACATAGCAGTGTTGGTCCTGGACCTTTCTATGTCTGGTCTGGGGTCTGAGATGAACAGGTCCCTGATTTGATCTACAGGGCTTCTATGAGGAGGTGGCTAATCCACTATTGACAAGTGTGGAGGTGGAGTATCCAGAGAATGCCATCCAGGACCTCACCAAGAACAATTACCCCCACTTCTATGATGGCTCTGAGATTGTTGTAGCCGGGCGCCTTGTGGACAGGGACATGAACAACTTTAAGGCAGATGTGAAGGGCCATGGGGTGAGTGGGAGCGAAGGCCTGGGGTGTGCTGGGAATGAAGAGTCAGCAGAAATGGGCCCTGTATCAAGGCTGATGGTCCAGGAGTGTCATCCTCTTGAGCCTGGCCTACCCAGTTCTATGTTCCAGTTTTCGAGTCCCTCATTTGCTCCATTCCCTGCCCAGGCCATGAACGACCTGACCTTCACAGAGGAGGTGGACATGAAGGAGATGGAGGCAGCTTTGAAGGAGCAAGGCTACATCTTTGGGAACTACATTGAGCGGCTCTGGGCTTACCTCACTATTGAGCAGCTATTGGAGAAACGGTGACTTGGCCCACCCCTCCCTTTGTGGGGTTAGCGCTGGGAACCTGGATGCCTAGCACCCACCTGTGTCTGCTCCTGCTCTGTGCTCTGAGCAGGGCCACATGAGTAAGATACTTATACACTGAGGAAAGGACCCCCATGCCCATTTTTGCCACTCTGCCCTCTTCTCGGTCCAGCTAAGGAAATGTTTCCAAGTGTTCCACTTCCTATTCATTATCCCAAGCAGGCAAGGACTACCAAGGCTGGTGACTCAAGAGTGCCTCAAAGACAGGGAAGAGATCAGTACCTGTTCCCTACACCCAGCACAACTCAATGGTGGGGAGGCTGAATAACTTGACACCTGGGGCTTAAGCCTCAGCACCCAGAGGTGGAGCTGGGCACTCTTGAGAGGGCGATTGCCAGCATTCCTTTAGGAAGGACAAGGCTGTAAAGCCCCGGCAGGATCTGACACTCACCGAGTGCTTGGTACACAGGCACTCACAGTGATGATCACAGTGGCCATTTCAAGTCTCTTGTCTTTTATGGGTGAGGGAACTGAAGCCTAGAGAGGAAAGTCTGTTCAGGTGCCCTGGGAAGCTGGAAAAGTGTTTTTATTCTGGGCCCCAGTGGATTCCACCCTGGGAGACGATGAGCACAGTGGGGGTTCCCTAGCTGCCCCTGGGATTCCTGGTCTGGTCTGGGGAGCTGCGCACAGAAGGCACACAGGACACTGTTCTCTGGACTGACCCTCTAAGCTGTTCCTCCTTACAGTAAGAATGCCTATGGTGAGGAGAAGGAGAACCTCACAGCCCAGGCCCTGGAGCTATCCCTCAAGTACAATTTTGTGACTCCACTGACCTCCATGGTGGTGACCAAGCCTGAGGACAATGAGAACCAGGCAGCCATTGCTGATAAGCCTGGGGAAGGTAGGCAGAGAGCAGAGGCCAGATCCTGGAGGCTTCCCTCTAGACCCTGGACCCTGGGAGCCAAAGAAAGGTCAAACTGGTAATATCAGACCTTTCAAGTAGGGCGGGTTTGAAGGCATCTAAAGGGGTATGGTGAGAGCAAAGCAGTTAGCAGGGACAGTGGGTGTGAGCCAAGGGGGAACACTGCTCAGGGCCATGTCAAAGAAGGGACTTTGGCTGTAGCACAGGACTAGGCTAGACAAGAAAAAGCACATCTAACCCCAAAGTTAGACCTGGAACAAGCTACTGGGGGGCTGGAAATTGTGAGAAAAAGAGGCCCTCAGAGCTGGAGGAGGCTGAGCTCATGATTTCTCAAGCAAACCCCAGAGTTGACTCACTAGGGGAACCCCAAATACCATGACAACTTCATGGGGAGCTTGGCACTGAGAAGCATGGGACGGGGGGGAAGAGCTGGTCTCTGCTAGGTCCCTGGCTTCTAGGAGTTCTTGGTTCTAGGGGACATTCTGTGGGGACAAAGCTAGCTAGCTGTTAGTTGGCATGGACAACTCTCATTGGTTGCAACGGCCCTGATCAATGGTCTGAATTTTCTAATGCATTTCTCCTCTTCCTCCCTTGATGCGCCTGCATTTTAGAAGGTAAGCTTTAGGTGGGCATCATGGGAGGGAGGGAGGGAGTTGAGACAGGCTGAAGAGGCCCTTCAGACTTGCTCCTCTGAGCCTTGGGGCTCCTACTCATTTTGTTGAGGATGGCTTCCTTGTCCTAAGAAGGGATAATAATTACATAAGTGTCATGACCCTCAGTGACCCTCCACAGGAGTTCTTTATGATTCTCACTTAAAATTTTTAAAAAATTTCTTAGTTTTATTTTACGTGAATGAGTGTATTGCCCACCTGTATGCAAATGCACCTGTGTCATGAAGAACTCCTGGAACTGGAGTTACGGATGATTGATAGTTGCCACATGGGTGCTGGGAACTGAACCCAGGTCCTCTGTAAGGGCAGCCAGTGCTTTTAACCCCTGAGCCATGTCTCCAGCCCCATGACTCCCACTTTCTAGTGAAAGAATAGAGGTACAGAGAGGACTCAGGCAGTAACTAATCTGGGACATAAGCCTAGGCAGTTTGGATCCAGTGCCCATGCTGAAAGTTGCTTCCCCGCATTTCTCTCACTTTAAAATTGAAATCTCATACACCTCCAGTCTAGTACCAGTGGGCAAGGCCTCCTCAGTCTCTCCCAAGCTGCTTGTCTGCATCTCTAAGGAGCACATATACATTAGGCCACTGTGGATCTCACCCTATCCCAACTAGGGGCTGAAGAGTCCAAAGGTAGGGGCAGAAATCTGTGAACATTACTCATAAAGGAGAGGTTGGTGACTTGACAGGTTTGCATTTAGCTACATCAAATGTTGTACCCCTGGCATTAAAATGATACCCTACTACCACAAGCCCTGTAAAGGGATTGCCTGGGCATGCCTGCCAATGTTAGGGCCCTAATGGGGACCAGTAGCCTCCAGACAGGCAGAAAGCAGAAGGTTGGGAGGAGGGAGCCTCCTGACCAAAGTTCATGATTGTCCTTTGGCTTCCTACTAGCGAACTCTGTGATCCCCTCCACGGCCTACATGAGTGAGTATACACTGCCACCCTTGCCTACCATCTAGAGCTCTCCCTTGCCCTGCTCCCTTTTGTGGTATTTCCTGAATCAGCTTCTGGAAGATAGACCAGGTGTCCTAGGGAAGTTGGGTGGTGTTGGAGGGGATGGAGGGAATGAAGTCATTTGAGAGTCAAAAGGGGAGGGGTATAGGCCAAACCAAGGGTGGGAGTCCCAGCCCACCTCAGGACAGATTACTTATTTCAACCTTGTTTTTCTTTGCTCTGTAGCCAGCTACCAGCCTCCTCAAACACCTTACTATTATGGTGAGTTCCTTGGCTCCTCCTTGATCAGGGCTCAGTGAACTGGGTGCACTGCTCCAGTCCACAGGGCCAGGAGGCCGGGGGAGGCTCCTGGTACAGTGAGAGTCTCTTGGAACCAGCCCATTCTCTGATGTGCCCTCAGTGGATGGGGACCCCCACTTCATCATCCAAGTTCCAGAAAAAGACGATGCCCTCTGCTTCAACATTGATGAGGATCCAGGCACTGTGCTGAATCTCATTCAGGACCCAGTCACAGGTGGGGCTATAAACTAGGGTTCTTATGGCAGCGCCTGAGTGCCCAGGTGGGTTCATGAACCAGGTACACCTCACTCTGTCCAGTAGCACATCCATCTTCATATGCAGGTGGGATGTGGGGGACTCACTGAGCCCCCAGTGCTATTAGAGAGAGGTAGAGATATGGGACTACCCTGCATCTGGGGAGCAGTTTTTCTTCTCACAATATTCCATGGCCCAGGCAAGGGGCAGATCCATAATATCCCATTCTATCCCAGACCTGAAGTTTCTAGGACAGGGTTGAGCTCCAAAACTCTGGTCTTTGCTTGGAGCCCTGTCTCTGCTCCCCATCAGCATGTGGCTAAAGGGGAAGGCCAGCCTGGCTCAGAGGACCTCACTGGTCTCCTTTCCTGTCCCATCCCTCTGGCAGGCCTCACTGTTAATGGGAAGATCATTGGAGACAAGGGCATTAGCCCTGATTCCAAGACCAGGAAGACTTACTTTGGCAAACTGGGCATTGCCAATGCTCAGATGGACTTCCGGATTGAGGTGACCACGGATAAGATCACCCTGTGGAATGGGGATGAACGGAGCACTTTCAGTTGGCTGGACACAATCATGGCCACTCGGGTTGGGTAGGTGCTCCAACTGTATTTCCAAGGGAAGCTGCCACCTGAGGAGCTAGAGAAATTCAGGAGGGATTTGAAGCAATTGTAGGACAGACTATTTACAGAAATCTCAGGAGAGATTGGTCTCAGTTCAGTCACCACTGAAGGATGATCATAGGGGATCCCCAATGAACCCTGGGATTCCTGTTAGAGCCAAAGTTTGTAGCTGGGCAATGTACAGGACTTACTTTGAGGGAAGCCCTGGCTGGATGAAGCATTAGATGGAGGTCAGGTGCAGCGGTGCACACATGTAGTTCAGCTGCTTCAGAGGCTAAGTCGAAGGGCTGCTTGATCCCAGGAATTCAAGACCAGCCTGGGCAACAGCAAAACAGCAAAACCCCATCTATCAAACTTTGATGTATTATTATGCATATGTGTGGGTGCATGATATGTGCGGGGGGGTGTTACACATGCCACAGCCTATGTATGGAGGTCAGAGGACAACTTTGTGGAGTCAGTTCTCTCTTTCCACTTTTATGTAGGTTACATGGGTTCTGGGGATTGAACTCGGATCATCAGGCTATTGTAGCAAGCACTTTTACCTACTAAGCCATCTTTCTGGTTCCTACAAGACCTCATCTCTAAACAGAAAGGAAGGTTGGGTATGATGGTACATATCTATAATCCCAGCATTTAGGAGGCAGAAGCAGGAGAATTACCATAAATTCCAGGCCAGCCTGGGTTACATGAGAAGTTCCAAGTTAACAAGGGCTACATAGTAAAACCCTATCTCAAAAAAATATCAATTAATTAAAAATAAATAAGGGTCTGGAAAGACAGCTTAGTGATTAAGAGAATATATTGCCTTTTTAAAAATATATCTTATTTATTTTTATTTATGTGTGTGAGTATATTGCCTGCATACAGGTAAGTGCACCCATGTCATGCAATGCCCTCGGAAGACAGAAGAGGCTGTCAGATCCCCTGGAACTGGAGTTACAGACAGTTGTCAGCTGCCATGTGGGTGCTGGGATTTGAACCTGGTCTTCTGTAAGAACAGCCAGTGTTCTTAACTACTGAGCCATCTCTCCAGCCCCATGAGAATATACTGCTTTTATAAGAGGACCTGAGTTCAGTTCCCAGTATCTATGTTGGACTGCTCACAACCACTGTAACCTCCCGCTTCAGTGGGATCTGACACCTCTGGCCTCCACAGGCCCTGTAAACACATGCATATACCCATCCGCCATACACATAATTAAAAAAATAATAAAATAAGCAGGAAAGAAGGGAGGGAAGGTGGGAGGGAGGAAGGAGGGCTTGATTAAGTGTCAATCCCCATTTACAACTCCTCTTGCTGACTGTTAGTTCTGAAGCTCCTTAGTATTTTCTATGTCTTCGGAACCCCGAGAGCTTGGGGGGCAGGGCAGCAGTACTACTCTGCCTGAGGCTAAGAGATGGATACAACCTGCTCTAGGTCACACAGAAGCCAGTGGCTGAGCTGGGGTTGGTCCCAGGCCTCTGGGCTCCCAAGATAGCCTCTTTCTTGCTCACAGATGAGCGAGGTACACTCAGTGGAAGACAACATGGATGAAGTAGCCTCTTCCAAACACTCCTGAACTAGTAGTGTTTGGTGTCTGTGTGCCTTCAGCTGTCATGTACCTGGAAGGCCTGGCTCAACTGCCCAAGATGGCCAGTTCCAGGACCACTGGGCCTCACTGCCCTTACCTCTTCTTTCCTAGGCTGTCTGTAACAATCAACAGGAAGAAGAATATGGTGGTCTCCTTTGGAGATGGGGTTAGCTTCGTGATTGTCTTGCATCAGGTTTGGAAGAAACATCCAGTTCACCAAGACTTCCTAGGGTTCTACGTGGTAGACAGCCACCGGATGTCAGCACAGACGCATGGGTTGCTGGGTATGTAATGCTCAAATTGAAGGCTGTTTAGTCACATGGCAGCATGGGAAAGATAAGTACAAAGCCATCTATTCACCTTATACCCAGGCCAAAACAAGCCCCTTTAGCAATCGCATCAACCCTGAAAGGTCAGTGACCACGTTACCCATGGCAATGGCTAGGGGCTGATAGTGTTTAATATGTTCATTCCCAGGGCAATTCTTCCATCCCTTTGACTTTGAAGTGTCTGACATCCACCCAGGCTCTGACCCCACAAAGCCAGATGCCACAATAGTGGTGAAGAACCATCGATTGACGGTCACAAGGTGAGGGGGCATACCCTCATCCTCCCCAGTAACAAGACAGGAGGAAAGAGCCCTCTCTGTCATGGTGTCTTGCTTGGTGGATTCTTATTTTCTGTGGGCTATCCCTGTTTCTTTTTGAGGTTTGGCCCTTCTAGGCTCTTCCTAATAGCCCAAACCTAGCTCCCTAGAAAGAGTCACCATGTGGCCTCATTCTTTTTTAAATATGTATATGAGTGCTTTACCTGCATGTATGTAAATGCATGTGTGTGTGCAGTGCCTGCAGAGGCCATAAGAGGGTGTTGGATCCCTTGGAACTGAAGTTACAGATGGTTGTTAGCCACCATGTAGGTGCTGGGAACCAAACCCAGGTCCTCTGCAAGAACAGCCACCTCTCTAGCCCCAATGTGACCTCATTTTTTACCAAAGAATTCAAATTTTCAACTTTAAGCTGGCATGGTGGCACGTGCCTGTAATCTTAGCACTTGGAGAGTGGAGACATGAAGGTCCTTGGCTGTACAGCAAGTTCAAGGCCAGCCTGGGTTACTTGAGACCCTTTCTCAAAAACAAAAGCAAATAAAAAAGCAAGTCAACACAACAAAATAATCCAAATTTCAGGGGCTGGTGGCAGGGATATAGCTCAGTGACAAAGGACTTGCCTGGAATACATGAGGCTCTGAATCAAGTCCTAGCACTGCAACGGCCACAAAAGAACTTCCCAGTTCCCAGCTTTGCTCAACCTTAGGCCCATGATGCTCACACCCACTTTGTTTACCCCATGCATTACAGCTTCCCTCTCTCTCTTTTCTCCCAGGGGCTCCCAGAAAGATTTCAGAAAGGATGTCAGAGTTGGCACGAAAGTCACCTGCTGGTTTGTCCATAACAATGGGGAAGGGCTAATTGACGGTGTCCACACTGACTATATTGTCCCCAGTCTGTTCTGAATAAACATGACAGCTGCTGCTGAAATGGAAGTCAGCTTGCCTGGTATCTGGAACAGGGGCACAGGATGGAGCCTGTGGGAAGGAACTGGACAATAAAGCCAAGCATGGAAACCAGGCGCTGCTGCCTTTGTGTGCCTCGTGAGCCATTACTTTAGAACAGGCAGTTGGCCCGAGAGCTTAATTAAGGGAGGGGATGGCTGGGAGGAAGGCAACTTCCTGGCCTCTTAATTAAGACAGTTGTGGGACAGAATTGGTTGGGGTAACACCTTGGGGATGATGTGAGAAGAAAATTAATCCAGAATTGACTCTGGGGCAAAGAGGCTCTAAGAAGTGAGGAAGGGCCGCATGCTGCTCAGAGTCCAGGAATGCCTTAAGTCAGGCAACATGGCTCAGAGCGCCTTACTTTTCCTATCACTATGACAAGAAGCAACTTACAGGAGGAAGGCTTTATTTTGGCCCATAGTTTGAGAGAGTACAGACCATCATGGGGTAGGCATGGCAGCTGGGACCAGCTTGGCCCAAGGTAGTAGGAATTTGCAGTCTGGCTTTCTCACATCTCTGTGGATCAGGGGGTTAGAAACCAGGCTGTGCTATATAGCTTAGTAAGGCCTACCCCCTAGTGACCTACTTGCTTCAGCTAGACCTCTTAAAGTTTCCACAGCCTTCCAAAACAATGCCACTAAGTGTTCAAACACAGGAGTCTATGGGGGTCTTTCACATTTATATCATAACAGGAGGAAAAATTCATTTTGGCTCACAGTGTCAGAGAATTCTACCTCTAGCTGTTTGACCAGTCAGCATGGGCATGCAGTGGCATGATACACAAGATGGCAGTATGTATCAGAGGAAGTCTGTCTACCTTATGGTGGTCAAGAAGGACAAAGGGAGCTACGGTCAGGGTGGCAGCACATGTTTCTAATGTGAGCAGTTGGGAAGCAGGAGGATTGGGGTCAGCCTAGAGAGTTGCTAGCCACCCTGGGCACATTTAAGACCCTATCTCGAACAAATGAAAAGTTAAAAAATGAAGGAGGAGGAGGAAAAATAGAACCTGATAAAAATGATGGCACATTCTTGTAATCCCATCACTTTTCAGGTGGAGGCAGAAGGATCAGGAGTTCAAGACCAGCTTGGGCTCTATGAGGCCCTATCTCAAAAACAGAGAAAGAGAAGGAGGAAGAGAGGAGAGAGGAGAAAAGGGAGAGGAGAGAGAGAGACAGAGACAGAGAGACAGAGAAAAAAAATATCCAGAGTTCCATTATCCCCTTCAAGGGCATGGTCCTCAATTGACCCAGGTTCCTTCCACTAAACCCAATATTCTAAAAGTTCTACTATTTCATAATAGTGCCACAAGCTGGTATCCAAGTCTTGAACACATGGGTTTTGGGGGACACTCCAGATCTAAAATATCTACCTATCTATTCAACTATTCATCCATCCATCCATCCATCCATCCATCCATCCATGTATCCATCCATTCAACCATTCATCCATCCAGTCATCCATCCAGTCATCCATCCACTCAACTACCCATCCTGATTCAGCAGATAGACACACCCTAGGTCAGGATCTGCAGCACAGAGTTTGTAATACAGTTTCCATTTGCACAGCCATCCAAGTTTGCCTTCAGCAAGGCCAAGCCTCTCTGAGATCCTCCAGTCACTTCATGGTGACCGCTTGCTCTCCCAACAAATCTGGGGTGGGATAGGGAGGCAAAGAGAGGTTCCTAGAGAAAGACTCCAGTATTTCATTGGTAGGGCCTTGGACTGAGAAAGAGAGTGGGAGCTGGGCACCAGCATGAATCACTCACACTATTCTCTGCTCTCACTGTGGATGTAATGTGGCCTTGACTTCACCACAGTAATGGACTGCAACCTGGAATCATAAGCCAAATAAACCATTTTTTCTCCCTTAAGTTGCTTTTGTCAAGATATTTCATCATAGCAACAAAACACAGAACTAAAACAGTGCCCAATGTAACCATGGTTCTTGGCTCATGATTCTTGGTGCAGGCAGGAGCTGGAAAGTCCCTAGTGAATAGAAGAGCGGAAAAACATGAACCTGCTTTCAACTGTTCACAGCACAACTGCATTGCTGTTGCACTGATTCTGCGGCCAGGCCCAGGTAGCTTTCCGGGAGTGGAGAGCTTGGTTTGGGCAAGTTTACCTGTCCTTAAATGTCTCTTGCTAGCCCCACAGCAAGCCCCTAGCCCTAGGCTACTCTCTTGTCTCATAGCAGTCTTTCCTGAGCTTCTCAGGGTGACATTCAAAGAGGCTGGAGTCCTCCACCTATCAAGGAGGCTGGGCAGAGGATCAGCAGTACAAAATGAGTGTTCCTTTATGTTGGACAAACCTGCTAGAACCTCCCCTAACCCCCACTGACCTGATCTCTCACTCCTCTAGAAAGACTCATTCAGTAAATACCCTCCATAGCTCAAGAGGTGGCAAAGAATAGTTCTCTGATGCTCTGATCTGTTTTCCCTAACAGGCTAGTGAGTGCACTTTATGCTTTATCCTGGCTGCCAGGAAGCTCAGAGCAAAGCTGTGTGATCAGTTCCTCTACAGCTTGCCCACCCTGTGTCTGTGATTTAACTGTCCTACTGCCTGCTCTTCTTTTACCCTCATACCCATGGTCTTTGGCTTTATTCTCTTTGTGTTATCTATTTGTAAGCTATGGATTGTATTCTTTTCTTCCCTAGACATAAGTAGAGCCCAGCTGCCCTTGGTATCTACAGGGGATTGGTTCAATGACCCCCCTAAGGATACAAAGTTCATGAATGTTTAAGTCCATATATATAAAATAGTGTAGTATTCACACAGTGTAGTGTTCACAACAGTGCGGTGTTCACAGCCTCCTGTGCTCTTCAAATTCTAGATTACTTATAACACTGAATACATTGCTATATAAAGTTTTACTGTACTGTTCAAGGAATACGGACGAGGAAAGTGTCTGTGCATGTTCAGTACACATGCAATTTTTTTGGAATATTTTCAATCCATGGTTGGTTGATTCTATACATGCAGGACCTCTGGGTTCAAAGGGCCAACTATAATACATACTTCTAAAATATGCTTTAAGTCAAGTGTGGCCAATGCCATGCCTTTATTCCCAGCACTCAGGAGGCAGAAGCAGGCAGATCTTTATGAGTCTGAGGCCAGCCTGGTCTACATAGCAAGTTTTAGGCCAGTTGGGCCTACAAGGAGACCCTGTCTCAAAAAGACAATAAATGCTTTGGATAGTACCTTCAGGGTCCTTAATTCTATGGTATACAGAGGAGAAGAGACCTTCAACAAACAACACAGGACTTAAGAGTTGAGGACCCTAGTCACTCTTCAGACAAAAGCTTTCTGGGAATAGGCTCCTGTTTGCCTCTTGGGGCTGGGCCTCACCTCTGTCTTCTTGACCTTCCAGTGCTACTATTTATTTATTTATTTGTTTGTTTGTTTGTTTGTTTGTTTGTTGTGGGTTCTCCTCAGGCCAGCTGTGAAGATCCTGACCTGGGTCGGGTCCCCTGCCGATTGGTGGGGGGCAAGAGGCGCAGAGTAACGACACACAGACCCCGGGAGTCTGGTAAAAGCAAGCACCAGGCAAGGTGCTGCAGGAGGGGGCAGGCCTTATATTTCCCTTTTCTCCGCCCCCAAGTCTCTTTAGTCAGCATATCGTTTTCTGATTGGTCCGCACCACGCAGTCTGTTAGCAGTCACTGAGCTCCCAAGCAGGGTATGGAGGCGTGGGCTCCTTTTGGCGGGCTATTTGCAGACCTAGAAGTTAGTGAATTCTCGCTGAATCCCAGGGCTCTGGGTCCGCGCCATCTTTGGAGGCCTCCTGCTATATTTATTTATTTATTTTTATTTATTTATTTATTTATTTATTTATTTATTTATTTATTTAATCAGACATTGGGCAGACAGGCTGTTCCTTGTTGTGAAGATCAAACTAAGGCCAATCCCACTGCAAAGGGCCCCCAAAATGAAAAAGCATGGAGTTGACCTGTCCTGGTGTTATGTATTTATTTCCTCAGAGTGGAGACATTCCTCCTGGAGAGAAGAGGGAGCAGATAAGGCTCTGGAAGCTCAGAAAGTGACAAAGTTTACAAGGGACCTTCCCAAGGTTAAACTGCTGGGGAGAGGAAACACTGGTGGAACCGCCCACAAGTTGGGCAAGGAGTGCCAGGGATGCAGACTGACTTCCTTCCTTCCTTCCTTCCTTCCTTCCTTCCTTCCTTCCTTCCTTCCTTCCTCTCTTTCTTTTTTCTTTCTTTCTTTTTCTTTCTTTCTTTCTTTCTTTCTTTCTCTCTTTCTCTTTCTTTCATGTGTATGTGCACATGTGTACAGATGTGTGTATGTGTGTATGTGCACATGTGCAGGTGCCAGCAGAGGCCAAAAGAGGGTGCTGGATCCTGGAACTGGAGTTACAGGTGGCTGTGAGCCACCCAATGTGGGTGCTGGGAATGCTACTCTGGTACTCTGCAAGAGCAGCAAGCTCTCTTAACTGCTGAGCGTCTCTTCTGCTCCCAGAGATGTGACCTTTGAGGGTCACCATCCATGCTGGTGATGCAGTTGCCTTCGAGTCACCCATGCTCTTGTAAGCAACCCCTCACTATGCTTCTCTAAGTACCCCAATAAACTCACTGGTTCACCAAGCTACAGTTGGGTGAAATTTCTTCTTAGGTCTGTCATTGGTGCCCTCTCTGGGGTGAACAGACATGTGTCCACATCTCTTCAGGAAGAACAAAAATCACACCATAGTCCATTCCAGTTTACTCTTATGAGGCAAAGCTGGTCCAGGCAGCTAGAGAGTAGCCAGAAGTCTGTCCCTAGAGAGTGTTCTCCAGCTCTGGTGCCCTCACTGGGTGCTACACTGACATTTTGAGTAGCTGGTTTAGGTTCCTGGTTCAGGGGAAGATAGGGCTGGAAGTTCTCCATGGGCTTCTCTGTCAGTGGTAGAAGAGGCTAGTGGTCCATAAGGCTGAATACTCAGGTTGGGACCCCAAATCCCATGGAATCATGACACCCACTCCCTGGGCTTATGCCACCTTTCTTTATTTGTAACAAGTGGGACTCCCCTTCCCCATGAAGACCTAGGCCACATAGGTGACCATGTAGGCACATAGTGTCAGCCATCTGCATACAACACATGGGCAAAGTTGCTCCAGCAGCACTAGATCTTCACTGTCCAACAAGAAATCTCTGTTCCTGGGGATTCCTGTTGGTAATCCAACTTGAGCTCCCTGGGGTGGGAAGACAGCAGACCAATGGTCAACAAACTTCAGGTGTAATGGAAAGGGTGAATTACTGGACAACTGCAGACAATAACATGGACAGCAGGGAGTCCCAGAGTCCCTCTAGCATAGGTCAGGAAGGCCCAGTTGCCCAAAAGATTACACAAGGGACCCAGAATGTATGGTCTCCATGACCTACAGCTCTAGAAGTTGGGGAAGAGACAGGAAAACTGTCCTACTTTCCCCAACCCACAGCCGGTGTTTTCTGTGGGTCTGAGCTGACCATCCTTTGTGGGAATCACCCTTTCTAGTTTTATGTCTCTACTTCCTGAGCAAGAACAGGAATGGGGTTCCATAGAGCCTAGCTCCTGCTCTCCTCAGCCCACCCTCAACCTTGGCCAGGCCCAGTGGCCTGCCTATGCCAGGTTACCTGATAGCAAGGAAGTGGTTTCCTTGAACTCTCAGTTTTCGTTGGTTGGAATCTGTTCCCTCTGGTGGTTCCCAGAGCACATCCTGGTAAAACTGACCTAAGAAAGAAAGGGTGAGTCAGTGAGGGATAAAGGCACCAAAGGGCACAAGTGAGAGGCACTGCCTGTTCCCAGTCAGAGGTGGTTTCTGAGGGCAAGTGCAGTACCAAGTTCTCCATCGATGTTGCTAGACAAGTGATGAGTGTCATTCAGAAAGAGCAGCAGTCCCTTCTGAGGGCTATCCCTGGATAGCAGGCCAATGGTTACTTTGTCTGGGCCTTTGAGCAGCAGGAGTCCCCTCTTGTCCATGGTCATCTTCAGACTGCAGAGAAACCCCACATTTTAGGTAGGAAGGCAGAGACACATGCATGGAGCCTCAGTGGGTTGTGCAAAAGTGGCAGGGTCTTCCTCTTGTCTGGGGAGTAATTGTGTGGTCTTGGGCAGAGAACCTTAAATCTGCTGGGTTTCAGTTTCCTCATTACTAAAACAACAGTGAAATTAACGTAATGATGTCCAATTTCCCCAGCATTATTTACAAACTACAATAGTTCCATTCCCTCTGGTTTTAAATTTGGATTCTCATGAATTCATTTTATATGATTTTTTTTGAAGGATGATGGTTAATTTTCATTGTTAATGAAAAGCACCTAGGATATTAGTGAAACACATGTCTGGATGCATCTATAACAGTGTTTCTAGAGGATTAATGAAGGGGGAGATCTGTCCTGAATATGGGCTGCACTACCCACAGGTAGTGCTTGGATGGATTAAGAGGGGAGAAAGAGAAAGACGTGCAGGCATGTCTGGGCTGCCATGATAGGAGCTGCCCTGCTCTGTCATGCCCTCCCACCATGGAGGAACTGGAAGCACTGAAAGTGAGCCAAAATAAATCCTTCGTCCCTTAATTTATTTCCCTCGGACATTTGGTCACGGCAACAGGAGAGCTGGGTACCCCTGCTCTGTGCCCTCTGTTTTTACAGCTGGTGCTGCTTTAGAAGAGTACTGTTTAATCAGGTGTTTTAACATCTATGGGGGCTCTCATTCTAGTCCATTTATTTATTTATTTATTTATTTATTTGTCTTTTTGAGACAGGGTCTCCCAGGGTCTCTTTGTCATTGATCTGTACTGCTCACCCTTTTTTTTTCCTTTTATTTGAGACAGAACCACTCTAAATTGCCCAGATTGCCATTGAACTTGCCCTGTAGCCAGGCACGCCTTGAACTCATGATCTTAGGCTGGCCTTGAACTCACAGAGATCTGCCTGCCTCTGCCTCCCAAGTGCTGGGATTAAAGGCGTGCACCACCACATCCGGCTTATTCCTTCTTATTTACTTAAAATAGCCTTTGAAATATTTGCCCTTTTGGTTTCCTTATAAATGTTAAGCTTGGTTAAGCCAGTGGAGTAGGACCTGGTGGCTACTCTAAGTTATTTAAAATAGAATTGTTCTAATTTTACCCTTTCCATTAATTTCATTTAATCCAAAATACATAGTGTATTTTTCTCATGTGTATCTTCTATAGTTCATGAAAGGATTTGAACTTTCTGTCATTACAATGAATGAGAACTCTTGATTTCTTTTTCCAGCATGTATTTCTAGGACACAGAAATGATATCCATCTTTATGTTTCAACCAGATAATAAACTTTGTCTTGGTGGCTGGTCTAGATGGCTCAGCGAGTAAGGAGGACTTGAGTTTAGATTCCTAGAACTCACATAAAAGCTGGACGCTGTAGTGTGCACCTGTCTAATCCTAGCATGCCTATGATAAGATGGAAGGCATCTTATTCTCACAGGAAAATCCGTGGATGCTCACAGGCCAGCTAGCCATGATCCTTTTTCAAATAAGGCAGAAGGAGAGGACTGAAGGACTGACACCCGAAGTTGTTCTCTGACTTTCACATGTGTGCTATGGCCTGCATGCACGCACGCGTGTGTGTGCGCGTGTGTGCGCACACACACACATTGTACACACATCAAAAATCTTTTTATAAAGGAAGAAACTTTGTCTTTTATAAAATCGAAGGACTTCAGATGAGCCTACTGGATGTTCTGTGTGTATGTTCACTTGTCAAATGGGAACAAGGCCCTGCTAAAGGCATAGCGAGGTAAAAATGGACAGGACCTGGGAAAAGATAGGCTATGGCATAAGTAGGAGGCTCAGAGGGCATGTCTCACAGGGACACAGGGTCCTCAGCCCCTTGTGACTTCTTGAGCTACTGAGCTGTTTCTGTGGGCAGTCATGCTTTCCAGAAGTCACCTTCTGCCTCCATATCCACTAGCTGCCCAGTATTTGCTGTCAGCTGGACAGAGCTTCAAAAGCACATGTTAATGGTTGATTGGACTGGGAAACACCTAGAAGACTAGTAAAGCATGTTTTTGAGCACACCTATAAAGGCATTTCCAGAGACCATTGACATGCTAGATAGCAAACAAGCAGGGAGGATCACTCTGAATGTGAGTATCATCCACTAGGTGGGGTCCGGATGGTATAAAAAACAGAAAACCCAGGCTGCTAGGCAGGCATGCGTTCCTCTGCTTTCTCCATCTCTTGGCTGCCACAGGTAAGCCACTTTAACCCTCCTGCTTTCACCCATAATGCTCTGCCTCACCACACCCAGGCCCAGAAACAACAGAGCCATAGACTGAAACCATGAGCCTCGTTTCTCTCAGGTACATGCTATAGCAACTAGAAAACGAACACCACACACCAAGAATAACATTCATAAGCCCTGGTAGACAGTGCCTCCAGCTTTCCACCATTACCATCTTGACCTCACCAGGCACAGAGCATTGACCTTGGGTGTGTCTGGGAGACACCGGCCCACCTGATGGTAAGTGTTCCCCAAGTACTTCCTTTCAACAGGTCCCCCTAGGCCTTAGATTCAGAGACAGAATGAGTATCTCAAGAGATTGTAAGGAAACTAGAGCTGGAGAGATTGTTCAGCAATTAAGAGCACTGGCTGTTCTTGCAGAAGACCCGAGTTTGAACGCCAGCACCCACATGGTGGCTAACAGCCATCCGCGACTCCAGTTCCAGGGGATCCAATGCCCTCTTCTATCCTTTGTGGGCACTGAATGACACAGGTGCACTTATATACATGTAGATAATATACTCATACATATAAAATAAAAATAAATAAATAGCCAGGCATGGTGGTGCATGCCTTTAATCCCAGCACTCAGGAGGCAGAGGCAGGTGGATCTTTGTGAGTTCAAGGCCAGCCTAGTCTACATAGTGAGTTCTAGGCCAGCTAGAGGAAGACCCTGTCTCAAAAAAGACAAAATTTTTAAAAAAATTATAAAAAGAGAGATGGTAAGGAAACTAACACTCAGAAGGGCTAAGTGGCTCATGCAGGGTCACACAGGATTATCTCCAAAGCTAGTTTCAAAGCACACTGTCTTTACATGGGATAGTAACCTGGTGAGTTGTGAGGTCCAGGTCCCAGGGTGATTCCTCATGTCTTCAGAGTTTAGGGAGTTCTGGGTTTGTAGCTCTGCCCTATCAGGAGTGCAGCCCACTACAGAGGACTCACATTCAGCTACTCCATCTGTGGCCTCAGGCCCTGGGAACCCAGCCTGGGACTTACTCAGGAAACACAGAGAACACTGTCTGCTTCCACTTGTAACCAGTGTGTTTTTGGTTCCGAATTACCACCACATAGTCAGGAGATGCGTGAACCAGCAGCTCAGGGTTCCTGAAGATTATCTTGATCGATGAGAACCCAGCCTTTTGTTTATCGTACTGGCCAGTCACTGTAAGCCCTAAGGAGGTAGAACAGAGAGGTCAAAGTGAATGCTGAACAATGGCCTTAACAGGGACTACTCCTGACTATGTCCTTTTGGGAACTGTGTCTCCTCAGAAGGGCCACTCCTTTTGCTTAGCAATATTTATTTCTACCCCAGGTCTGTTTTTTATCTCTTCCCTCATGCTTTAATTTCCTGTGGTTTTGGAGGGGGCCCCAAATCTTCATTGATGGCCTCTCTTGGTGAGACTTCGGAGATGGGAGAGGACTTGTTTCAATCTATAAACCTTCATCCGCCCCCTACAGTGTGTCTGGCCCTGAGTTAGCTACATGGCTGAGTGAAATGGAAAGTTCCTGCTGCAAGGAGCTGACAGATAGCCCAAGTCTGAGTGATGCAGCAAGAATCCATGTGGTTCTCAGAGGTATGAATGTTCCTGAGCTCTTTGTAGCTCTGCATGAGCATTCCTGAGTGATATGCACCCATGTCTGGCTGGACACTTCTAGACTAGTGAAGCCAGTTCAGAAAAAGTAGGTAGGGTCTGCCTGGCACATCTGTTCCTCCAACCATTACCTTCCTCTATACTACTAGGGGCCCATGGAAATATAGAAGCCTATGCTCTGCAGCTTCATCTCCTCTAAATGGAATACCTTTACCCTTTCCTCCATTCATCTGACAATCTTGGGTGACCCTGTACAGCTCCACTAACCCTAAGTAACTCTGGCCTCCTCTTCTCAGCTCTGGGCATGGACCCCGGTATACACAGGTCACCCTGTTGAATGCCCAGTGAAAGCTTGGGGTGGCTGTGGGAATGCCATGTTAGTGCACAGGGAATCTGCCCACAATGGATGTGTTGCTGTGGTCAGGGGATAAGTGTATGTGAGTGGTGTCTGGGTCTCTATGGGGATGTTTGGGATACATCTCTCACCTTGGTCAGCATCTGTGAGCAGGTTCATGAACCTCTCAGATGGCTTCATGTCTATACAGAGTTGGTCCACACTGGGCCCAGGGAGTGACAAGATGATAGTAGGAGCTTGGAGGGGGGCTAGGGTAGTCGGTGGGGAAGGGTGCTGGGAGAGCAACTTATTCAGGCTTGGGCTTTGGGTTGACATGGTGTTTCCTAAAAGAAGAAGGAAGACAAGGTATGGATTTAGGCAGCCCCTTTCTGGGAAAGTGGGCATTGCAGAATGAAGTAGTAAGTGATTGTGGCTGGGGTTCCCACTACACTTCAACATGGGGAAACTCATATAATAAGTTAGAGAGATTCAGGGCTTTTCCTTACCCCTAGGGCTTGTCCTTTCCAGGATCTCCCAGTTAGGACAAGAAGTTACTGCAGGGACTTGGGCTTGAGGGTACCTTTATGCTTTTTGTTTTGTTTTTGGTATTGGGGGTCAAATCCCAGGGCCTTGTGCATTCCAGGCAAGTGGTCTACCACTGAGCTATACCCCAGCCCTAGTGCCTTTATGTTTTATGTACATACCAGTCAACAGAGCATGTCTGGGATCCCAGGGACTGTATGGCGCTGAGACGGGCATGGGTGCAGGAACATTCATAAACAGAAAAGAGAGTTGGTCAGGATGCGGCACCCTGCCCCTTCCCTGCCACCCACAAAGCTCAGACCTAGAGGGGCAGGGGGAGATTTCAAGGAGACAAGTCCTGCTTAGTGTAACAACTGAGTCTGTGTTCAGATTTGGGGATCAGAAGCAATGTAAGGGACCATAGCTGACTTTGGAAATGGGGACGTCTTTCTTTCCATCATGGAGAGCAGATCCTTCTTATTGAAAACAAAGGATGTACAAAGTCCTACTCTGGGGACGGGTAGCCCGAAGTCCATTAACTGGTGGGGAAGAGATGTCTCAGAAAGGAAGGAATTAGCCATGTTGATCCAAAGAGCCCCATCATGAGCCTTCTTGGGGTCCAGGGTTTGTGGGAGGCTGCTCTGTCCAGGCTTGTGGTCTGGCAATCTAGGGATAGCAGAAGTGCCAGGAGAGAACCTACCTAAGGAGATACAATGCTCAGGACTAGGAAAAGAGGAGGCTGGTCAAGGGCTGGGCAGGAAATGCTGTGCTCACCCCCAGCACCTGGCCCTGCCTTAGGACAGGGTTTGGGTCCAGCCCATCTGTCTCTTGGCAGCTGTCTTTGCCTGGTCTGTGCCTGGTGCTTTCTCACTCCATGGGGCAGGGTCACTGAGCATCATGGAGAAAAGGAAGCTTGCTGAGGGTCAAAAAGGTGCTCACAGAATAGCTGTTCCAACTTCCCTTTGTTATGCTGTAGTCCGAAACCAGGGCCATAAGGAAAATGATCAGGTCCAGGAAATCCAGGAAGGGCAGGCAGGCTAGCAAATGAAGGTTGTCCAGCAGGTGCAGGTTGTCTAGGAAGTGCAGGTTGTCCAAATATCCTAGCACCAACATTCTTGAGTCCCACACCAGGTGACAATCTGGAAGCTCCTACTTTGGTAACATTGACATATGTAATGTACTTAGAGACAGTGTCCTGGGTCTCCACAGCCAGGCCTAGGGACCTTAATGTCAGGAGTGTGATGTAAAAAGAGCAGGTAAGCAGGTAGCCCCACTTCTGCCATGCTGGGGTGCCACCCCTACCTGGGAGACCATCACTTCTAGAACTCCTCCCTCTGGAAGGTCAAGCCTCCCCCAGACAATGCCCTTCAAACTTCCTTGAGTACTGAATCCTCTTCCTTGATGGCTGCCTCCTAATTAAACACACCTGAGCTGGAGTCCCAGGCCTGTTACCAGCCAGGTGAACCAGACCAGGCTTTCCCCTTCTTTAGCCAAGGAAAAAGCCCAGTCTACAATCCTGCCTTTTTCCATCCCTTCCTCCTTTGCCACCTGTGTTTCTGGACAGTCTGGATCCTACATCATGAAATTTGGAAAGACGGTGATCTGGAGGTCGGTGAGACTTAGGTTTACTCCTTGGAGCTAGCTCTCTACCACTCCAGTTGGATGAGGACTATGTATGTAGAATCCAGAACAGAGCTTGAGGGATAGCCAGTATTTGAATGAACAACTAAGTACACAGGCATGCTTGGTTAGATAATGCCACCTCCTGGCAGTAGAGCAGAATGGGGCCTTGACCATGCAGGCGGCCCCCACCTAGGCCAGCTTCTGAGCATATTAGGTCCTTACCGAATGACTGGAAATTCCTCTGTGTATTATCTGTATAAAACACAACCAAAAGAAGAGATGGGGGTGGGGAAAGACTGTCAGTTTTGGTCAATTTGAAGTGCTTATGTTTAAACCTGCTTCCCAACCCCAGAACCATATTCACTGCATGCAGTGAGTCTGGGAGGTGGGGGAGCCTGGCTTCAGTTTCTTCCTTAGTCAAGATGGAAGAGTCTCCCTGGGCTTCTAGGAGTCTGTGAATGGCAGGGTTAGGGTCTTGGTCAGAATGCAGGGAGGCATGCTAAGCTAAAGCTCTACTGACTAGGAGGCTGAGCTCTCAGCCCCATGCTCACCATTTTCCACAGGCTTCTCAGCAACTTGAAATTGATCTTGGCCTTCAGGTTTGGTTACCACCATAGATGTGAGAGGAGTGACAAAGTTGTACTTCAGGGACAGCTCCAGAGCTTGGGCCTTCAGGGCTTCTAATTCAGCATCTGATGCTGAAACACTGTGGGTTGAGGACATAAAACCTCAAGAGGTCCCTGGATACCTCTGCAGTCTCCCTCCCACTGGCTCCTTCTTTGAGTCCCCTTAGGAGGATGTAGAGTTCGGACATGATATCTCTTTCCATCACTAGTAGATACTCGGTGCCTGTTGTACCCACCCTACCAGTAAAAGGCTTATGGAGCACTGACGTATGATGCAGCCTACCCCAGTAGCTTGTAAGGATTAGGGTTACTCACATCTGCTCCAGCTTCTGTTGTATGGTCATGTATGCCCAGAGTCTCTCCATGAAGTTGTGGAAGATGTACTTAGGACTGTGGAACTCCTTCTCCTGTTGGGCCACACTGGCCTTTGTTTCAAAGGTGATGTTTTGCAAATGCTAGAAGGAGGTGCCCAGCCCGGGCAGGAGCAGTGAGGGCCTGATGTCTGTATATATCTGGCACTTTAGAGTTCTTCTGTTAGAATCCTGATTGGACCTGGGGCAGGTCAGTGCACTGACCAACCATGAGATCTGTATTTCCTTTAAGTGGTGCAGGGGGTAAGGAGGGAGTTTAGGGTACAACAGTCTCCATCACAGGGTCTCCAAGGGTAAGGAGGAGGTGGGGATAGATGGTAAGCAGCTGTCTAGGTGCAGCAAGACAGCTGTGTAGCTAGGAACTTGGGTCAGCTGATGAAGGGAAGCAACCTCTAGGCCAGTGTAGAAACAACAGCAGGAATCAGTCTGAAATGCAGTGTGGAGCAGAAAGAGATATAGCATCTTCCCCCAAAGATGGAGAAAAGGAAGGACGGGCCTTCCCCAGCATCAGGTGTCATGGCTACAGCGTTGGGGTACATAGAGCCCAAACAAGCTGTCCCTACCCGGTGTGGGCCTTCTGCTGGGACTGGCCACTGTAGGTTGATAGGAAGCATTGTGCACAAGTGCTCTATGGTCTGGCTGCTTTCTTTCTGGGGAAGGGGTGGTTATGGTCCCAGGCTGGCTCAGGTAGCATCTTAGGAAATAAGGCCCAGAGCAGAGGTGCCCCAGGCTTGTTCTCACCCCAGCAGTCAAAAGGCCCTTTACAATATAGTTTATCTGCTGCCTATCTTGTTGACATCATCATCCTCTGGCTCTTACTCAGGGTCTTGTTTGCCAAACCTTTGGTACATGAAAGCCACCTGCACGAATTTTTCCCTATCTATACAATAAGGTTACTTATTTGATGTTTTTCCTTCAGTGAACTTTGAATAGATTAGCATTCTTTATCTGGGCTTATCCCAAGCAATGCTATCTGTGAGTTGAGTCTAGTGGCGTAAGTCTGTAATCCTAGCTACTTAGTAGGCTGAAGCAGGAAGACTGAAAATTCAAGGCCTGCCTGGGTTACAGAGGGAGTTTAAGACTAGCTTTAGTAATTTAGCAGGTACTGTCGCAAAATAAAAGGTATAAAGAGGGATGTAGCTTAGTGGCAGAGTATTTGTTTGAGGCCCTAGGTTCAATTCCCAGTACTAAAAAAAAGTGTATGTACACACACACACACACACACACACACACACACACACACACAACCTTATGAAATTTGAGTCGTGTTTGTGTTTGGGACCACAAACTAATTCTACAGTGACTCTATGAAGCGGGCATGTGAGTTAGTCTCATCTTTAAACAGGAGGAAACTGAGACACAGGGAGTTTAAGTGATTGCCTTGCTTCTCACTTCTGGGAGGTAACAGGGCTGGCTTTAAAGATAGGTAGGCTGGCCACACATTTCATGAACAGTCATTTGAGTCGTGTTTGTGTTTGGGACCACAAACTAATTCTACAGTGACTCTATGAAGCGGGCATGTGAGTTAGTCTCATCTTTAAACAGGAGGAAACTGAGACACAGGGAGTTTAAGTGATTGCCTTGCTTCTCACTTCTGGGAGGTAACAGGGCTGGCTTTAAAGATAGGTAGGCTGGCCACACATTTCATGAACAGTCCCAATACTTGGCTGTTTCTTGTGAGATGAGGCATTGGGTCCCCATGCTCATGCCATTCTCTACAGACATGCCCAACTGGCATATAAGCCTGAATAGCCCTTCTTCACATCTGGTTTCTGCCCATCTCTTATTTATCCCTCAACCTTAGCAAGCCTCCTGCAGGAATCCCATTTTGATCCCAGGTCAGATGGAGGCTCCCAATACTGCTCTCTACAGCCCTGGGTCTGTTCTGTGAGGGACATTTTAGCTTGTCACTCCATGTTTGTACAAGCTGTCTCTACATGGAGGGTGAGGGGGATTGGCTTTATTCACTGCTGCATCCTTTGACCTAAGGATTGTGTTTTTATTTATGGGACAACAGGGACTCTCTAGGAGGAGGCAGCATAGGCTGAGAGCCTGTATGGTTACAGAGACAGTGAAGTCTGAGCAAGGACAGGGCTCGATGAGGTGAGCTGGGCTTCTGACTTAGATGCAGTGGAACCTAGTAGAAGTTGCTTGCCTTGCCTGGAGCTTACTTTGTTCATCTGTGGAACTAAAGAGCTACTCCCATTTCACAGATGAGCACTATGCTGTCTTATTGGGTCTCTACCATAAACTCATGTGGTTGGAACTGGTGCCCTTCAGGGAAATCTGAAGAATAGGGCTCTTTGAGACTCATTCAAGGTCAATCAGGTGGAGCTTGGTAGGGCTAGGACTTGAGCCTAGGCCCTCCAGCTACAAATGAAGGAGTTGCCCAGGCTGCCCAGCTGTCTGCTCCCTTCAGGAAGACTCAGCCACACTCACCATCTGTCCACTGACTTTGGCTGAGAGAACATCAGGGCCTTGGTCCGGGAGCTTCCCAGCTACCACCATCTCTGAGCCTTTAAAGTGGTGTCGGAAGCTGTCCTGTGTGATCACCTCTACATCATGGCTGGGGTATTCAAAAGCCACTGCCAACAGTAGTGGGTTGGCTACCTCCTGGTAGAAGTCCTGCAGGGTAGAAGGGGGCATGTTATAAAGGCCAAGCAGGCAGGGTCTGCCTGGTTCTCTGTAGCCCACCTGGAGCATACTAGTACCTGGAGCTGTAGTGCAGAGTCTGAGTCCTTATAGATGCGCCGGGCTAGGCCACCATTGCCCAGTGCCAGCTTCTCTAGGAAGGCATAGTCAACATCGAAGCCGAAGCCCAGGCAGAAGAGGCTGTACTTGCTGCTGATGGCTTCCTTTACATTCCTCTGGATCACAGTGGGATTGGTTTCTCCTGGACCCATGAGTTTGGGAAGAGGATGGACATTTCTGGAACTTCAGAGTCTAAGGGGCCTTGAGGATCTCCCTTCCTGCCCCAGGTTTCATAGCTAGATGCAGCTCTATCTGTATCCTCTGTGTGGCATGCACAAGAGTGGCTACAGTGTCCTCACCTGAAGTGGGCTGTCCGTCTGTGAGCAGGATGATGAGGGAGACACTCCCCGCAGGCAGCAGCTCAGCCCTGTTGCTGTTATCCAGCAGATCCACAGCCATCAGTACCGCTTTATTGATGTTGGTCCCTGAAGGGCAGACACTCAGGCTGGATCTCGGCCAGGGACCACAGAAGCCCTCGGCCTCCAAGCTGGCAGGGGCACTCACCTCCCTGGGCATGGATGCTGGCAGCATAGTCTGTGGCCTCCTTCACATTCCCAGCTGAGGCCTGTTTCAGTGATGGCTTCCATTGAGTTGCTTCCTCATTGAAGACGATGAGGTTGAACTGGTCTTTGGGGTTGAGGTCATTCAAGATCTTGATTAGGGCTTCCCGTGTCTGGTCATGGGGAGAGAAGACAAAGCAGGTGTTTCAGAAGGGCTCTCCAAGGGTTCATGGTCCTTGGGCTAGCATTTTGGGTTCGGTCACAGCGTATGTTTGGATCAAACTACCCCTGGTAGCCTCCACCTATGATGACAGAGCAGGCCAAGTCTGCTAAAGATATGAGGGGCTTGGGAGTTCTCAGAGACTTGTGCTGGCATAGGAGGCCTACCTGATGGATCTTCCTGCCACTCATGGAGCCACTCTTGTCAATGACAAAGATCACGTTCTTGGGCATAGTAGGAAGGTTCTCAGGGGCAAAGTAGTGCACAAAGTAGCCATTCTCAATCTGTGACCAGAGCAAGACACACTCAGGTGGTCAGAGCTTTAGCCCTGCCCTACTCCCATGCAACCTCCTCATCCCACATCCCTGGGCTGCTCTGTTTTCCTTGTTTCATGCTTCCTCCCCATCCCCACGGCTGATCTTCCCTAAATCCTCACCATCTTTCAAAGCTTAGCCCTTTGCAAACAGATATCTTCCCTGTTCATGCACAGTCACTAGAACTGCACCCTCCCCAACTCTGTCTTCTATTTGAGTCAGTACTTGAAGTGGCTTATACTAAAAGATAATAAACCTGATATCCATCAAGAGTAAAGGGGGAATCACAAATGATGCCAGAAACTTGTGTGAAAGCAGCTGCTGAACTTGAACAAAGATCTGAGCTACAGGCCTCTGGGTAGCAAAGGGAAAGAGGGAAACCCCACAAGGCAGTTCTTCACATAAACAAACCTTTTCTGCCTCTGATAAGGAAATTGTTTCAGGAACAACACAACTGATCTGCCTATTTTCTGTCTGGGCCAACTCCTGGTGCACAGTGCTAAGGAGGGGCCATTATTTGACTTTTCCAGAACACTCAAGCTCAGACCTTTGGGGTAGACAAGACTTTAAGACTGTACCACTCTTGCCTGGAGTCCACCCACCTGAATGGAGCCCCCAGAGGCGGATCGGTTCACATCATAGCGGATGATGAATTCGCCATCCAGGACTGTGTCCTCATGGTCTGGAGACTTTTGCTGCTGGGAGAGTGTTGGCTTGAACCGAATATGAGCCTGGAGGAACAACCGGGCTGAAGCTGAGAGGAGCAGCAAGGCCATGCCAATACCTACTCTGAGTACACACTGGGAAGTCAGACTTCATGTGCAGCCATGGACCAACATTCTAGGTTACGTTTGTCCTGAGCTGAAAGGTGACTACTTCCATGTGGTGTGTGTGGTCATATGTGTATGTGAATCCCCTTTCTGGGACATTGCAAGCATCTGGACTCCATGCAATCTAGCTCTCTCCTCCCAGGACCCTCCTCCCATCAGTCTACTCTCCAAGTATGTCTGCCATAGCTCCCAAGGCTCCTTTATGAGCTGACTGTCCATTTCTAGGCCTTGGCATACACACAGATCTTAGAAGCCTTTCCAGCTCAGACAGCTTCTGTTTTGGACTATGGGAATCCAGCTTACAGGGCTGGACTGAAGACTGGTTCCTGGGTACCCTCACTTGCTGATCAAGGCAGGCCCACCTTGGTCTTGTTCTGTGAGGTGGTAAGGGATTCTGCCAGCTCCTGGGTCATGAAGGTGCTCTCTGTCTCCAGGAAGCTGATACCCTGAGGCTCGAAGATGTGAATATCCATCTGGAGGCAAGATATGGGCCAATGGGGAAGCCATGAGCCTGGCTGGGCTCCCAGGAGGCTGAGTGGCAAGGAAAGGCTGCCTTAGCCAGGTAGGGGTATCTAGGAAGCTTCCTAGAAGACACAGTGCCAGGTACCTGCAAGTGCTTGACCAGCTGCTGGGGCTGCACTTTTAGTAGTAGCTCATACGTTCCTAGGTGCCGTCTGAGCAGTTCCTGGTATATCAGTTCAAAGGTGACCTTGGCAGCAGGGGCCACGTTGACTGACACCTGGAACTGCTCCGTCTTTCTCCCAGTGACCCTAGGGGATAACACAAGACTGACCCATTAAGTCAGGCAGGAGGACAGCTACTGGAGGGGAACAAGGCTAAAAGCCAAGGTAGTGGCAATCTCTATATTTGCCCCTTTCCCCACAGGCTCACTTGATGAGGCCAGCACTCTCTCCCCGGCCGACTGCTGCTCTGTACTGTTCCTGGGCTTCATCCTTGCTTTTGATGTTCCCTGGATAAGTAACGCCATCAATGATCCTGGAGAGGGGAAGAAGCAGCCGAGAGCTTTTCTAGAAGGGCCTTTCTGGGATTTGGTAAGCTTCTTGACACACTGACTCTTGTATTTGGTTGAGTCCACTGCCATTTATTATGCACCTACTATGTAAAGGACTCTGTGTAGGACACTGGGTGAGATTTTCAGCTGCTCTGAGGCATGCACAGTATAGTACACATGTATTTTGCTGAAGGGACAGAGCAGGGAGGTGGCAGAGGAGGCAGGACTGGGCTAAATTTGGCCCACATTCCAACATTCCCCATCACAAACTATTCTGAGTCACTAGTCAATCACCAGTGAAACAAGCGATTGAAGAGCTGTTCCTTATCCAGTCCTGTGTCCACTTCCTAAGTGGCCAAAACTGAGCAGGAGGGAGACACAGGACTGAAGGCTATAATCCTATTCTCTGCAGCTTCTCCATTCTCCCTTCTGCTCCAGGCAGGCTCCACAGGGAGCTCGGCCACTCTGAAAACAGGTTTGGGGAACCTCATGGTAGAGACTCCTGGGAATGTGGCAAGTTCCTAGCAGCCATTCCTTGGGGTTGAGAAAGAACTGCAAGGAAAATGGCTTTTCTAGGAGTTCCTTGTGGGATGAATGAACAGGGACCACACAGGTAAATGGACATCTACTTATCCCAGAGGTGGGGGGGGCACACAGAGAAGAGAGGGGACCTAGCTCAGTACATAGCACAGGCATCTTCCTTCTACCTCTCCAGTTTAATTCTGGGCCAGGAAAGGGATAAAAAGGGGAAGCCTAGGTCTTTCTCTTAGATAAAGTTCTTGGCCTCTCCAGATACCCTGCTGGGCCTCCTGGCTAGGTCAGGAAACAGGTAAACTTGCCCTGCATGTCTCTATCTTTGTAGTAACAAGATCTGGGGCCACTAGGCTAGGGTCAGGAAACAGAAACTGTTTTGGGATGGAGGTAGGTGGGGAGAAAGGGAGCAGCCAATTACATACAGGAACCTCAGCCCCCACTGCAGTTTTCCAGGAACACTCTGCCCTAGCTAGTACCCTTGCTTTACTCCACCCCCAAGCACCCTCCCTGCTTCTGGCAGCAGCCTGCCTTCAACTTTTGCCTTTTCTGGAAGCTAGGGGCAGGCATGGACTTTTACCGTTTAGCAAACATTGCAAAATAGATCAGGTCAGGGTTGGAGAGGACAGCAGAGGACAAGGTAAGGGCTGCCACCAGCTCCCAGAGTCCATAGACATTCCAGGTATCCCCTAAGGAAGCAGAGTAGGCATGCCAGTCCTCTGTAGTGAGATAAGAGGACCCTAGAATTTAGGGGTTCTATGTTCCTAGCTGGAATCTGCTTTTGTTGACTCCCACTGCCTGGCTCTGACCTAGGGATGTCCCAAGCTTGTACTTCTCAAAGGCAAAGACTCAAAGATGCTATCTGCTACCTAGCAGTATTTAGTGATGAGTCTGAATGGCAGGAGGGAGAAAGATATCCTGATCTTGATAACAGGCCTGTTCCATGTGAGGCCAAGAGGTAGAATGGTGTCCTGTGTTTCAGAACATCTCTCAGGACCCATGGGAGATGAGTCACAGAGCTGGGTTGCATGTGGGTGGGGAAGGGTAGGAAGGTACCTACATGGAAAAGTTAGTGATGAAAGCTTTCTTGGGTAGCTCTATCTGGAAGGTGGCTTCTTGCACAGTGTCAGCTCTGTTGACCACCCGGCTGGTAATAACTGTATGGGCAAATCGGGAAGAGACCCTGGAGTCCACAGTGAGGCTGTAGATGTCAATGTCTTTCTGGATGAGGGAAGGAGAAGAGAGTTGGACAGTTTAACCATGACCCAAAGCTCTTCAAGAGTAAGCCTTCACTCTGGTCTCAGACCAACCCCTGTGTCTCATCTGACCCAGATACTGACTAGGCCTAAGACTGAACCTGTGAGGCATTTCATATGCGAATATTCATCTGAAATCAGAGGCAGTTGTGAACCTCATTCCCTACCCCGAAGCACCACAGAGCAGGGGCCACCTCCTTCTTGTTCTATGGGGACCTACATGACCCTATGGGAGACATCAAGCACATAGGGGTGAGGGTGAGAGTCTGAGCCCGAGAGGGGAATTACACTTCTCATTTGGGCAGAAGTGAGGGGCCTGAGGTCAGGAACCTCGTGTCCAGGTTGACCTCTGCTGAGAAAAAGGGTGGTGAACAAGTTCTTTGATTTCTGGAAACTCTGGTCTCCATGGAAATGAGAAAATACTCATGCCACTCTCCTATCAGACATTCGTGGGCACTGGGGGAATTTGCAGAGGACCCAGGCTCTAAGGGGCTGAGACATTTCCTCTGCCCATCTCCCCCACAGTGGATTCTCCCTGACTGTCCCACCCTCTCCACAGAGTATTCCCTACCACAGATGCTCTTTGCTCTGAGGACACAGGTGCACACATGTAGCCTTATCTCTACCTGTTGTATGTACTGTGCTGTGTACACACCAACTCATGGTCACCTGCCTAGTAGTTTAACAGAGGGGCAGAGTGGCTTGTTTTCATGGTGTTAGCTTTGTACCATGCCTGGCACTAAGAGCTTGATTTTCAATCAACCCAACCCTCTGAGTAGGCTATATCATTACCCTCTTTTAAGGATGAGGAAACTGATAGATAGAACATATAAATATCTTCCCAGAGATGGGATCATTCAGCCAGGAGCAGAAGAGCTGGGCTCATAACTTATTTGGATCTGCTGCCGGCTTCAAGGGGCAATAGGCTAAGCTCTATTCCCTCATCTATAAATTGGCGAGAATAGGATCGCCCCCTTCTATTAAGTAGAGGAATATCTGTAAGGACCTCTGGTTAGTGCCTGGTGAATGGTTAGCACCATTTCTTTACACAAGCATTGACCTGCACACAGGCTTACTTAACTGTGTACACAATTGGAGGCTCTCCCTGCCCTCCCAGATATGTTCTCTCATTTCCTAGCTCGCATCACACATACACAGGTATACACACACAGGCACCTATGGGTATTGCTACCTTTCGGGCAGTGGTGGTTTGGAGGATAGCCAGCAGTGAGGGCAGGATCAGTACGATGCTCCATGTGTGGGAAGGGGCTGGGATCTTCATTTGGGTTCAGTTGCCTGCCAGGCTGCTTCTGAACCAGAGAGCAAGTGGGTTATATATTAGTACCTTGCTGGCTGTCCCACCCCTGTGGGGGCAGGTTCTGGGAAATTGGGATCTATAAGCCAAAAATCCCAGAGACAAATGACCTATGTCCAGTGAACTTTGCCTGGGGGCAGGACCTACCTTGAGGAAAGGTAGGCTCAGGTTAGGGCTGGGCATTGGCATCCTTTCTGCAATGTCTAGGTTTCCAGGCATCACAACCTCACATTGGCTACCCTACCAAGCTCTGTAGGGCTATTGGCACATAACAGTGAGGCTGGACTGCCCTCCATAATCCTGGTTTGGGGGAAAACAGGCCACACTAGGAAGACTAGGGCTGGAGGAATACTCTAGGTGGCTTCTTGGAGAGGGAAGTAGCCAGGTGAGCATGCCTGTGGAATGGGGACCCTGAGGCATCAAGTGACCTATGGAAGTGTCTGAGGGAACTAGGAAGGATGGGCACACATTCTGAGTTGAGAGGTACCTGGCCCAGGAACCTCCGTTCATGCTCTCTGGTCGCAGGCTGTTGTTTGAGCTCCATTAATCTAGCCAGATGCTAGGGTCAACTCAACCAGGGCCCTAAACAAGGCTTTCAGAGTTGTAAAGATGTGCATCCTGTGCCTGGAGGTGTGATGCTAGGTGTTCTCTGCAGGAAAGTGGGGCACAGAAAAGCCAGCTGCACAGAGCTCCTAAAGAGGGTATATAGGAAGAGTAGTGGCCCCACACTATCACAGCAGGCCATGGAAGTGCTACTTAAGTGCTGATGGTGGCTTTTCTCTACGTGCCCTTAATAAAGTTGAAGAGCTGCTTTTATAACAAAGAGATAAGGTGAACAAATATTGGGTACTTAATGGAGCTGATGTTGACATTCTCTGGTGACTCTAGAAAGGCTAGCTCCCAAGTCTGTAGAGGTACAGGGAGATAGAGATGAATCATGAGAGTGTTGCCAGGTGCCAAATCCTGGGTCAGGAAAAGAGGATGGCTTAGTGATACCAGCCATTGGGGCAAGCCTAGTAGAGGTCCACCTGGGGCCCTGGGGTCATGAGATTATTCCAGAGGACTGGTTCAGTGTCTGTCACTAGTGCAGCCTCCCTCAAAACTGGCAGCATCTGGCCCTGGATAAGGGCATCATCAACTTTGGAGCAATTTCTGTGGTTCTAGTAACACCTTCTTCCTTCCTGTGGCTGTGGCCAGAGGCCTTATCTCTGTCTACTGCTCATCCTTTTGACTTTGGATAGGACTGGAGTTACACACACCCCTTCAGTATCTGAGGGAAAAATGTCTCCAAAAGACTCAGTGAGCAAGCATAGGCTCTGTCCCCACAGATGATCTGCTCCCTTGGGGCCCAGAGTATTGGCCTAGCCTGGAGCCAGAAGTATATAAGAAGACTAGGCTGACTGGGAACATGAGAAAGGCTCCAAGAAGCCAACTTCTTTTTCCCAGGGGACAGCAAGGGTTTCCTAGCAGGAATTATTCTTGAACCCTTGCTAGCCTGATGGCCTCAAAAGGAGCTATTATCGGCCTGCCCACGGTCTTGCTGCCCCAGCTGGACAGGCCTTTAGTTTCCTGAATCTGACATGTGAACACAGAATTACGTCTGAAGTGGGAGATTACACACAGCTGGGAACCTGGTGCTTCCATACCCCAGGCAGCATACAGAGAGGAGAAAGTAAGGGGTGGGGCAGCAGCTTAGGGACTGCCATACTGACCCAAGGAAGCACAGCTGGCTGTGTCTTTGAAGGAACACAAGCAATCCATAAGGCAGCATGAATGTGGTGGGGAATGGCCGTTGAGAGCCTTGGGGTCCTTAAAAACATCTCAGCGGCCTCTGTGGCAGGCACAGGGAACCAGGACTCCAATGACTTCACTGAGTGGTACCACTGTGCCCTGCTTTATGGAGCAGGCTTCAACTCAACTCTCCTCTTGTGTACAAAGGGAAACTGAGGCTTAGAAAAAGGTAAAGGCAGTGTGCAGTCACACTGATGGTCCGGACCAGGTATCCATGTTGAAGGCCCTTTCTAGTATGTCTTGGTGCTGAAAACACACACACACACACACACACACACACACACATTACGCTCTGCCCCATTCCAAAGCCCAGGAAGGGCAAAGAATGTACTTCTATATCCCACACAGTCTTCTCTGTTCCCTGAAGTTAGTGGTCATGGCTAGTGATCAACTGACACCTTCCCAAGGTTGGAGCCACTAGGGCATCATCCTCTTTATTGGAGTTTCCAAGGTACTGGTGAAGAAGGGCCAGGGTTGCTGGGAGGCATGATAGTTCAAAGACAACAGAGGAGTAAGGCATCTTCTAGCATTAAAAAAAAAAAAAAAAAAAAAAAGAGTTCGTGGGAAAGGCTCCTGTGTCCAGGTGTTTGGTGTGGTATAGTTGTATTTCTCAGCCAAAGACATTCTTGGCAGGTCACTATTTGGGCTTCTCGAAGACTGTCTCGGCGCCTGTGCGGTTACGGCTGAATACAGATGGGGCAGCTGAGCCAGCTTGCTCTGTGAGGGGAAAAGGTATATGAGGTGGCATCCAGGGCCAGACTGGCTTCCTCAGAGGGAAGGCCCCCTGTGCTGGGTGCAGCCCTTCCTAGGCCTATGAGCTCTAGACCCTTGACACCTCCCAGCTACCACTGGCAGATGCCTATGTCCCCAACCCTACCCCAGTAAACCTGGAGTATACTCACCACACTCTCGCATGACCTGGTAGGTCTTAGACTTGATCTCTTGGTTCTTGGCCAGGTTCCCTCGGGCCCCCTTCAGGTCTTCTTCCTTCATAGGGGGGCGCTTCTTCTTGATGGGGTCTTCAGGATTGCCAACCTTGGAAAGTCCAGAATATTACAATGGTCTAGAGGTGAGGAACCCTCCAGGCCTTGGCAGGGGCCCCTTTTTTTCCCAGATCATCGAACTCAGCCAATTCAAGGCCCACTCCTCTTCCAGTCCCTGCATCTCCACACTGGCCTTTCTGCCTGTCGAAGTTCAGGGCTGGGCACAGTGGGCAAAGGAAAAAAGGACTAGCCTCAAGGGTGAGCAGTCCTAGGGAATTTGGTGAGTTTCAAACCTCGTTCACTGGGTAGCAAAGGGTCTTATAGGGCCTGCAATCTTTTCTCAAAAAGCACCAATATTTTTACTTATTGCATTTAGACAATCCAGGTGCCCCCAAGGTTAGAGTCCTACCCATAAAGCAGGCAACAAGGACAACATTCCTCTGGCAGGTTGGACTGTCTGCCCCAGTAGAGCTGGGACAACCAGACTCAGTGTTTACCCCGCCCCCCCTTCAACCCCAGGCGCCTGTGAGTCTGAGGACTTATTCCTTCCTAAGTCCTGCAGGCAGGTGCAAGGATTCCCTCACTCAGCCTGGGCTGGGTTCCCAGGGAAACATGGGCCTGCCCAGAACCATGCCCTGCTGAAGATACAGACAGAGGGACACAGAGCTGTGGCCTGTAGGCATAGCTACCTCCTCCCTACCTCCACTTGCTCCAGAATTACAAATGTCCATGGTTCCACACATGGAGCTACCAAAGGCAGCTCCCTCATACACATACAAAGACACATTTAGTTCTACATAAGTATCCACCATCTCACCCCTCACAACAAACCATAGAATAACCAAGGCCATGCTGAACAGGGATTCAGCTTGGTGGGACTCAGGGTGTCCTCTCCGGAGACCAGCCTCCTAGGGCCATAGTGCCTTTTGTTTAGGCTTGGATCTTAGCTCAAGGTAGCTGCTACAGACAAGTGTCCGCCCTGCCCCTCCCAACTTCCTTGACACCCACTGGGTTCCTGCTGGGCCCTCCTACCTGGGACATGGTGGGTGCTGAGTGAACTCTTTGTCGGTGTTTCTCTGGCAGGCCGTAGCCACAAGAAGAGATCTGCGTGGATCCCAGCCCTCTGGAGCTTATATAATCTGCTCGTCTGTCCTGGGCAGTCACTCCCCTCCTCTGGCAGCTCCCAGATGATTCACATCCATACAGCCACTAGCTTCAGAGTTTATTCTTGGGAGATGACAGGCAGCAGCTCTGGTGAGCACAGACAGCTGGGGAGACCCTGTACCCTCAGGAACAGCTGTTCTACTTGCAGGTGGGAGGCACTGGCACAGGCATTGACAGACCGTGTGTTTATGAATGTGTGCTCTGGAATGTGTGTGAAGGTCTGTGCGCTGGCTGCAAGGGCCCATCCCAGTGGTGGTGGGGGGAGGGTAGGGAAGTGACCCTGAGGAAAGGGAGGGATCTGAGCTTGCTCTGAGCTCCTGTCTTTCTCTTCCACCTCTTCCTCTGGCTTCCAGTGGGAATACATTTTCCATCCGGGCACAGTAGCAGGGCAGAAATTTCCTGTCTGTCACTTGGAAGCATTTCCTTATGGTGAGCACAGCAGACTCAGAGCAAGGAGCTACCCCTGGTTCAGGGGTAGAAAGACTGAGGCTGAGGGGAGCCTGGGGAGCTGTTCTGCCCAGCCTTGCTGAAGCCCTCATCCTCTGTTCAGCTCTGGGTAAGTTTAGTAAAGGGATGAAGCAAAGCATGGTTACAGGGCCCAGGAGACCATGTTTCCTGGTGACGGTCTGGACAAAACCTCTGCCTGAGCAGGGTAAGTGGGGGGTCTGGCTGGCAGCACAACTAAGTGCTGCAAGTTTTGGGGTTGGGGTGAAGTCCACTCTAGCTATTGAGCTAAAGAGAAAAGGACAGGCCTTCTGGAAGGTTATTCACCTCTCCTCTGCTGAGAGCCCCTAATATCTGCATAGGATCCTTTGCAGGGGAAGATCTCCTGGGGTGCTCACAGTGTCTGAGGTGTATTTGGGGGGGTGGTGGATGTGTGTTGGACGTCACGGCTTTCTTGTTAACTTACCTCAGATCTCCTCCAGTCTATAATGAGCATTATTTTTATCCTTGAAGGCTCCAGGCAGACAGTCCAGGCACTGACATATGGTTATCCCAAATGCCATTCCCTGGCAGTTGTACCTCAAACTCCAACCCAGTTCTCCTTCTGGTCCTGATCCCCAGGAGGCCAGTGTAAGTTCTGCCAAGCCTGGGCTGAGATTAAGTACTGACCTGAGGAATGCCCAAGATTCCAAACAGAGGCCACAAAGCAGCAGAGGGCAAGTCAGGCCTTGTGTTGGCCCTTCTACCATGGCAGAGGGGCCCACAGTTGGCTCTGTCTAGTCCTGCTCTCAGGAATAAGGATGGGACGAGGATGTTGGATGTTCATTCCTCACTCTGCCTCCAATACAGCTCATTCCTCAGGAGGTAAACTGGCTTAGACTTTCATTAGTTAAGGAAGCAGAAATGGCTAGACTATCTTTCCTTGGCAGATTTTTTACTTTACGGCTGCTAAGACTCGTTGGAAAGTTTATTAACCACACCAAGCTCTTTTAATTCTAGAGAACACACAACCAATGATTTACAAACGTGATTTTTTTTTAAAGAAATGTAATAAGATGTGAAACTTTATTGTAAACTGTTTTACAATGTAAGAACATCATCTTCTCTTTCATTTAAAAAAAATGTGTTTCTGTGACTCAAAACACCGCTGATTAAACACCCCACAGGGATGGTAGCTAAGGTGGGAGTGGTTTCCTTTACATACATCTGACTTCCAATAAACTATATGAAAAGAAAAATCAAATTTAAAACAACCAAACCAAGCAATCAACCCACTCACCCACCCACTCAGACCACAAGTCTGAAAACAAAGCCTCTCAGACCTGCCAATGTCTTGGTAAAACAGATCTGCCTCTTAGCTAGAAGCAGTGTGAAACTTCACTTAAGAGCCAGCTTATATACAACGGGGTGGCTGCTGTCTCGCAGGAACGACAATCTGCCCCCTCCAGGGTCCTGGGGCATCTTTCAGGTGTGGACCCTGAGATACAGCCTGGCCTCCACTGCTGAAGGGAAGTTTGCAACTTGCATTTGAGCTCTTTTGTTTTCCTTGACAAAAAGGCAAGAGTAGTGACATTAACCTATGACTGTGTTGTCAGTAAGACACATTAAAACTTGAGGCAGGAAACCACCAGCACATTCCAGGACTGAGGGGCCAGAGACCCTTGCTCCACACATCTCTGGGGGCACAGATTGAGAAGCCACTGATACCCAGGATCTCACCAATCTTCCCTGCCTTTATCAGCATCCCACCAAAAGCCAAAAGAAATAAAACCACTACCACCTCTTTGAGTCAGGTGTCAGCTCTCCCTCAGGGGTTTATTTCCGTTAGTTACAAAAAACTTGCTCATCATCTTTGTTTACAAGCTTCTATCATGATTGGCTTGGTCAAAGTACTGATTTGAATAAATCAGATTCATAGCACACATAGCCAAGTCAGTATCCCATTGTTTCTCTAGCTCAGTGATGCCTGCCATTGGCCAGTAAAGGGCTCTGCCTCATAAGGCACCTTGGAACAAGTGATGGGAAACTCATTCTAGGGAGGGAGGACAGCTCAGGAGGAAGTCTTGACCACAGCTTTCTATCTTCATTCTTGTGGGACAGTGCACCACAGTATTGAAGAGACCCTAGTGACCACTGAAGGTTCTCCTGAGGGATGCAGAATCATGTGAGTGCATGTACTTAGCTGCATGTGTGCATGAACACATATTCACTCAGTATAAGGGCAAGGGCAAATACATGCAAGCCTGTACACAAGACAGGCTCCTATGATCAAATACCTGTTAGACCACTTTTCCTGCCAAGCCAGCTACACAGCTGCAGCTCAGAGACTATAGCCCTTAGTGAAAATCAGGATGCAGGAAAGAACTCACACTCACTTGCTACCTCTGTCCTCCAAATCCACTGCTCAGGAGCTGGGAGGAGGCTAGATATGATGTCAACTAAGTTCTGTCCTACTGGAGTTTCTATCCTTCACAGTGAGTCCCCCACCTCTGTGCCTGTTTTGGAAACTCTAGGAACTTAAGACTGAAAACAAGCTCCAACTCTGAGCTCCAGAGGATGGCAGAGACTGTTGTAGCTCAGGTTACCTAAACCATAAAACAGGAGGGGAGAGTCAGGATGACATCAGCAGTGTCACCAGCGACTGACCACCTCACCAGGAATTTGATTCCTATTCTTCCCACACAACTCAGTGGAGCCTCATTAGAGAAGTGGTGGGGAATGACCATGGCTGTGGGATGGGAGAGAAGCAGGAGCAACATAGGACTAGACCAATTCCATTATGGTCACCATGTTCCACCCCCACTACCCCCCACCCCAGGCTGTGAAGTCTCCCACTGCTCAGCTAGTCTCCACTCCTCTCAGTGATGCTTGTCTTACAAGATGGGCTGGTAGGGCCACCCCAGGGTGTGCCCGTCTCTAGGAAATGCAGGACTGTGAGTGGCAGAGGATAGTACCAGGCCTAGGATAAAGGCAGGGCTCACATGCCACAAGCATATTCAGACCCTTTATGCTTAAGCAAAACACATTCTTATGCAGGTTTAAAGGGGGTTGTGAGCAGAGTTGTTTCCCCTGCCCTCACCTCACTTAAGGCCTAGGCTCTCACTTCCAGCCCACATAGTAGTGGTGTATCCTTTTGTTCCTAAGCACCATTTTTGCCTGTTGGATTGACAAGCCATTGGATAGCTCTACCCTGCTGTTACCATAGGAGATGCAATGCTGGGTCAGTCTCTACCACCCAGCAAACTCAGAGCCATGGGTACCAGGGACCATGCTGAGGAGTAGGTGGGGCCACCCAGGAGGGGACACAGCCAGAAGTACCTTGTGTTATCTGTACATTCAGACAGACCTGTACTTCTATCTGCCCTTCCCCAGCCACTTTACAACTCTGGAGGGTGTGAAAACAAGCTTTGCAACCCAGGTAGATTTCTCCAGACTGCTGTGTGAGCAAGCAGGTAACAGCTTGTGACAGGCAACAGAGGCTGGCTCTGCAAGTTGCTGCACTAGAGGGAGCTGCTGGGACAATTCTAACACTTAAGATATGGATGGAGGCAGGAAACAAATGGGTAGCCCAATGGTCTTGAATCCTCTGGACACAGACATCTAACTCTTGGGCTCCTTTCTCAGTCAAGTTTAAGCAAGGCCTCTAATATGCCAGTTCATGAGCCTTGGCAGGGCCCTTTCTGTTCCACCTACACTGGAGCACATGGATCCATTTTTTATCTCATGCTCAGACTTGACCCTCATACACTACTCAGTTTCTGACTGTAGATAAAGGCTGTCCACCCTTCCTTCCCACCAGTACCATTCACCTCACCATCAGACACTACCTAACAATGTTCCCAGTTAAAAAACTGACTTTTACCTCCTACCAGTTCATACCCCATGAAAGGCAAACAAATCCATTTCTTTGGGGATTAAAAAGACTTTTTAAATACAATAGTATGAAAATATAACTTAAAAATATAAAAGTCAAACAGAGTACGGAAGACTTAAAAAATCTGTTTTGTCCATTAGACCCATAGGTACTTTGTAGGAAATAAACACATACTCAAAAAACAGTAACACTATCACAGCTCATAAAACTGGCTTTAGAAATCAAGAGTTACAAAAGCCATTTTGAGTAAGAAAGCATTCCTGTTCCAATTTGGTCAACGTGTGACTGTTAACCACGAGCACGCCACATGTCCACAATGCCCGCAGCCTCGGCATGAGGACCCACCACAGTCAATGTGTGCTCTGTTTTCTTCCACCATGCCGCCCGGTCAGACATAGGACAGGAGTGTCACAACACCCCAAAGGGACAACAACAAACAAACAAAGCTCTTCGCTTGCATATTTGGTCAGTGTTTGTAGTGCAACTGAGCGGGGACCTCTAGCTGCCCTCAGCCCCCTCGGGCACTGGTTCCTCTTCCCTCTTTTAAGTCACAGTAGACTGGGGGCAGGCGGAGAGCGGGCAGAGACAGCAAGAGGAGTGGAGGTAGAAGAGGAGGGGCAGAGAGAGGAGGAGAGGGGTGCTGCTGCAGGGCTGGGCCCTGAACCTGCCACCCCAGCATGGGATGTGTCATACAGGCAGCCCGAAGCGGTGCTTCTTCTTCTTCACAGGTTTGAGGGGGGTCAGTCTGCGGAGGTCCTCCTCAGCATCAGACTCCTCCATCTCGTCATCAGCTGAGATCAGGATCTGAGGCAGTGAAGAGGCAGGCTTGAGACACCGGTGCCAGTGCCTTCTGAGTGTATCCTCCCTGGGCCCTGGTCCCCTCTGGGAGACCTCAAGCCTCCCATTTCTTTAGAAGGTGATAGGGAGGTCCCCCTTCCACAACAAGATTCTGGCCTGTAGAAACTAGCATTAAGTCATCACCTCTGGATCTGCCAATGCTCTTCATGTCTTCATCCAACCTCCAGGTGGACCCAAACCCGATCAGAGCCAACCTCTGAGATCTCAGGGCCTTGAAATTGCCTTAAACACAGCAGTCTCTTTAAAAGGGCAAAGAAATCATCCAAGGGGCCACACAAGGCAGTGAGGTTTCAGAGGGGCTGTCCTGAGCCAACTCTGTCACTTCTAAGGGTAAAAAGGGGACCTTGTCTTACTCAGCCATGCAGCTGAATGAGGCACTGAGGGCAAACCCACTTGCTCCCTGTCACAGCTGCTGGCCTTAGACCTCTGAGTACTCACAGGAAGATCAGAACAACCCACATCAAGGTGGAAAGGACCAAAGCCCACCTATGCAAGGGAAGGTGAACTCCTAGTCCAAGGGTCAGGAGAGCAGCCCCACTATTCCTCCTCTGGACTGAACTGCTCGATGGCTCCCTGCCTTCAGCCTTGGTGCTGTGACTAAACCTTTACTGGCTCCCTACTCCTGTATGATCACAGTTCAAAAAAACATCTGTATCTTATTTCTTGTCATTCCATCCTAGACCTGGAGTAAATGCTGTTCTGGCCAGTGCAAATTTCATATTACTACAGGCCAAACCACATGGCTGTGAATGCCTGTGAACTGCAGCTCTGTCTTAAGGTTGTTTGTCATTCACCAAATATTCACCAATGTCTTATGATGTAAAGCAAGATCCTAGGAACACAAACTTGGAGAAAATATGGGCTTGCCCTCTTTCCAATTACCTGTCTACCTTTCCAGACTCCTTCTGGCCTGCCCCAGGGTCTTCCAGGGCCCTGCTTAAGCCTTAGTCATATATACACTGTGAGTGTGATGATGTGCTGTCTGTGCATCTGCCTTCCCCTCATCTGTGAGTCTAGGGTGGCAGCAGTCTAGGCCTCCTCTGCAGCTCCCCCAGCAGCACAGTGCTCAGCATTAGGGGACCTTTTCCAGGCCTTTCTGACCCAGCCTGCTACATTCTGTGGCACAGATGTGCAGTGAATGCTGCATGGCAGCCAGAGCAAATATCCTTGACCTATGCTGCTGTCCATGCCCACTAATTCTTGAAGTTCAAGTCTTTGAACTTAGGAGGACCATGAGGTTACCTTTGAGAGGGTTAGCTATTCCTACATTTGGAAGTGTTCAGCCAGCACTTTCCTTGCTTGTCAGCAGAGGGCAGGACTTCAAGTACCTCAATGCTTAAAGCTCACCAAGAGCCATTAGTGTCTTTGTCTGTTTTCTTAGAACAAGGCAGATTTCACCTTGCTTATCTTTTTCACTGCTACAGGGACTATCTTAACATATCACCCTGACCATGTTTTCTACCTTCCTGCCCTGAGAAGGTCCATTTGACAGCAGGCCTGGACTCTGGCTAGATGCATCCCCGAGTGACCTGGGCTTCTCTTCAGCTCAGCCTCTTCTCCTTCCCTCTCATTGGTACTGGCAAACAGAATTCATTTCAAAAGATCAAATACAAACATGAGACCAGAGACCTCCAGAGCCCGAGGTATGAAGGCCAGGCCCTCAGAGAGTATCAGGGAGGCCCCTACCTCAGACTCAGACTCCTCATGGGATGCTGCCCTTCGGTAGCGGACCTTGCTCCCATTCCTTGAGTCCTGGTTGGTTCCTCTTTCTTCTAGTTTAGCTTTCGTCTTCCCTTTTCTCATAAGGAAATTGTCCACTACCCAGAACATGAATGCCTGTGGAAAGGAAAAGTGTAGGCTACTCTAGGGTAAGCCAAAGCAAGGCAAAGCGGAAGGCTCCTATAGGCTGTAAAAATCCAGAACTAAGACAAGAGATACCTTGCTCAGCCCCCACTAGCTCTCAGAAGATTCAAGGGAGAGTCCATATCTCTATTTCCTTGCTGTACTTAAAAAAAAAAAGATTTTATTTTTAATTGTGTATATGTGTGTCTGGTTGCACATATGTGCACGTGAGTGCAGGTGCTGCAAAGGTCAAAGGCATCAGAAGCCCCTGGAGCTGAAATTATAGGCAGTTGTGAGCCACTTAATGTGGATGCTGGGAACTGAACTCAGGTTCTCTGGAAGAGCAGCAAGCACTCTAAACTGCTGAGCCTCTATCCAGTCCATATGCCCACTCGTACTTTTATTATAAGAGATTAAAGGCAAGATAATTCCTGCTCTACTCACTCAGGGGTTTTTGTTGTGGTAAGTAACAGGCAGCCTGTCTTGGGCCTAGAGCCAAGATCTCTAGATCTAACCTGTTTTAGGTCTTCACTGGTTCTGCACACTATGCTGTGTCAGTGAGCCCTGGTGCCTTCGGCACTTTACACCACTGCTTCCTCACTTTTAGCTATTATGCTCATGAGTTTTTCTCTGAGGACTGTGCTTAGGAATAAACATCCAGAGCACACCTGAAATGATCCTGATCTAGAAATTACTATTACACAGGTGTAATAGTAACACCTCAGTGAGAGGTGGCTTAGCAGGAAGGATAAAACAAAGTCCTCAGGATCCATCTCTTCATCTTGGAGCTTCATCAAAGCTCCAAGTCTGGATGTAGGAGTGGGAGGTAGCAACTGGTTACACAGAAGGAAAGGTCTGAGGACTGTAAGGTGATTTTTGTGTCATACTCAAAGCTTTGAACAGGAACCCATGAAGGCAGGGCACAAACTGGGGCAAAACATGCAACATGGCACTGACATTGACAAAGAATGGGACGATCAGCATGACGATGGCCAGTTTCAGGTCTGGGTTTTCGATGGGATTCAATAGGGCCACCTATAAAGAGAAGGAGACATGGTGAGGTGGGAGACCAGGCAGGACACAGGGGACTTAGATACCCCAGAGCCAATGGAAATAGCCCCTCACACCCATGGCTGCATAGTCGCCCCCAAGATCTGACTGCTTAGAAGCCACCCTCAGAGCCACTTTGAACTATTAGCACTTTGCAGCTTTCACATTGGTGGGGACTTGAGGCTACTGAATCAGATCCAAGTAGTGCCTACAGTGATTAGGGACAGGCCCTGGAGGGGAGAAAGGGGAGCTTTAGTGGCTTGGAGGGAAGAAATTCAGTGGATGCTCATTAGAGACACAGCAATGAAGTGCCAGACCACTTTTTAAAAATTTTACTTTATGTGTATGAGTGTATTGCCTGCTTGCCTGTAAGTGCACCTGTGTCATACAATGCCCCAGAAGTCAGAAGAGGGTGTTAAATTCCCCTGGAATTGGAGTTACGAATGGTTGTTAGCTGCCATGTGGATGCTAAGAATTGAACCTAAGTCCTTTGTAAGAGCAGCCAGCACTCTTAACTGCTGAACCATCTCTTCTCTAACAGAAATCTTACACATCTGTCACCTCTTCAAAGACAGCCGCTCTGAAAGACCTTGGCTTCTTTTCATAAAAAAAAAAAAAAAAAATTAAAACCCAGCCACAGATAAAACCAAAGGGGGAGTCGATATCTGAGCCACAAGTTCTAGACGGCTCTTTGGCAGTTTTATACTGGGACGAGCAGCACAGGTTTATCTATGTTACAATGGGTCAGAGGTCAGGAATGGGAAACTCACACACTCAGGCAGGTAATTAGCAGTGGCTATAGACCTCAGAAGCCATGGCATAAAACGGCTCTACCTAAACCACTGGCCAAGACAGGTATGTGAGGATCTTGGTAAAGGTAGAGATATTCACATTTCCAAAGTCTGAGGACTTATCAGAGCAAGCAACATACCAGCAGGGACTATATTTTCATGAAGTTTACATATCCCCGAGATTTAATCTAGAGAAGACATTTATTTACATGAAGTGGATGGACACCAAGTACAAGAACGACAAATTGATGCTCTTGTAAATAGCTGCCATGTAAGACCAAATCCAGGATTCACTTATGGAGTTAAAAACAAAACCTGGTTTTCCACCCAGACTGGGGACTGGAGTGTGTGAGTGATAGGGGAGCATTTGCTTAGCTTGGTGGGGAGCTGCAGAAGCAGGGCTGAGAGGCAAACCTTTTTCCACTGGAGAATGAGGAGGATGATGAAGACAACGGACTTTTCGAAGATCATGATCACTATATAAAGGGCGCACTGCCCAGCCCAGGCCCCACATTGCAGAGGGTCTCCTGTAGGGACAGACAGGTGCTCAGTCACAGTGTCTCAGGCATCTGAGGAGGACATCTCTACTCACTGCCCCTGTAGGTCCCTCATACCCCTAGCTACATCCCAGAACCCTGACTCTAAGGGTTCATAAGCCCCTTGAAAGCCCTAACAATTACCTCATTCCTAAAAGAAAGGGCAGTACTATGAACAAAATCAGAGAATTCCTAATTTGGACATACCAGAATGTCTTTCTTTCCAGAAATTCTAAGATAGAATTAAGAGGCACTAAAGTTAGTAAGCTCTCATCGCTGGGACTCTGAAGCTGGCTCTGTCCTCTGGCAGCAGAGGCTGGGCGAAGCAAGGGTGCTATTATTATCTGCTGTTGACTTTTCCAGTGACTGGCACTATCCTTTCTATTCTCTGCCCATGAGCTGACTGATGTTGTGATTTAGAAAGGCTGTAATCAACCTCTTTGTTCATTTCCCTCCTTTCCACCTCTACCCTTTATGCCCCGCCCCCACCATCCCTGCTATCCTTAGCCCTGAGCATATCAATCTGACCTAGAGGAATTCAGATTCCACCTGAATTCATGAAGTGGATGGATGGCAAGTCAAAGAATGCCAAGTTAATGTTCTTGTAAACTGCCCTATCAAAGCAAATCCAGGTCCCATTAATAGTTAAAATAAAAAAAAATCTGGGGGTCAACCTAATTCCTTTGGAATGACCTCCAAACACCTTGGTTAGGAACAAAGAGAGAGGCAAGGAGGTTAACAGTAGCAGGCTGAAGCCAACAGCTGTGACAGAGGCTCATCTATGAGTTTGTCAGTTGCTATGCTTAAGAAATAGATGGGAAAGGTCTAACAGTCCATGCTGGGGGAACACTTGGGCCCTGGAGCACCTCTAGAATGCTTTACAAAGGGACTCAGTGAAGGGTGGAGGACCAGTCTCTCTAGGGAATGATCTAATGACATGCAGAACCTTGGGATGGGACAATGGGAGCCACACATACCTCCTCAAAGTGGGAGAGTTGGCTTTGGCAGGAGTGGGTAGCGGGGGCTTACCCTGAAGCTCTACTAGTGTTTCCTGAGCTCCACTGACCAGAACAGAGACAAATTAACATTCAGGAGGGCACAAGCCCCAATGCAGGCTGTGAGAAGAGAATCTGGTCCAAAGAGACATCTCCAGCTCCTCATTTGATTCTGCTGTTTCCATAGCAATCCCTGTCCAGGCCTATGCTGCAGGCCCCTAGCCCTGTTTGAACCTGCCAATTGTACACAGTGGAAACACAAGTGAATGCCTTTACACAGCTGTAATGGACAAAGCATAAGACTGCGATGTTTCCTTTTCTGGAAAACACCAGAAGGGCAGAAAGCATATAAAACCATATTAGCTGCCTATTCTAAGGCCTTCCTGTCTACTTTCACCTCTGGGTCAGGGCATCTGAGCCAGAGCAAACGACTTCAGAAGTACCATCCCTCCCTGCAAAGTTGCTAATAGAGTTTTGCAATGCCTTTGCTAAACCACCTGACCTCACAAAGTTTCCCAAACAAGAGATGAAACTTTGCTAAAACCGTTAAACAAGAATGGGGCTAACCAGACAAGTACCACTGGGAAATGTCTCTGAAATGGGACTGGTGTGACTGGAAGTCAGCAGACAAGTGACGTTATTTATTTATTGTCACAAGAACACTTATTTGCTCAGAGCGTGTTCACTCCGTTTGTGCGTAAGCAGTGAGTGATTAACAAGAGAGAAAAATGCTTTTACCTCCACCTGTCTTGTTTGAGTTTTTGCTGTACAATTGAGCTACCACTGTCTTCTGCTTTCAATTTGATACTAAAATGATAATGTTCAAAATCATGGGTAAAAAGAGAAAAAAAAAAAACAACCCAAAACAACAAACAAAACACCCACGTCTGGCTCTGACATCTCCTGTGCACCAGGCCCCAAGTCAGTGCAGCTGGACCCAAGTCAGGTTGTTAGCTCATTTCTGTTTCCCTTGAGTCTTTCAAATGCTCCCTATAGTCTGGTCTCTAAAGGATAAACACGCTAGGCATGATCAGTGTGTCCTGCTTTGTATTATCTGAGGCATGAGTGGTTCACGTTTGTAGATTATTCCCTTTAGCAAAGTTGTAGGAATGGGAGGCAAAAGGAGGGAATACATCTGTGTTGAGAGGCTTCTGGAGGCATCATTTGAATAAATGCAGGCAGCAAAGTCCACAAAGCACAGTGCTGTGGGACATGGTCTTTAAGGGAAAAGAGTGGCTTGCTCATCAAATTATAGATAGCACTTATCACCCAGAGCTGTTCACCTTTCAAACCAAGTAATTGTGGTATATGTTCCAAGACTCATGACCTTCTCTTCTAGGAAACAAGCAAACTACCTAGAGATCAACCCCCCTCTTCTTTGTTTACCTGATAAGAGAACAGTGGGGACTACATGGAGCTCCTGCCTCAAGTGGACAGGTAGGCTCATGGGTGGAGTAGGCACAATAATGGTCCTGCAAAGATGTTTGCATTCCAATCTCTGGAACACATGAATATGTGCTGTGACCTGGCCAAGGGGGAATTCTGGCTGTTAATGGGATTAAGGTTGCTATTCAGATTTTAAGTAGAGAGAGTATGTGAAGTATATAGGTGCATGCAAGGTAATTACAATGGTACTTTAAAGTGGAAGGTCATACTGGTGCAATGTGGGAAGAACTGAACTGCTTGTTTTGAAGACAGAAGGAATGTAGACAACTTTTAGAGGCTGGCAGAGCAAGAAAACAATCATCTCTATCACCTCCAAGAGGATTCAGCCCCTGCTGATGCTTTGTTGTTAATCCCACTAGGACTGGGTTGGACTTCTGGAGGAACTATCACATAATCAATTCGGCTATCTTAAGCCACTAAGCCTGTGTTAATTTGTATAGTGGCAATAGAAAACAACAAAGATTGATAATTACAAAGCCATAGGTACATGGGGAAATAGTCTGGGGAGGACTTAGGATGGTCCTTGACACCGGGAAGTTTTTTCAGATACCTTGAAGACTCTGGTTCCCCATGGCATTGATCAAAGGGAATGAGCCAAGAGAGGCAGGTAAGGAGAGGAGAAGGCTTACCCACAGCCACTGCCTTCTTTTTTTCTCTACTCTTGGAGAAGCAGATAAAACCTGCTTAGGAACAGGTGTTACCCTAACACCTGATATATCAGAACCAGACCTGACCTTTACTCCCAGGTCAATAGCTGACTGTGGGGGGACTCACAGTAGCATTGGCTGGCTGTTGTTCAGAGCTCTGGCCTTCCAGAGGGGTCTCAACAGCAAAAGTACAAAGTGATTAGTGTTTGTGGAGGTAGCAGAAGTTTTAGGAATTCTGGCACAGAGGACATGAAGCCCCCAACCACGCCTGTGTGTGTCACCTTATTCCTCTGGATGTCTATTCCATAAATGAGGATGATGCTACATTGGACCACATGTGCTATGGTCCATTTCCATCCTGCAAGCTGAGGACTCCATGATTTGGGGCATCTCAGAAACCTCCCCTTGAGTGTTGGACACTATCTTAAGTAAGTGACTCATTGGCATCAAGTAACAGGCTAAGAAAAGCCCTCTCCTGAGCTCATCACCTTTCAATGGAGACAAACAATTCTTAAGATTTCTAGAAATACCCAAGGTACATCAAGCTCCACAAATCATCCACCCTTTTAAAACGTCAGTCATCCCAGAAGTAAGTGACCTCTGGGCCCACAGTCCTAAGCCCAGTCATCCCAGAGGCGAGTGGCCTCTGGGCTCACAGTCCTGAGCTCTTTGGGTGGCATGACTAGGAAAGGGGAGAGAGGATCCAGAATTCTATCCACAGCCCCCTCCTCTTGTCCTGCTGCCCTCCTGTGGTGAAGCATCCACTGATGCTCCTTGAGAGAGACAAGAGGGCCAGGGCTGATGCTGTCATTTAGCCCTGCCTTAAAACCCTGGAAGAGCCAGGTGTGGTGGCACATGCCTTTAATCCCAACACTTGGGAGGCAGAGGCAGGTGAATCTCTGTGAGTTCTAGGCCAGCTGGGGCTACAAGGAGACCCTATTACAAAAACAAAACAAAATAAGACAAAAAATAAAAATAAAAATAAACCCTGGAAGAGACCTCACCAGCAACTTGCATTGAGACCACCTTCAACTGTCCTTCATGCTTACAGCCATCATGAAAGCAGCTTCCTACTCAAGGTGTGAGACACGGGGCCTGGTAAGGTAGGCTAGTGTACACAAGTTTCTGGTTTTAAGTCTTGTATCTCAGTGAGGATGGGCCTCACGTCTGGGTGACTGACACATCCAGATGTCAGGTGGGAGGCAAGCCTACAGCTAAAGAGAAATCAAGGCAGCTTGGCCTCTGAAGTGATGCACACTCTAGTCCTGGCCGTGTGAGCTCTGCTCTGTCAGTAGAATAACCTAGTGACAGGATAAACAACAGGTGTGCAACAGAAAGAGGGGCAGGGCTTCCACCTCCCTATGGACACTTCCCCAAGTGAGAGCTACTCTCATCTCTCTAATGTGGTGGGCAGATGAGGTGAGATCTACAGGAAGCTCAGCAGTCAGAGGTGGTTTTGCAGTCCTGCAGGTGCTATCTGGTAGATGGGGCAAATGTCTGGATCTTCCCCAAGTCCAGGTTATCTCCTGGCTTTGGCCACCTTCTCTGCCACAAAAGTAAGAGTCTTGACAGTTAAGTCCACTAATGCTGCCTTTGCCCCCAGGAGGGTAATTCTTAGGCCCTAAAAGCAGCCCCTTCCACACACAGCGCCAGTTCCCAAACCTTTTCCAGGTTCCCAAGCTGTGTACATAGGGCAAGCAGTCCCCAACATGCCCCACTTAGTGCCAGTGGACATTACCATATTCACCAAAGCGCAGGGATTCCCACTGCTGCCACTCCACCAAGACGCCGACAGCACGCACTCCCACGTAGATGAGCAGCATGCCAACAGTAGCATCCAGAAGGAAGTTAATGAGGTATCTGGAAAGAAAGGCCACACCTCCACTGTCAGGGCGCAAAAAGCTGGGCACTCAGTACAGTGCTTACCAGGGTCAGAGGTCAAGGCTGCAGACCCAGCCCTTGGCCTTGTTCTGGGGTGGTGGTAACCTTAAATGCACTCATGCAGAGGCTTTCACTACCAGGTATCTGACAACAAGGTGCTAATATTCAACAACTTGGAGGAGGAGGAAGAGAGAGACAAAGAAACTTTAAAAACTTCAAGGTATATGCCAAGGTCAAGATTCAGCAGAAGACAGAGTATCTGGAAGTAGCTAAGGAAACTGGAAAACCAAACCAACTGACAACAATAAATCCATTAAGTGATTCTGTTCATTCCCTGATGGTCCAGGCCACATGAGGTCCCATGAGTACAACTTTCCCAGGGCTCTTGCTCATTCTTATGTGTAGTCACATGCAAGCAATACTTTCTTTTTTTAAATATTTATTATTTTTTTATTTTATGAGTGTGTTGCCTGCATGTATGTGAATGCACCCTTGTTGTGCAGTGCCGCGGAGGTCAGAAGAGGGCTTCAGATTCCCCTGGAACTGGAGTTAAGGATGGTTTGTAGCCACCATGTGGATGCTGGGAATCGAACCCGGGTCCTCTGCAAGAGCAGTAAGTGCTCTTAACCGCTGAGCCAACTCTCCAGCCCCAACAAGTAATACTTTCACTTTTATTTTTTTGTAGCAGGCTAGGGATAGAATCCAGCCATGCACGTGCTATGCAAGGGCTCTACCACTGAGCTACACCCCCAGTTCTGACTTATACCACAACAAGAGAGCTCTGTTGTCCCAGGGGATAGGCCAGAAGATTGGAGGAAGGAGAGCCAGAAGCATGCCCACAGTGACCACACATTTTCCACCTGCCTGACACAAAACCATTTTCCTCACCTCTGCCTACCTGTCTTCCCTCAAGAGCCCTGTACCCCAGATCTGAGCACTGATAGCCATTGGCCACAGCTCTCTAGGGCAGACAAAGTGAGAAATAAGGACACTGGGTCAGGTACTGACTCTGTGATACCACATGGCTCTGAACTCTACAGATAAGCCTGAGAACACTGAGAGACTTGGCTTCAAGGAGCTTCTAAACTGCTAGGGTCTGAGGAGACAGTTTATGCAGACTAGCAGTCCTCTGCCCCAGTCTGGGCTTTGGGAAATGCACAGCACTTCAATATAGGGGCGGCATGCAGTGTGTGGTCCTGGGACCCAGAGAACTTAGCATGAAAGGAAGAAAGTAGCTTTCTTCTGCCTGCCCTTCCTTCTTAAAGTCACAAGGGGTCACTCTCAGACCAGAGTCAGAAAGAATAGTCCAGGCTTCCAAAGGCATTTCCTCTCTGTCAGGGAGGTTTCTGCTCTGTCACTTAAATCTAATTGGTGTGGAATGCTCACACCTGAGTCCTCACGTTTGAGACCCAGCCTGAAAAATAACAAGGACAGTAATAGGTATATCCAGCCTTGCATTCATTCACATACTTTACCAAATCCTTTTGGAACCTAATGTTGTCCTTGGGGATAAAGATCAAGTTTTTTATACTCTGAATTCAACATAGAGGATTTAGGAAGCAACAGAGAGAGTATCACGGGGCCCTGGAGCCAATGAGACTGGCTTAAGTCCAGCTCCACCACTGCTGTGTGAACTGAAGAGCTATAACTGTTTTGTGTCTAAAACCTAATGTGGGGATAATCAAAGTATTTGTAGGGCAGAGCTGCTCTGCAGATAGGAGGCAACAGTAGGGGTTAGGGTGAAACCTCTGTCACTCCATCTGCTGGAACAAGGACCAGTCCTGTCCTACCAGCCAGGAGTACAGCATTTCAAAGCTTGGTTAAGGTTTCAGACATACTACTCTGGGTGTTCTGTGGAAGGCACCCTACACTGACAAGGCACAACAGCCGATGCTCTTTTTTTCTTCCTTTTTCCTTTTCCTTTTCCCTTTTTGGTTTTATTTTGGAACAGGGTCTTACTATGTAACTCTGACTGGCCTGGAACTAGCTATGTAGACTAAGGTTGGCCTTGCATTCAGGGATCCAGCTACCTCTGCCTCCTCCTGGAATCAAAGGCATGTGTGCCACCACACCCAAGTCAGCTAATGTTCTTTAGGTCAAAGAGGTCAGTGATGGTCAATAACAACTCTGCTTGAGTCTCACACCACAGAGAAGATCCCATGTGTTCTGTACTGGCACAGAGCTACTCCTGCAGTGTTACCATGTCCTGTTGGGGGTTGCCGTGAACCTGGGACCACAAAGGAACTAACTGGACTAATTAGCAGAAAGTCAATGCAGAAGGTGACTATCAAGCCCAGAGAACCAACCAACACCTGGGTTGCAAAAGCTGAACTAGAGAAGAATCCATAGGAGAAAGTGGGATGCCTTCCTCAAGCTAGAGGGCTGCACTGGCAGGAAAAAGCAAGACTAGCACATATTTTCAATGAAGGACAGTTTCTCAAACACAAGCTACTTACAGTGAACAAGGGTCCTCTTCAGTCAGATCTGCTAGGTATACATTTGCAAAGTGGATGAACAGCATCCCTATGGCTTGTTTGGAAGTGTCTAAAAACCTGCGTAAAACAGAACCAGCAATGTTCTCAATCTAACAGGAGAGTGGCAGCCACTTTGGGGAAAATTAACAGAGAATATAGATCATCCAGACCAACCCTGTGACCAAACCTGAAAACTATCCCCTAAGCTCTGTGGCAAGGGAGAGGCACCAAAGGACAATATGCCTAAGACATAGAGGGCCTCCCATCTAGGTCTTCACCAGGTCCCTTACCAGCCATGAGGGCAGAACTAAATACTCAGATATTGGGAGAATCAGTGAGGGGGGAACTACAAATAAGAATTCTCATTTGGGAATAATGTTATTGAGAAGTATCAAGTTTGTGTATAACATTTTATAAAGGTCCTTTATCATTATGATTATGAGATTTCTTTTGAAGGAGAAACGGAAGTTTTGTTAGGGTAGGAGGCAGCCTAGGGCAGCCCACACATGCTGCATACACTGTCATCTTAAAGAGTTGGCTGTCTCTTTCCAAATGACTTGTGGTTTTGGAGTTTTGTCCTTGAAGTCTATTTCTCAAGCTTTTTCACCAGATTATGAATGCAAAGCTGTTAATGCAGAGCCATTCTAAATAAAATGAGTATATTTGATATTTAGAGACCTACATTACACACTTCTCTGCCCCTGACCCAGAGCTCCCAAGCCCCTTGTCATTTCCTGAGTGCCAGGTGTGTTAGGAATATCTTTTGTCCTATTTTTTTTTTTGTCTTTTTTGAAGCAGGGTCTCCCTGTAGCCCCAGCTGTCCTGGAACTCACTATGTAGACCAGGCTGGCCTTGAACTCACAGAGATCCACCTGCCTCTGCCTCCCAAGTGCTGGGACTATAGACGTGCACCACCATGCCCGGAAATGTTGAATACTTTTTAAGGTGCTTCTTAGCCATTTTTATTTCTTTGTTTTTTGAGTTCTTTGTATATTCTGGATATTAATCATCTGTCGGATGTGTAGCTGGTGAAGAATTTCTCTGTGGGCTTCCTCTTCCCTTCCTTAGTTGTTTCTTTTGCTGTACAGAAACTTTGTAATTTAATGAGGTCCCACTTACTGATTGTTGACCTTAGTGCCTGAGCAGCTGGTGTCTGGTTTAGAAAGTCCTTTCCTACGCCTATATCTTGGAGGGTGCTTCCTATGTTTTCTTCTAGCTGTTTCCAAGTTTCAGGTTTTATGTTGAGGGCTTTGATCCATTTGGAGTTGACTTTTGTGCAGGGTGAAAGATAAGGGTCAAGTTGCATTTTTCAGGTGGAGATCCAGTTTTGCCAGCACCATTTGTTGAAGATGCTATCTTTCCTCCATTGTATGTTCTTAGCACCTTTGTTGAATATCAGGCGGCTGAAATTATATGATCTCATGTTTGGGTCTTCTATTGTGTTCCATTGATCTACATGTCTATTTTGTGCCAATATCATGCTGTTTTTCTGACTATAGCTCTGTAATAGAATCTGATACGGTATAATCTGAGATGGTGATTCCCCCAGCATTGTATTTTTTTTGATATTTCATTTATTATCTTTATTTTATGTGTATGAGTGTATTGCCTGCCTGTATGTGAGTGCACCTGTGTCATGCAATGCCACGGAGGTCAGAAGAGGGCTTCAGATTCCCCTGGAACTGGAGATAAGGATGGTTGGGTGCTGGGACTCGAACCCAAGTCTTCTGCAAGAGCAGTCAGTGCTCTTAACCACTGAGCCATCTCTCCAGCCCTGCACTATATATTTTTTAAAGTGTATGAGTATATTATCTGTATGTATGTAAGTGGTCCTGTGTTGTACAATGCCCTCAGAGGTCAGAAGAGAGCATCAAATCCCCTGCAATTGGAGTTACAGATGGTTATTAACTGTCATGTGGGTGCTGGGATTCCAAGTTGGGTCCTCTGCAAGAGCAGCCAGTTCTCCTAACTGCAGAGCCATCTCTCCAGCCCCTAAAGGTTTTAAATACTATAGCAGTGTTTTCAGCCTTTCTTTCATTATTATCCTAAGTGGATTTTTGGACAGGTTTTATGATTACTACTATTATTTGTGTGTATTGTGTATGTGCATGTGTGTGAGGCCAAAGATCAACCTCATCTTTTATGGGACAGGGTCTTTCAGTGAACCAAGTTGGCTAGGCTTGTGGGCCAACACACTTGGGATCTGAACATTTCTGTACCCCCTGCACTAGGGTTACAGGCGCATGATACATGCTTGGCTTCTCTGTGGGCTCTGGGGATTAAAAGGTCCTTGTGTCTGTGTGCAGTACTTTACCAACTGAGCCAGCACCCCAGCCTCACAGCTTTTTCTGATCACTTACAGTGAAACTTTAATACCACAAATATATTGTATATCTATTTGTATATTGTAATGCTTGGCAGGCTACAAACCGTTGAGATAACTAGAGTTTTGGAGATTTGGTTTTTTGTTTTGTTTTGCCTTTCTCCAAGAATCATATTTTGCTTCATCTGAGACAACATCTATTTCTCTTAACCCCAGAGGGACACCAGGCTGGCCTTGAACCTGCCTCTGCCTCCCAAGTGCTGGAATCAAAGGTGTAATTCTTATGTTCCCTTCAGGTTTGATGTTTCCCATGGTTCTGTGCTGTATGCACCTCTGCTTTAAGAAAAAAAAAAAAAAAAAGCTACTATGTGAATTTAGAATAAGCCTCCATGGTTGTAGTGAACAGCCCTACTGGGGCATGGATTAGGACCACAAAGGACCTAGGCTCGAAAGGCTTGGAGCACAGTGATGTTTTTACAACCCCCTCATATATATATAAATTTTTTTTTTTTTGGTCTTTTTGAGACAGGGTCTCCCTGTAGCCCCAGCTGTCCTGGAACTCACTATGTAGACCAGGCTGGCCTGAACTCACAGAGATCCACCTGCCTCTGCCTCCCGAGTGCTGGGATTAAAGCCGTGTGCCACCCCGCCCGGCATTAAAAACAAATTTTATTTTTAGTTATTTGTTTTTATTATGTGCACGACTGTTTTGCCTGCATAGATGCAAGTGTACCACATGCTTTGCAAAGCCCATGGAGGCCAAATGAGGGTGCTGGATCCTCTGGAACTAGAACTAAGGATGGTTGTGAGCTGCCATGTGGGCACTGGGAACTAAACTAGGGTCCTCTGCTGGAATAGCCAGATCTTTTAACTTCTAAGCCATCTCTCTAGCCCCCTAATACTTGGTTTCTGATCCCAGTTTCCCTCAGGGAGCTCCTGATCCTTTGAAATGCTGGGTGATAGGAACATCTTTTGTTCTAAAGAGGTGACTATGGCTCCTGAAGAGCTTTAGGATGAGGAAGGCCAGTGAAAGACCAAGCCATGGTTAAACTAAGTGCCACCAAACTCCAGGGAGAGGAGAGGGGCTGGAGACTAAGTTAATAATCAAGTCTATGTGATTCTTAAACTACGGGGTCTGGAGTATGTAACTGTTGAACAAACTAAACATAAGGAGGATACTGTACTTAGATTCACAGGTACAGAATTCCCGTGCTCAAGAACATCCCAAATCTTACTTATATATTCCTCATCTAGCCATTTATCTGTATCCTTTACATTAAACCAGCAAATATAAATATTGTTTGCCTGAGTTTTAAAAAATAATTTATTTATATTTATGTGCATTATAGTATTTTGCCTGCATGTATGGATGTGCACCAGATGCATGCCTGGTGCCCACAGAGGCCAGAAGAGGGCCTCGGATCCTCTGGAACTGGAGTTACAGAAGGTTGGTAGCTGCCATGTGGGTGCTGAGAATCGATCCCAGGTCCTCTGCAAGAGTAGCAGGTACTCTTAACTGCTGAGTCATTTCTCCAGCTCCCAGTTCCCCTGAGAGTTTATTAGTCATACCTGGTGGGGGGAGTTGTAAGAATACCCAACACACATGACTAATTTCCAAATTTAGATTATGTATTTTCTTACAAATATATACTGTAGAACTCAAGAATTTAAGCATAACGTAGCAACAAGTAGAGATGAAGAAGCCCCACCAGAGACTGCTACATTTGTATTGTAAGCAACATGACTGTAAATAAAGGTAGAGGGGCTGGAGAGATGGGTCAGTGGTTAAGAGTACTGCCCCTGAAGAGGACCAGAGTTCAGACCTCAGCACCCACATCAGGCAGCTCACAATTGCCTCCAACTCCAGTTACAGAGAATCGTAGGCCCTCTTCTGGCCTGTGGGCCCCCTCCCCCACTCCATTCACATATACAAATATATACACACGAACAAATAATAAATCTTAGAAAAATAAAGGTAGGCATCAAACGTTATTAGGAAAAATAAACATGCTTTCTTTCATATCATGCCATTCCTAGTGATTAACTCAACTGAGGGATCCCACACACTTTATGTGATAGGTAATTTCTCATATTCTATCCTGTACCCACCCCTATACCCCCGCCAGCTCCTCAACTAAAACACCAACACAGTGAAAAGCACTCTAGGAGTGAATTAGCACTTTGGTACATACCATATCCTCCATGGTCGCCTTTCATGCTTTGGCTCTCGGAAGCGTTTGACTGGAAAAACAGACAGACATCACTATTTCTCAGACCAACAGCAAAGTAAATGCACAAGCTGGGTTACCAGTCCACTGTTGCTTATACTAATACTGTCTCTGTTAGCACATAGGATAAGACCAATGAAGGTTACAGAGGGCCTGTACTGCTGTGGGCAGCATGGACTCTTCAGAAATAGACACTTATAAAGCATGCCTTCTCATATGCAAACCTGTCTTTCCTTCTTTGTGACAAGACTCACTTAGGTTGTTACTGTTTCTAACTTTAGGATATGTTCTGTCTGAGGACAAATCCAGCCATCTACCTTGAGGTTTACCAAGTGTCTAATCCAAGCTAGACACCGAGGAACAAATGTACAATCAGCTGTTGTGGTGTCTCTCCCTCCCCTCGTGGGTGGGTCATTGGCCACCAATCCACGAGAACAAAGGGAGCAGAAGCGACAAACGGGGTCAGGACGGCCAGTGAGTACTGATGGAAGAAAGCCCTTCCGGGGAGGTAGATTCAGTGATACAGTAGCTCCAGACTCAGTGAAACAGCTCTGTTTATTCAGTGGGGGTCAGGGAAAATCTAGTGTGGAGGCAGCAGCCAAAGCTTCAGCTGATAGGTGCTCATAGTATGCTTTACATGTGGTAGGGGGATCCTATCATCCGACTATAGGGCAATGCCTAATTATCATATAGAAAAAACCTGGGGTAGTTTTATTGCAGGTAACTATGCCAAAGGTCATGTTCCAAATAAGGTCAGGCATCCTTGCTTGGTGGCACTTTCCAGGTAGGTCAGGCAGAAAGCCCCTGCTGAGACCTTAACAGCTGGGTTCCCCAACAATCAGCTGTGCAGCAAATAGGGGGAGAGACATGTAACCATACAGGATAAGTGCCAGAAAAGAGACAAATCTGAGACTGGAGGCAGAGAGGCAGTAGTTAGCTGTACCTATGAGAGACAGTCCGGACTAGGTAAGAGCTTGTTGAAAGGCCAGAGAGGAAAGAAGAAACTTCCTGGGCAGAGTCAACTTCAGGAGCTCATAGTGCAGCAATAGAATGTGACAGTGTGTTTGGAATAATTTAATTTGGCTCAATACAGCAGATAATAAGAGAACCTGCTGGAAAAAAACAGGAGGAAGGAGGATGACAAATTGAACAGGGCACATATGAGGGAGGGTCTTGAGAGCTGGGCTAGAGTCTAGAATGAATTCTGTGGAAAGGAAGACCCAGGGAAGATGCTAAGCAGAGTCAAAGACCCACTGGAACTGGTTAGAAAAGCAGCTCTCACTGTGTAACTGATGGGTTTCGGGGGTGGAGGGACTGAGGAAGGACTCAGGCTGTATTCATGGCTCCTGGTAGCCATCCTCTAATTACTGAAGTGTCGGCAACAACCTGCTCAATCCCAGTGGCAAAGACTCACTGGGTTTGCACCTGTGCCCTGAGTTGCCCACACGCACACTGTTTAAACCAGAGGAAACAAAAGTTTCAAGGCTACATATTCACCTGAAGCTCTTAACAATAATCCCACAATGACTCCGTCTAATAAAACACTGGATGCGTGCCTGTATGATATTTAGTCACAGTAAAGTACTGAGAAAGAAACAGTGACTCAAGCCCATGGAAGATGCCCCATCACAACTGGTAGTAGGTGAAAACCAACTTCTGGAGAAGTCCCCAGCTGCCAATGAGAATGCAGCAGCAAGAGGGTAACAGAAGAGAGAAAAAACAGTACTCAAATCAAGAAACCGTGAATAAACACGACCAGTCCACAATGGGCAGAGCAAGGAATCCTGTGAAAAGACCTAAATAATAAGCCTGGTGTTCAGAGTCATGTTGATACAGAAGCTGGTAGAATTTCAAGAAGGTCTGCCATGCCCTTGATACATCACAGACTCAAATCCTCAACAATGCCAAAGAAACTAAAGTTGAGGCCAAGAGCTTCTGCTGGCCTGAGAGACTCCTGAAAGCTGGAGGTTCCTTCTCACAGGCAGGCCAAGGATCACTGAGGGGCCGGGGACTCAGGACTGAATAGCCTGGAGGGAAAACTTCCAGTCAAGGTCAGAGACACTTTATGTGTATCAGTTCTTCTGTTCTTATAATTATAAAGTAAAAAACATTAAACCTGGGGTAAATATTCTCATTCCTATAAAATACATACTTAAGCATCTGAGTGGCTGTAATTTTCCTTCCAATTGTTTATGGGGGAAATTACACATCATATATGATAAATAGATTACACCAGAAATGGCATAATTAAAGTACATTATAACTATTAAAAAGTAATTATATAATAAATTTATCATCATAATTAAGCTATATTAGCGTGATGGATATGCAAAGGGAAACAAATGTGATACTATGGCATAGACCGCTAGTGACCGTATTTGGAGATAGCTCCTTTGAAGAAGTCATTAAGGTAAAATGAGGTCATGTGGATGGGCCCTGATCCAATACAACTGCTGTCCTTATGAGAGGAGGAAACTAGAACACAGATGTATGAGCACACCAAGAAAAAATCATGTGAGGATGTGGCAAGATGCAGCCATATGCACGACCAGGAGAGAGGCCTTAGAAGAAACAAAACCTGCTGACCAGCTCTTTCATCTCAGATGTGACCTTTCAGAACTGAAATAAAAGAAATGTCTATCATTTGAGCCACCCACTCAGTGAGATTCTGTTATGGCAACCAGAGCAAACTCTTTCATGTAGAAACACAGTAATCTGTGGACCAGGTCAGGGGCATCTGAACACTTATTACACTATTAATTAATTAGTCTTTTCAACAGGTCTAGTATGTTTCAAAATAAAACGCTGGAGAGAAAACATACTCCAGAAGAATTAGCTAATAAAACCAAGTTCAGCTTGTTAAAGTCTATCAAAATATTAAATACCCATGTGCTTTTACCCTGAAATAAACTCCAAGGTATGTATTCTACATTGCAGATGTACCAAGATGTATACCGATGTCACTGCAATAATACTGTTGTAACGAACCTGGAAAGAAACTAATATCAATAAATATCAGCAGGGCTAGGATATATCATGGGGTATGGACATACACACTATTCAATACTAAGCACTGTTTGTAAAAAAAAAACAAAAAACAAAAAACAAAAAAACCAAGGTAGATCTAGACACAATAACTTAATATGGAAATATTTCCAAATAAATAATTAAAACTGTATCTTTAAAGGGACTGCTATGTAACAGGCTCCATTCAGCAGGAGATGAACATGCAAAACCCTTGACTTCTTTTTAATTTTTAAAAATATTTTATTATTTTTATTTTATGTGTATGAGTGTATTGCCTGCATGCGTGTGAGTGCACCCATGTTGTGCAATGCCGCAGAGGTCAGAAGAGGGCGTCAGATTCCCCTGGAACTGGAGTTAAGGATGGTTCGTAGCTGCCATGTGGATGCTGGGAACCAAACCCGGGCCTTCTGCAAGAGCAGTTAGTGCTTTTAACCACTGAGCCATCTCTCCAGCCCCAACCCTTGCCTTCTTTACATGGGAGGGTGGGCTGAACTATGGAGCATGAGTTGGTGTGTTGGCAAGCTCTGCTCAGGGCAGGGTCTGGGAAGTGGGGTGTATGAGGGGTTCCAGAAGGTCATCTAAGACCTGAGGATGGCACAGTGGGGCCAAATGGGTTCACCTTGAAGCCAAGGTAAGTAGGGAGACCCATCAGAGATCTTAGGCTAAAGGACAGCAGGTTCACCTGTAGTCACCGGAGGGCTGGGCAGAAGACTGGCTGTTTTCTAAACTTTGAGCTGTCGCCATGAGAAGCAAGAATGGAGGGGAGGGAATCCTGGTGGCAGGAATCCTGCACTTCACCTGAGTATGGTAACCCTAGGCTGGGGAAACTTGGGGAGACACAAGACTCTCTGCAGATAAAAAGCCAGGAGCTGCCAGACCCAGGGAATCAGAATGTTCCCAGAGGGGGTCTGGTAGCTCCCTCAAACAAGGCTCACAAAACAAGTCTCACAGAGCTCAGGACAACTGACTTCTCCATTAATTTGTTGCAGCAGAATGGAAAGAATTCACTCTGATGGAGCCACCAGGCTAAGCAAAGTGCCACCTACCTACCTCCACATGCATTCCTTTGGGCAAGGACTGGGACAAGGGCAAAGGAAGCAGGCATGCCTTTAGGCTGGGTCAGACTCTCCATAGCAGAGCAGGAATCAAAGGCTCTAGAGCAAAGGGAAGAAGGAAAGCCAGCAAGCTGGAGACTGGCTGGCCCATGGGCCTCCAGTGTTTAGTGAAAGCTGCTCCTTCACACAGGTCCCTTCCTTCCTGTTGCTTCCATGCTACTATGTGCAAACTGCTTCTGGGCCATGGAGAGATCCTACGTATGTTCTTGGTCTTTGTATACACATGTCCTGAAGACAGGCAGAGTCCCAAGCCTTTCAAAGAACGGCCAAGAATCTGGGGCTTTATAAAGATCGAGATGCTTTTTATTCCTCTGCCTCTAATGAGAGAGAGAGAGAGAGAGAGAGAGAGAGAGAGAGAGAGAGAACAGATTGTCAAGATTAAACGAGTGAATAGACACACCAGCACAGTACACGAGCTCAGGAAAGCAAAGATTACTCCCCCATTCCTGCCTGGCACCCTGTATTCTTGGTTTTCTCTGCGTTGATCTCCTCAGTCCTAGGCTGAGTCACCCCTTTATACTGGTTGCAGAAGCATATGAACTTGGATCTTTCAGCTGCAACCTGACCTCTGCAGGCCAGCACCCTGATTTCTTCTCTTGTCACACACAGCTCAGAACTGTAGGCCTCCCCAGCTGTGTTTTTTACCCTTCCCAGCCTTTCAATGTCCTGAGTGCTACCTCTGGCTTGTTCTCAATCCTTGAGGAAGTTTCCATCTCAGGCTTCTATGCTGAGGGCATGCCAGGCTCCAGCCCAGTAGGATACTATGGGATAGCTTGGGCCTCGGGCCTCCCAGTGACACTCCTACTGGAGGCTGTTGTCTGCCTGCCTCTCTGTCCTGGTTTGTTTCTTAATTGCTGTGACAAAACACTCTGACCACTAGCAACTTGGGGAGGAAAGGGTTTATTTCTCATTTGTCTTACATCTCCCAAGTCACAGTTCATCAGGGAGCCCAAGGTAGGAACTCAGGGCAGGAACCTGGAGGCAGGGTCTGGAGCACAAGCCATGAAGGAACGCCGCTTACTGGCTTGCTCCCCTGGCCCCTGCTCAGCTTGCTCTCTTATCCAACAGAGGCCCACCTGCCCAGGGGTGGCACTACCCATAGTGGGCTGGGCCCTCCCACATCACTCAACAATCAAGAAGATGCCCCACAGACATGGCCACAGGCCAGTCCAATAGAGGCAATTCCCCAATTGAGGCTCCCTCAACCCAGGTGTGTCAAGTTGACACTAAAGCTGTCCAGCACACTCTCCATCACATCTACCCACCCTGCCAGACTTGCCCAGCTCTGCCACATCTTCATATGATTAAAGTGCCTTGTTTCTGGGCTTCCTTCTTTCCTCCTTCCCTCTCAATTGTAAATCTCCTAGGCAACACTGTAAATGAAGAATCTTGTGGACACACCCCTGTCCTTATTCCTCATCAAACCCACCCAAGAATGCAGGTCTTCAAAACTGCATTCTTGCACTGAGTGTTTTCTAAGTCTTCCTCACCCCTGACCTCATCAACTGCCTCTTTCATTCCTCCCTACCCTCACCCGCACAGAGCACTTGCTCAGTGCTGGGGCTAAAACTATGGACCACTCCTTACTCTCAAGAACTTTAATCGTGCTGCATACCACCTAATATGCTTAAAACAACCTCTATCTCCTCTACTCTGTCTCACCTTTGCGTTAAAAGACATCTTTTAGAAAAGTTGCATATATGAAATCTAGAAAATTCAGGATATGCCTTTTTCTTTTTTTTTTTTTTTTTTTTTTGAGATAAGATCTTGCTGTGCAGCCCTGGTGGGCCTTGAACTTGAGATTCTCCTTCAGCCTCCCAAGTGCTAGAATGGGCAGCCACACTATTTTTTGGTAACATTTCTTTGGTATATCCTTTCCAATATCTTCTTTCAATTTTAAATTTCAGGTGTGTCTATGGTAAGCAGCATATAGGCTGAATTTTCCTCCTAAAATTAAGTTAGTAACTGTAATAGGGTGAATGGTGGTCCCCAAATGGTCAAACACCTTTGAAATCCATCTGCCCTACATCCCATTTTCTTCCATGTTTATACTGGGAAGGAAGCCAACCAACTCTGGTCACATAGCACAGTGACTCATAATAGCTTTCATTCTATCATAAAACATCTGAACAATGGAATTTCAGTACTGGAAAAGGGTTGAAGGAGAAGCTATCTTTCAAGAAAGACCTTTATTATTTTTTAGTCGTTTTGAGACAGTCTCCCTAGAGCCCCAGGTGGCCTTGAACTCAATAGATCAGGCTGGCCTTGAACTCAGAGAGCTCCACCTGCTGGGATTAAAGGCATGAGCCACCTCGCCCAGCTCAAAAAAGACCTTTTAAATAACCCTGAAAGTCATACCACATGGGTAAATATCCGCATGTGTGTCCATTTATAGACAGCATATGACCCATCCTCAGCAAAGAGAAGGCTGAATTGGCTGGGTGTACCAACAGGCAGAACCTAGGCCACATCTGCTCACCACAATCAACAAACACCTATGGGGGCCTGCAGACTGTGCAGTTCCAAGTCCAAGTCAACTGACAGTTTTCTGAGTCAAACTCATTCAGACATCAAATGACACCTTCAATCACTCTTTCCCATAAAATAACCTGCTTGGAGCTGTACTACATTTTAACAAGACAAAATACTGTTGGTTTATCTATCTACCTATCCAGCCATCCATCTGTCATATAGCTGTCAGTGGTCACTCTAAAAATACAGATAGGATTATGTTGTCCTTGCCACTTAAAATTCTCTTGACACATAAATTCATCAAACTTTACACTGAAGATCTGTATGTGTTACTTTATGTATATAACACAATTAAAGTTATAAACACACAAACACAAAATCGATCCATGCCTTTCCCCAGAATTGAGGATAAAAGTCAGGCTCTTTTTCCAGTTAAGGTCCTCCGTAGCAGAGATCCTGCTCATCTTTCTGACCTGACCACCCTAAGTCCAGGCACATTGGCCTTCTCTCTGCACCACACACCCACACCCCATCTTGTCAGCAACACTCTGCTATAGACCAACAAGTAGCTGGCTCCCTCTTCTCATCCTGTCTTGGCTCTCAGGTCAGCTCCTTGGCACCTCTCCAGATCTCTGCATCTATAGGTGTGAACCACATCTGAGCATCAACCTCATCTCCCTTCACCACACTTAGAAATTCTCAGGATTTTCCTCCCTTTTTCTTTCCTCCCTCTCCCTCCTCTTCTCCTTCCGTCCTTCCTTCCTTCCCTTCTTCCCCTCCTCCCTCCTTTCCCCCTTCCACCCTCTTCCTTCCCTCCTTTTATCCCCCTTTGGTACTAGAGACTGAATTCAGGGCCTCCTGCATTCTAGACAAGCAACTTGACACCAAACTATATTCCTAGCCCTTTTGTTTGCTTGTTTTACTTTGAGACAAGGTCTAAGTAGTTTAGGTTTGCCTAGAATTTGTTTTGTATCCTAGGCAGACTTTGAACTTGTGATCTTCCTATCTTAGCCTTCTAAGTAGCTGGGATTACCAGCCTGAGCCACCAGGCTTGGCTTCCCACATAGTTCCCTGACTACTGTCTTCTCTTCAATATCATGTCAACTCCATAGCTTCTGGTCTTTTCAATCCTATTCATCTTTGGCACCTAGACAGAGCCTGGCTCCTATCAGGTAGCTGAATAATGTTTGCTGAACAAAAGAATTCATTCAGATTGTCACTCAAGCCCTGTTTCTTGAGGAATGTCTGGATATTTATTTTGATTTCAATAAATTTCATGAATTTTCATGACGAGTCCTTCTAACTTAGCTGCAAAAAAACTAAAATTGTTTTCATCTTAGACAAAGGGAGCTGCCAGCAAGAATACCAGAGGACAGTTACCTCAGACTTTCTTTGTCCTAACTAATGCAAAGCAGGAGGAACTGGCCCACCAAGGCCTTGATCACCACATCTGTTCTTAGAAGCCAGAATCAGGTGATTGGGTTTGTTATAAGTCTAAGTGCTCATGCATAGTTTCTGGTAAATACTTGATTTTTTTCTAGACTGGATAAGGCCCAGATTCTAAGTCAGCCAGCTTTAAATTTCCTATGCAGAGGTCCAGTCAAAGGCTGAGAGACAAATGACGACCCCTCAAAAAAGCTAAACTAATAAATATGCTTACTTCTCTGAACATAGTCCTTGAAGCCACTGTTTCCTCTGGGAGCAAGCAGGGCTATGGTGCATCTGCTAATGACAATGACCCCAGTAGTCAGCAAGTGTTACCACTGAGCAGCACCTCATAAAGGATTGTTTGATAGAGATACTAGAGGCTGATATACAAGATAATAAGCTTTGACAACACTAATTTAAAAATGCAAATCAGTCATTATTTTCACCCAGATTAACAAAGATGAAAACATTTAGTGAGTATTAAGAAACAGGTGAATCTCTGTGAGACCGAGGCCAGCATGGTCTACATAATGAGTTACTAAGTGAAGTAACACAGACTCAGAAAAAGAAACAAACAACGTATGTTCTCCCTCATATGTGGCTCCTAGCAGCAAATCCTTTTAAATTTCAGGTCCTTTTAATAAGATGATGCTATATAGCAGTCCCTTCTGCATAAAATAACTACCATCATCACGACTTCGGCTGAGCCTGATTGCTAAACATAGTCATAATTGGGCTTGCTGACGGTTGTGCTCATTCATTAGAGGGCCAAGCAGGGTGACTGGACCCTCACCTGAGTATCTAGTCACTCTTCCCAGACAACTACTCCAGCCTTGGAAGACAAAAGAAAAATGAGGAAGAACCCAACAGAGGGATGCTTTTGGAAGCCCTTGTCAAGAAACTCCAGTGGACTCTCATATGAACATTTGAAAATTGCCCTGTTCCGACTTTTTTCTAGTTCCCTGTCTAGAACTTGTAACGCTAGTTACTCTTGCCTTTACTTCTCCTTCACATCTCCTATTCATGATTCAAGGACTTTCTTTTCCCCTTAGAGACAAGAATTATGCAATTTGGGAGTCTTTTAGATGGACCCACTGAAGAGGTACTCCAATTGCCTCACCCTGAGTCCCTGTTCAGCATGGAAGAAGCCAGAGTGGTCATTGTCCCTATTCCCTATTGGTAATTTGGGTAACCCTTTCAGAGGATGGAGTGATAAGAACAGGAGGTAGGAATTGGCTAGGCAGTTAGAGTAAAAAGACCCCAAAGAAATGTAGCCAGTTCCTTGGCTAAAAGTCAAAATGTCCTTTCGCCTGTTAGCAACATACTCTGTTCCAAAGGCCAAAAATGTCGAAAGTATTTGGGAGCTTGTATCTAATCCTTAAAAGATTTTAGGGTTACCACTTCAATATGGGGAATGTTGGAGGGGAGGGAGTGGGCATGGATTTGATCAAATCACCTTATATACATGTATGAAATTCTCAATAAAGTTTTTGTAAAAGTTAAAAAAAAAAAATCTCTTGGCAAATGTGGGGAAGAGAATTTGTGATCCTGGGCCAAATGAGGCCCTGCCTTGATGTCGAGGTGGTCTCTGTGACCTAAGCTTTCTTATATCCAGAGACGCTGTAGGTAGATGTGTCCTAGATGCTGCTTCGGGACCTGGGAGTTGGTACTGGGAGGTGGAGCGTAGAGGCCTTCATGATACAGCAGGACCTAAGAACCAGGAGCTGGAGACCTGTGAATTCTTAATGAGGGCTTGACTGTTGTGTAACTCCTTCCTAAATTCTGATGAAAACTCCAAGTAGAAACATGCTGTCCTGGAAGGACCTATCCCATCTCATCAGTGCCCCTGGGCAGCTGCAGATAAGCTAGTTATGGGAAACTCATGAAACTATGATACATCTATGGCTTTGTAGACCTCTGCACGGCTATCCTATATATCCTGGATAAAGAAATTTAGAGATTCCATTTAATCTCATAATGGATGGAGGTGTGTGTGTGTGTGTGTGTGTGTGTGTGTGTATGCACGCACGCATGTGAGAGGGATGATGGTGTTCGGTCAATTTACAGATCACATGAACAGCTTCAGCAAGCTCTCTGGCAATCTTACCATTTTGAGTACTTACATACCGTGACCCAGAACTCTGTACTAGGATTTCCTCCTACAGTTACACCAGCTTAAACACGCACAAGTCTGTAGATAAGAGTGTTCTCTCCAGCGTTATCTCCAAGAGTAGAAAACTCAAAAGCCACATAACTGTCAACACAAGTATGGAAGGGGTTAATATTCACTATCATACAATGGAAATCAACTGTTAAAAGGGTGGAGGCCATGTACTTGAAATGGGTGAATCTGATGTTACATAAATTATAACTCAATAAAGCTACTTAGAAAGCAAGATCGAGTTAGGGGTATAGTTCAGTGGTAGAGAGCTCTACTTGCCTATCCTCAACATGGCCAAACCCAGAATGCCAAACCCCAAAATGAGCTAGGTTCATTTAACAGACATAGAAAAATGTACAGTTTGGGGCTGGAGAGCTGGCTCAGTGGTTAAGAGCACTTACTGCTCTTGTAGAGGACCTGGATTTGATTCCCAGCACCCATATGGCAGCAAACAACCATCTGTAACTACAGTTCCAGGGGATCCAATGCCCTTCTCTGACCTCCATGGGCTTTGTATGACACAGGTGCACTTACATACATGCAGGCAAAACACTCATAACACATAAAATAAAAATACATTAAAAAATACTATTAAGCAGTAATAAAAACAAGTTATAAATATGTAACATGACCCCCCGCCCCCTTTTTGGTCTTTTTGAGACAGGATCTCCCTGTAGCCCCAGCTGGTCTGAACTTACTACGTAGACCAGGCTAGCCTTGAGCTCACAGCCTCTGCCTCCTGAGTGCTGGGATTAAAGGCATGCACCACCATGCCCAGTTAACATGAACCCATTTTTATTTAAATGGAAAGAACAAACCACGTATGGAGGCTCATGCCTATAATCCTATCTATCCCAGCAGTTGGGAGGCTGAGGCAGGAGGACTGGCCACAATTCAGGCCAGTCTGAGCCACATAGTTAAGTTCTAGGTCATGGTGGGCTAATGTGGGACTTGGTTTCAAAAAAGGAAATAAAAAAAAAAAGGAAAGAAAGAAAAGACAAAAAGAAAGACACATGCAGAAATTTGGAGGCTCACACAATGAACTACTAAACATTGCTTGTCTTAGAACATGGGGTTACGGCATACTTTTTACGGTGTGTATTTTCATAATGTTCTGGCTACCTATCTACAGTAAGCATAAGTAAACATTTATTACTTTTGTAATAAGCTATAAAAAGATAACAGGGGCTGGGGCTCAGTTGGTAGAATGTCTGCCACATAACACATAAGCATGAGTTCAGATCCTCAGTGGGCACGTGTGCATGAACATGAGAGAGAGAGAGAGAGAGAGAGAGAGAGAGAGAGAGAGAGAGAATACAGAAAAGTATCCAGCAGGCAGAACTCAGTAGATGTGGAAAACAGATCTCTTAAGCCAGTGTGGTTTCCACTGAGGCAGGCATAGGGTCATGGCTGCAGTGTCACCCCAGAATGCACAAGTTTCTTCTGCCCCATTTGCCAGGCCAGAGGTCTGTTCTTACTCTAACAGCCAGAAGTTAAAATAAAATGTCCATGGCACGTTTCTACTTTTCTAGACATTTATTTGTTTGTTTTATTTTTTTGGTGTTTTTGAGACAGGGTCTCCTGTAGCTAGCCCCAGCTAACCTGGAACTCCCTATGTAGACCAGGTTGACCTTGAACGCACAGAGATCTGCTTGCCTCTGCCTCTTGAGTGCTGGGATTAAAGGTGTGTGCCACAATGCCCAGCTATTTTATTTATTTATTTATTTATTTATTTATTTATTTATTTATTTATTTATTTATTTATATGTATCTGTATGAGTTTATGTGTACCACATGCATGCAGGTGCCCATGGAGGCCAGAAGAGGGCATCAGATTCTCTGGAACTGGAGTTATAGGTGGTTGTGAGCCACCTGAGATGGATGCTGGGAACCAAATCCTCTGCAAGAGAGGAAAGTGCTCTTAACTGCTGAGCCATCTCTCCTGACTGTTTCTACTTTTGAAGGATTTTCCACTTTCCTGCCTTTTAAACATTAGCCAATCAATAATCAATCCTGGTTGTATTGGATAAGATATTTCTGACTATTAATCTTCAAAGTATCGTCATAACTCACCAAACTTTTAGAAAACAGAATGATGCTGCAATTTGTGTTTCTTACAAGTGACATGTGTAGCCCCTACTTAATTCTACTATAAAGGCTAATTCCTAGCTTTCTAGGCAGTATGGCACCTGTCTCCTCCCTAAGAGCAGAGGAGATTGCCACTGGCCCTTCACCAAGTGATGACCTACCTGCAAATCACAAATAGGATTTCCATCCTTGTAACCCAAGGTTTCTGAATAATTCTAATTGCGTAGGGAGTCCAAACATGGCAGAAAACAGAACTTGTATTAGGCATAGGGAGGGGCACTGTGATGATTTTTCACTCTGTGAACCTTGAAGGAAAGGGTGAAGGTCCTGGGATTAAACATCAAAATCAAAGGACTGAATGCAAAGTTGTCAGTTCAGTCTGGCCACTTGACTGTAAAATATTTCATTAGGAGAAAATACGGTGTTATATGTTTCACTCCAAGCTGATTCCACTTGACTGCTTACCTAATCTGCAGGTCATAAATTTATTTATTTTTATTTTATGTGTATCAGTGTTTGCCTGCATGTGTGTATGTGTACTACATACATGCCTGGTGCCCAAGGAGGCCAAAAGACAGCTTTGGATCTCCTGGAGCTGGAGTTACTGACAGCAGTGAGCCACCATGTAGAAACCGAACCCAGGTCCTCTGCAAGAGCAGCAGGTGCTCTTAACCACAGAGTCATCTCTCCAGCCCCCTAGTGGTCATAAACTTTGCAGTTGCGAAGGGGACACATTCACAGAGGTAGCTTTGATCTCCTATAGCCCTGGTGAGCACTGTATGTTCTTTTGAACAGCTGGCTCATTTGGGAGAGCAGTGTGAGGGTGACTGAAGATGAGTTCATCTCAACATGGTCACGAGCAGCACCCTGCCTCATCTTCAGGGACAAACAGCTTCATCTGCTATCTATTTAATGTGTTCCCATAAGGATTTCTGAGTCAGCCCGATCAGATATGGTGTTGTTAACATGAGTAAGACTGATGGCTCCCAGGAGGCACTCCAGATAAATTAACTCAATCATCCCTCACTCAAGTTAGGTGGTGAACAGAATCATCCTAATTTTTAGATGAAGAAACTGATGCTCAGGGCATTTAAGGAACTTGTTGAAGATTTATAGGTGGCAACTGGTAAGGTCAGGACCAGGACACGTATACTTACCTTTAACCTCCACTGGCCTGGATTCAGTATCAGGAATGACTGAGTCTAGCCTCTAGGTACAAATGTAAAGCTTGTGAAACTCAGAAATCAAGAAGAGCACTGAAAAGATAATCACCTTCAGAAGGTAAATCTAGGGCTGGTGAGAAGGTTCAGCAGGCAAAAGCATTTACTGCTCAAGCCTGGTGACCAGAATTTGATCTCTGGAACCACATAAAGGTGGAAAGAGAGAAATGACTCCACAAAATTGTCCTCTGAGCTCCATATGCTCCGCACCGATCCCCAACAGTTTAAAAAGAAGGTAAATCTAGATGGCAAAACAATTCCAGAAGGTCATTTGATCTCTCAGGTAGAGAGGGTCTATATATATAAGAATAACTCAAAGTTTCACAATCTATGGTAAGAAGTCAACTCAAATCTCAATTTAAGAAGTGAGAACGTTTGGCTACTTAAGTTCATGGGTACAGTGAAGTGGCCAAACTGGCTCCTCTGACAAGCCCTGCTTGTGGCTACTCCTGCCATTGCCCCTAGTGTAGTTCATGCTGTTGAGCAACTGCACATCTGCTCTGCCACTGGGCACGGGGCAGAGGAAAGCTTGTGTTTCCCAAGCCTTTGCAAATCCCTCCACTGTCACTGCAGGCTTCATCCACCTTTCCACTGGCTGTTGCTTCTGTTTGTGGGATGTTGTGGCCAAGGGGCACAGTGTCACTTAGGAAAGTCGGTTCACATGTGGGAAGAGTTTCCTTTCTCATGCCATAGTGTAGACCAAACACTGGGACAATCCAGTGCATATAAACGTGTGCTGCAGCAAGGGTACAAACAGCAGTAGAGTAGGTGGCGGAGAAGAGCAGAGGCCTAGGGAAGGATACCAGGGTCTAGTTCTTGCTCAGTCTCTCACCTACTGGGAGGCTCAAGAGAGCCACTCAATTCCTCTAGTTCCACCTGGACATAAAGTCTTAGATTAAGAGGAGCATATTAAGTGATACAGTGGAACTGGCCTACCTTCCCAGGACCATCTGTTGTGGAGAGCCATCACCAAAGTGGGCAGCAGTGGGCTAACATTCACTGTGCACATACCAGACTAAGCACTTTATCCCACTCAATTCTCATAAGAATCCATCAAGACAGGTAATCAGCTCCCCCATCTTGAAGACAAGAAACAATCTCAGAGTTATAAAGTTATCTGGGATAAAGTCACACAGCACTGGAAAATTAATTACCTCTATGCAACAAGGTACAGTAGTCATGAGAGGCCAGGCCCAAATTCAGGTAGTTTGATTCTAGAACTCAAACAATGACTTCCAGGCTGAACCACATCCATTCCCTGGTCTAGAAACTCTACAGGCCTCGCTGATCCACATCTGTTCAGGTCTAGGAGACTTCCCTTTGGATAACAAGCACTTGCCTGCCTGTCTGTCCCAATAGCCTCCCTAAATGCATTTGTATCCTGATAGTACTGAATGGAAACACATCAATTCTTTCCCTAAGGACATACATATATCTAAAACCAATAGAAATGGGCTTGTTACAAAAGCTACATAAGATTCCTTCAAGTTAGAGGATTAGCTCTGAAGAGTTTCAGAAGGCTGCAAATTTACCTTGTCAACAGACAAGAGCCAGAGTGACACCACCTTTAGAGAGTACTGGTGAAAAGGAACACATTTTAAGACAAGTGGGACTGGGTATGTTATAGCTCAGTGGTAGACTCAGCAGAATGTATAAAGCCATGGGTTCAATACCCAGCACCACAAAACAAAATAAACAAAAACCAAAACAAAAAGTTAATACAAAAAGTTGGCTGTTGGCTGGCAGGCAAATGCTGAACAGGATGAGGCAGAAGGCCAACCTGGGCTATCCCTTTCCCTTTTAGGGGTAGGGGATATAGTGGTAGAATGCTTGCCTAGCATGCAGAGTCCTGGGTTCTATCCCTAGCACTGCATATATTGGATGTGGTGGCCCATGGCTATAATCCCCAGCACTCAGGAGGTAGAGGCAGGAAGATCAGAATTTTGTCATCCTAGCCTGGGCTACAGGAGACCCTGTGTCAAAAAACAAATCAATACAGATTAAACACAAACTCCCTCCAAAAAAAAAAAAAAAAAAAAAAAAAAGGTCTGATGATGACCAATCTTCAGAGACACCTGTGGTGTACAAATAAGGGTGTATAAGACCACACTTCAGCTTAGTGAGGACACTGTACCCAGACCAAAAAAAAAAACAAAAAACCAAAACTGTACCTGTGGGAACACTGGGATGGTCATTTCAATTTTACCCAGAGGAGCAAATTAATGGGTATCCTTGCAAGAACAATTAATGGAAGATCATCTCTCAACACCAGAGGTGTACAATCACACTTCAGACCTTCTCCCTAGTGCCTCAGCCCAGTGAAGTTAGCAAAGTAGTCTCTCTCTCTCTCTCTCTTTTTTTTTTTTTTTTTTGTCTTTTTGAGACAGAGTCTCCCTGTAGTCCCTGCTGTCCTGGAACTGTAGACCAGGCTGGCCTCTAACTCACAGAGATCCACCTGCCTCTGCCTCCTGAGTGCTGGGATTAAAGGTGTGCGCCACCACACCTGGCCAAAGTGTTCTCTTTTTAAACAATACAGTTGGCTGGGCAATCAGTCAAAATGTGAGCTAAGCAGGAGCAGTAGAGCTCCTGTCCTGGGTCCTGTCTTGAGAATCAAGTGGCATTAGGCAGGACAGTTAAGAGCAGCCAAGGAGGTCTTACCTTGACAATAACAGCCATACCCCAAGAATGCTGAGAACTGAAAGTGAAGATGTCATCAGTCCCACAGGTTGTATGCATAGACCTCTTTGGCTGTGAGTGTGAATCCCATCTAGAGAACCAGTAGGTGCCAGCTCCGCTATTTCTCCTTTAAAACAGGCCTGCCTATGCCACCTACGACTCGGAAAAGTTGTATGCAATCCACAAACAGAAGAAAAGGAGGTCTGGGACTCTCTAACTTGTCCCTGGACTGTCCAACCAGAATCCTGGTTGGCATGCAATGTTTGGACTTGCTTTTCAGCCAAGCTATCTGCAGGAGACTTGGCTAAAGACTACCACACCTAATGCTATGCAAAGGAGCCTGATGTGGGAGGGCAAGTACGGAACCAAAGGAAGCAGAACTAGAACACTGCCAAGTGACCAAACTATTTGCTAACCAAGAATCAGAAGGGGCTAGGGAGATGGCTCCATCGGTAAAGTGCCTGCTGCTCAAGCATTAGGACCTGAATTCGGATCCCCAACACCCATGTAAAAGTCTGGCAGTGATGCAAGTGGCTGTAACTCCAATACTGGGGAGAGTAGAGGCAGGTGGATCCCTGAAGTTAACTGGCTGGGGTGGGCAGCCTAGCCAATTCAGAGAGCTCCAGGTTCACTGAGAGACCCTGTCCCAAAAACTGAGGTGGAGGGCTGAAGAGATGGCTCAGTAGTTAAGAGCTCTTGCTGTTCTTCCAGTTGAGCTGAGTTTGGTTCCTAGCACCTATGTTGGGTGGCTCATAACCTCTTGTAACTCCAGCTCCAAGAGCTGATGCCCTCTTCTGGACTCCACAGGTATCCCCATACATAGCAACACACACACACACACACACACACACACCACACACACACACACACACACCCCCATACATAGCAACACACACACACACACACACACACACACACACACACCAAAAGAATCAGAACATAAGAATGGTAATTATGTATAAGCATATTCTAGAAGAAAGCAGGTGTTTGGAAAAAGACTACTAAGAAAGGTCATGGCAGAGAACAAAGCCAAGTTCTGTGCTGTGTATAAACTAGGACTTCAGAACTTGGAGAGGGCTCCTGGGGCTCTCTTTCAATGAAGAGGGAATCCATCAAGTGCCCCTTTACATAGAAGAGATGGAAACAAAGCCACAACTGAGATGAAGAATGTGCAAAAAGTCTCCATGCACAGAGTGAGCAGGTTTGTTTTAAATACTGGCCCCTGTTTGACTCCCACATGTAATTCAAAGGCTTACTATATAACAAAAATAGTTTGAAACACATTTTTGTTCACCAACCCAGTGTGGATTACAGAAACTCAGCTTTCTTACCTGACAAGTATAAGCAGTAAGCAATCAAGTAGGCTTGCTAAGAACAAGGCAAATTCAAGAAAGATAAACTGCCTCTCTGAGGCCCTGAGGATGAAGAGGAAGGCCACTCCTGTGTTGGCTCAGATGTCTGCAGGTGAATCCACCTTCCAGAGCTCAGAAGGGGAAGCAATTCTTCAGCCCACCCTGGGGGTTCTGGCAGTCCTGCTCACCAAGCTTACTTCTGTTCCCTCAGTTCTCACTTTTCCACCCATAGGCAGACAAATGGGAATTGACCTTTGCCCACTTGGCACATAAGCCTAGGACAGTAAGTTACTTGTTCAAATAATCTGCTTTCCTAAGCAGACTGCAGACTTTTTTGAAGAGCAGAGATCAAATTTCTCAACTTCTCCCAAATCAGCCTTGCTGTATCATGTACCACTGTGTAACATACACATCACTCTAAAACTCAGTGGTTTGAAACAATAAACATTTGTTATCGGCTTAGCTGCGTAGTTCTGACATGATCTCTTGTAAGGCTGTAGCCAAGCTGGATCCGTGGGGCTGGCTGGGGAGCCACTCCAAATCCTACTTCCCAGCAGCTCCAAGGTCCTCCCACATGGGCTGGACTCTCCATGTGCCCTCAATCACAGCAGTTAGCTTTCATAGTGCAAGTGATTGGGCAGAACAAGTGAGAGAGCATACCCAAGTTGGGGCTGGAGAGACGGCTCAGTGGTTAAGAGCACCGACTGCTCTTGCAGAGGACCCAGGTTCGATTCCCAGCACCCACATGGCAGCTACAAACCATCCTTAGCTTCAGTTCTAGGGGAATCCGAAGCCCTCTTCTGACCTCTGCGGTATTGCACTACACAGGCACACTCACATACATGCAGGCAATGCACTCATACACATAAATAATTTTTTTTTTGGTCTTTTTGAGACAAAAAGTCCCTGTAGTCCCAGCTGTCCTGGAACTCACTATGTGGACCAGACTGGCCTTAAACTCACTGAGATCCACCTGCCTCTGCCTCCCAAGTGCTGGGATTAAAGGCATGTACCACCATGCCCGGCAATAAATAAAATATTTAAAAAAAAAAGAATGAGTCCTGTTAATAACCTATTCTCAGATGTCACACACCACGTAAGACAATCCTGTTGTTTACAGATACTAATACCAATACAATGTGGTAGGGCAGAGTTCAGGGTATGGAGGCTGGCTGCCAGGTTCACCACTCTAAGTCCTCGGGAAATTTTTTACTGAACATGGAATGGATGCACCTTTGCAGAACTTGAAGCTGCTGTTGTTTTCAATTTGGTCTGAGCCGATATCTCATTCTCTCTGCTGACCAAACTATTTGGCTAACAGGCCTCCAAGGGAGGAAGAAAGAGGGTGGTACTGGAGGTATTTATTACAGTGTTTCTGTCATTCTTAAAGGTGATTCCTCCTATTCTACTTTAAAAAAACCAAGTTTTTTTGTTTTGGGGGACAAGGTCTTCCCTGCAGCCCCAGCTAGCTTTGAACTTGCTATGTAGACCAGGCTAACCTTGCTTAATCTCACAGAGATCCCCGTCTCTGGCTCCCAAGTGCTAGGATTAAAGGAGTGTGCTATCGCACCTGGCTCAGCGTTTTAGGCTAAATCTCATTTCTTCTTCACTCTTATCAAAGCAAAGCAGAACTAGATATCTGGCTCAGTGGAGATAGCTTGCCTGGCATGGACATGGGCAAGACTCTGGGTGTAATTCTCAGCACTGAAAAAAAGGCAAGGGGATGAGGGGGTTCCACTAACAGCAGCAGCTTGAACCCAATGATACAGGGTTATCAAGAGGTGCTTAGGATGTGGCACTTATAATGCTCCACAGCAGAGCAGGGGAGGATGGAGAAAGGAAAAATAAATTCCCCATATGGCTTCTAGGAGCCTAAACTATACTGCTTTTTGCTCTTATAGTGGTCATAGTTTGTAATGTTAAGAAAGCAACTGAAGAGCTGAGCACAGTGGTAATACTCCTGTAATCTGAGCATTTGGAAGACTAAGGCAAGAGGATAGGGCTTTCAAAGACTGCTTCAGCTGCACAGCACACTAGAATCCACCTAGACTACATGAGATGCTGTCCAGAAGGTAAAAAGAGAGAGAGAAAAGACAAGCAAGATAGTGCATGTCTTTAATCCTAGCACTTGGGAAGCAGAGGCAGGAGGATCTCTGTGTGTTTGAGGCCAGCCTAGATTATATAGAGTTCTAAGTGCCAGCAAGGGCTACATAGTGAGACCTTGTCTTGAAAGGAAGGCAAGGAAGGAGAGAGGGAGTAATGAAGGAAGGGCCTTAACTTCTTTCTACTATAACTTGCTAATATCACACCGAACTGGGAGATTATAACTAAAGATGCCAATCTGATAGACGCCCAGGAGCTAAATTGGAATGGTCACTATAAGATTGAACCACTTACTTTGGATAAAGAAGGCTCAAAGTGCCTTTATCCATTAAAATTTTTTTTTTAATTTACTCTATGTGTATGTTTATGTGAATGTAAGCCATATATGTGAATCCTGCAGAGGCCAAGAAGAGAGTATTGGATCCCCTGGGGCTAGAGTTACAGACAAGGGTGAGCCACTCAACACAGATGCTTGGAACCAAACTCAGGTCCTTTGGAAAAGCAGCAAGTGCTCTTAAGCACTGAGCCATCTCTCCAGCTCCTCTATCCATTAAAAAAAAAAAAAAAAAATCTGCCTTCATTTATAAAAGGCATGACTCAGTGGATCGAGACTTCTGGGCTGACAGGCTTTTACTGTCCATATTTGAAAGACGGTCCATTGTGCTCTGGCTCACACAGCCCCATGCAAAGTCTCTATTAATTCTTATGTTTATTTCCTTGTATGCAATGACCTTCTTCTGGGGGCTTTTACAGTTTTCTTTTTATCACTACTTTTGAGCAATCCAATCTCACTGTGGCTTACTGTGATTTTGTGTTTATCCTTCCTGGAGATCATTAAGGTTCTTGGATCTGTGATTTTACAGTTTCCGTCAACTTTGGAAAATGTTCAGTCATCATGTATTTCTTCAATTAGTTCTCTACTCTTTCTTCTTTCATCTCTTCTGGAGGTTCAGTTACACACCAGACCTTTGATACTCTATGACTCCTCATAACTTCATTTTCCTTTCAGCACTCAATTTATAATGCTCTTATTTTTCACTTCAGTAATCTATTTTCCCACACAATCTAATTTTTTTGCTAAGTCTGTCCAGTGAATTTTTTGGGAAATTTTCTATTCCAGAAATTCCATGTGGTTCCCTTTAAAAATCCATTGTACTCCTGGATATGAGCTGATTTTTCTTTAAAACATTTAGCAGGAGGCTAGGGAGATGGCTGAATCCGTAGAGTGCCTACCATGTAAGCATGAAGAACTTGAGTTCAGATCCCCAGCACCCAGGTAAAAGGCCCATGTGGCAGCATGTCTGCAATCCCAGCACTGGGGGAACAGAGACAGACAGATTCCAACAGCTACTGACCAGCCAGCTTGACCAAATCAATCAACTCCAGGTTCCATGAGAGATCTCAACTCAAAAAATAAGGTGGAAAGTAACTGAGGAAGACAAGAGTTGTCAACATCTTTCACACGCATGCACGCACACCCACACACGTGCACACACTCATATGAACATATACATAAGACACAAATTCTTCAGCACACTTATAACTGTTTTAAAATCCTTTTCAGGTGATCTTATAATCTCTATAATTTCTTGATATATTCACATATATTAATTATTATTGTGTGTGTATAATGTGTGTCTGAGGGTGCCTGTGTCATGGTGCTCATGTGCAGGTCAGAGGACAACGTTCAGGAGTTGGTTTTCTCCATCCATCATGGTGAGTTCTGGGGATCCACCTCAGGTCATTAGGCTTGCTTGGCAAGTGCTTTAACTCACTATACCATCTCACTGTCCTCCTACATACACTCACAGGGCTTTCTTCTGATGATAGGTCACAATGTCCTGCTTCCTCTCGTGCATGGTGACTTTTAATTGGGATTATATAATGGCTACTGACACAAGAGTCTGGACTTTGATGTTTTGAAGTTTGTTTGAACAAGCAGTTAAGTTTGTAGAACAGTTTGGTCATTTGGGGCTTCCCTCTCTTTTCTCTTTAAAATATTGAGGAATAATTTACACCCCCGAAGAGTGACTGCATTAAGTGTTTAATTCTAAGAGTTTTAAGAAAAACATATGCTGATGTGACCTTCATAATAAAGACTTAATATTTTCTATAATTTCAAAATATCCTTTTGCAGTTAGTACCACTCCAAAGCAGTCACTATAGAGTTTTCTATGTGTCTATTATTAATAGCCTTTGCCCGTTTTAAAAGTTCATTATCTTTTTACTGAGTTGTAAGAATTTCTCATATGTTTGGGGCTGGAGAGATGGCTCAGTGGTTATGAACACTGGCTGTTTTTACAGAAGACCCAGGTTCGTATCCCAGCACCCACATGGCAGATAACAATTGTCCGTAACTCCAGTTCCAGGGGAATCTGAAGTCCTCTTCTGACCTCCACAGCACTAAACAACACAGATGCACTCACATACATGCTGGCAATACACTCATACACATAAAAAATAAATATTTTTTCCTGGATTACTCTTTTGAAACAAACATTATTTTTAATTGACAACTCATAATTATATGTATTTGAGGGTACACGGTGATGTTTACACACAAAATGTGGAATGATTAAGTCAGGCTCATTATACATGCATCATCTGACTTTTTTTTTTTTTGGCCACCACAATTTTATTCTTAAATAAATGCTCAGTTTGTTTTTTAAAATATTTTCTTCTTATGAGATATTTGAAATTTCCTCTTTCAGTTGTTTTAAAATACATAGACTTTGCTGGTTGAGTAATTCAAAATCTGAAACTTTTTTGTCACATCGGATTTGGGCTAGGGATACTCAATCTCTATATAAATTATCCTTTTAAGATATTACTGTTAGTTGGTTCTCTTTCCACCTTTATATGGGTTCCAGGGATTGAACTCAGATCACCAGGCTTGTGAGGCCAGTGCCTTTACCCACTGAGCCATCTCACTGGCCTCATATAAATTATTCGGAATTACAGTCATCTGCAGTGCAACAAGATCACAAAATTTACTCCTATTTGAAAAGCTGTACCCTTTAACCAACAACTCCTCCTTCCCTTCTTACTTTTTCCTCTTTAAAAAACAGCATGATAGGAAAAACAGGAAAGAAAAATTTTTTGGTCTTTTTGAGAC